TACAAAGCAAAAGCATGTTTCGATGTCCATTAAACGAAAAGTGGAATTGCTGCAAAAAATGGATAAAGGCATGAAGAAAGTGACAGAGAGGTGATTTGTTTCTCTAACCGCGGTCGCGGACACTTAGCTGACGGGACACTTAACCGACAAGACATTTAGCCGACAAGGACACTTAGCCAACATGGACACTTAGCCGACAGGACATTTAGCTGACAAGGACACTTAGCCGACAGGACATTTAGCTGACACGGACACTTAACCGACAGGTCATTTAGCCGACACGACAGTTAGCCAACATAGACGCTTAGCCGACAGGACATTTAGTCGACACAGAGAGTTAGCCGTCAGGACATTTAGCTACGGGACACTTAACTGTCAAGACATTTAGTCATTAGACATTAGACAGTGAAGTTTAGCTGACTTCTCCATAAGTTCAATATTCAAGTTATTTTTTTCACTATCAGTAAAATTCAGTTTTCGATCTCAAAGATCTCATATGTGCTGTTAATTTAGCATTGTTTGACATGTATCGTGCTGTTTGGTATATATTAGTCAAATTGGAAAAGTGATAAAATTTCTCGTTAGGGAATATGAATTAAATTTCGAAAGGAAAAAAGAATTTTTTTTAGCTAAGTACGATGGTCACTTAATTATATTTTAATATGGGATCTTCAAACATTATCTGTAATCCTTCTTCATTTAATCAACTGGGTTCTTTTGAACACTTTCACATGATTAATAATTTCCCTTGTTTACTTGTTCCTTGATAATAATTTTCCAATCTCGCTCTTTCAAATTTCTAATATCTTTACGTTTCATTAATATTTTAACTCATCACATCATGTTACATTTTTTCTCTATCAAAATCGTTTGGCTCCTCCCACTAATGAAATTTCCTTTCCCTGTCCTATGAAGCAACGCAGTCGCAGATGTAGGTATTCAAGCATTGCCTTACCCTGTATATAGCAAGTGAAATTACTGAGCATAACTTTTTCTGTGCTAGCATTAAGTTCAGGAGATTTGAATGCGAAGCATTGAGATATCATTTTAGCAAAATAGGAGGTGATGAGCAATTAAATCCGTAGGGAGCAATTATAGTATAGTGATTTGGCAGATACTCTTTAGGCATAACTTGGTTGTAGGAATATCGTGCGAGAATCCCCAGTGAGATGGGATCATTCATTTCATGTTACGAAGCGCAGTTACTCGAGAGGCATCGTAGGCTAGACTTAACTAGCTGCTGTCCTCAGCATAGTAGGAATAGACCGTTCTGAAATATCTGAATAATGGAATAAAAATTATTGTTATTATTGAATTATATTTTATATAGAAACATATGGTGGTGAAGGTTAGTTTAACAAATATATTTTATTTTGTTATTAGAAACAATTAAAAAAGTGAATTTGTAAGACAAGCAAAGGTATAAATTATTTGTGACTATAATTTGCAGTTCATGTCACCATTCTTGAGATAAAAATATTGTCACACTTTTTTTACCACGCCTCTCGCTTAAAATACTTACTTAGGTTAATGTTTATTGCCCTAAACTACTGCATAATGTTTAATTTAGAAGTAAAGTATTCTTTAAGATTTTGTTTTATTCATAACTGAAGCTGCAGAAGGAGGGGCCACAAAGTAGGGTGGAGCAAAGCGACACATCGTGAAAAGTCACCATAATGTAGCGACATCTAGCGATGCTAAAATTTAACTATATCTGTCATGTAAATAGACAATATTATTTACTATGTTTTGAAAGTCCCGATGTGTAATTTGCAATATAATATGTTACATTAATGTTTTTTTTTTATAAAATATAACTTTGCTCAATATCTGTTAAAAATGTATAAATTTTCATTTCATTTTTCATTCATTTTATTTATTTTTTTTTCCTCTTTCATTCCTTCTCTTTCTCGTTTTTGGTTTAGCAGCCACTTAACAGAAGTAAGTTTGGCTTATGTAATTACGGCAAAACCAGAGGGCTATTTGCCTATGGGGAAGGATGCCTTTGTGGAGAACTTTTCTAAGGAAAACTGCCTCATAAACATGTTACACACGGGGAAACCACGAAAACAGCCTGTCTATTCGCAAGATTCAAATTCGGACCAAACTGCCACTGTTCAGTGACTTTACCGCTCAGCAGCTGCTGAGTCTAACAGAAATAGAGCGACCATTTTACTTAATATATAACCAGTCTCTTCCAATGAAAATTGCCTTTTTAGGCTAGAACTTTATTAATACATTCAGGAAAATGGGCACCAAAAACTTTCCCATTACCATGTCCTTCTGCAGCTTCAGTTATGAATAAAACAAAACCTTAAAGAATATTTTACTTCTAAATTACTTATTATGCGCTAGTTTAGGGCTATAAACATTAACCTAAGTAAGTATTTTAAGCGAGAGTGGTCAATAAAATGTTACAGACCTTTTATCTCAAGAATGGTGGCATGAACTGCAAATTATAGAGGTCACAAATAATTTATACCTTTGCTGGTCTTAAAAGTTCATTCTTTTTAATTGTTTTTAATAACAAAATAAAATATATTTGCTGAACTAACACTCACCACCATATGTTTCTATGAAAAAGTATAATTAAAGATAACGATATTTTTTATTGAATTATCAGATTTTTCATGACAGGGAAAGGAAATTTCATTAGTGACATTAGCCAAACGATTTTTTAAGGAAAGGAATGTAACAGGATGTGATGAGCAAAATAGTAACGAAACGTAAATATATTAGTAATTTGAAGAGCGAGATTGGAAAATAATTATCATTAAGTAAACAAGACAAAATATTAATGATGTGAAAGTTGATTAAATGAAGAAGCTTTACGGATTTTTGAAGATCCCATATTCAAATGTAATTGTGAATTACATTTTAATATGGGAATTGAAAGTGACTGCCATACTTAGCTAAACAAATTGTTTTTCCTTTCCAAATTTAATTCATATTCCCTGACGAGAAATTTCAGCGCTTTTTCAATGTGGCCAGCTAAATGCCCTGACAGCGAATTCTGTGTGTCGGCTAAATGTCCTGTCGGCTAACTGTCCGTGTCGGCTAACTGTCCGTGTCGGCTAAATGTCCGTGTCTGCTAAATGTCCTGTCGGCTAACTGGTGTCGGTTAAGTGAATGTCAGCTAAGTGTTACGGACACCTCTAACCGTTCTGAAATCTGTTCAGCAATTTCATGCTGCTCTGCGGGAGGGGGGGGGACATCACGGAGCTCAATGAATTGGAAGTTGATCTGTCAGCACTATCCTCATCTTCAGGGCAGATGTTTTTATTTTATTTGGCTTATAATTCCTTGCTAAATGTAGTGTTTCATCTCGATGTACTCCGATATGATTTAAATCAATTTCCTCGTCATTATAAATATCATGAATACACATCAAATAGTTTTCTGGTTGCAATTTTCTAATTTCGACTATGCGTAATGTATGCTTTATGCATGCGCACGTTGAAAGAAATGTTTAATAAAGTAAACAAATAAAAATTAAGCTTTTTTTTTTTTTTTTTTTTTTTGTAAATTTTGATACCCTTTAGATCATAATTTCTCTCTTTATTTCATAAACTATGGTTTCATATTTTTAATTGTATAATTTCTGCACGCCATCTTACCAGATTTAAATTGATGATCTATAATCTGGAAAAACCTATAATACAGAATCGCCGAAGTCCGACGAGTCCAGATTAAAGACTTTGTACTGTATAAGGAATCATCATTCTATGTGCACAATAAATAACCTCAAGTTATCTTTGGAAATTATTAGGGTTCTAGTGTAGAAAAAGGTTTTCCTTTGATATGGCACCAAATACCGATGCTACTACCAGTTTTCTGGCAACTCAGAATTGATTCCGTTTCCCCAATGTTGAGGAAGCCATTTCATTGTTACCTGCCAATGTTTTCTTAAGTTTAATCTGATTGGAACTTCTTCATTTAGTAACTGAAGGCTACATTAATAATGTATTTTGAATTAATGGAATTTTAATTGCCATTAATTGATCATTGGTTTTCGTTTGTTGGCTGGTTCTAGTTAATCATTATTCCATCAGGAAGTAGTATGCCTAGCAAGATAAATACTAGTCCCTCCTCCATGATTTAGAGCAAAAGAGAAAGGAGTAAGAAAGTTACAACTGATTGGTGTATGAATGAAGGTTTGATTACTTCTCGTTATGAATGTCAAGTTTCTATAAAATATATGTGTCTAGTCAAGCTTAAGGATAAATTGGATGGCTATGAGCAAGTTTGTCATGAAAAAAATGCTCAAAACCGGTGCTCATACCAACACCAATGAGGGCATGTGCAACCAGATTAAGCAAGAGTTTCACAAGTGGGGTCTTTAGCAGTCATTGGCTGTTATGTTGTATTCTTACTTTGCAAAGTTTGTGTGGTGTCACCAATACTGGGATCAGGAGAAGGAGAATCAGTTCTGCGACAATGTCATTTGCACTACATATGTGCAGCAGTCATCTGATGATGACAATGAGATGCAGTCAAGAACACACACAGTGAATACTTTTGTTATTTTTGCACCATAAATTTTCGGCATTGTTTTGGGTGACAACTGTTTGGAAGCATTGCTTTCTGGCACCCTTCTTGGCATACAAAAGGACAGACAAAAATAGCAAGGGACACCTAATCACAAATTTTAACCTTTATTTACACATATATATAATACTGCTTTTTATTGTTATTTCTGAACACAGCTATAAAGGTAACCTAACAAAGGGGACAGTATGGATAATTAAAAAGTATCCATTTTCTTGCAAATAATGTCAATAACACAAACAATTTACAAATTTTAAGATCTCACAAAAATGTTAGCTACCAAACTTATTTGTAGCATTCATTTCTTTTAGAAGTTGGTTAAAATATTTAAAACTAGATTCACAAAAATATGTGTTCTATTTGTATATTCCTAAGCTACTTGTAACAAATAATAAAATTCTTATTTCTACACATATAAGAAAATGTTAATACAAAAAAAGTGAAATTATTACCAGCATTGATAATGAACCAACAGCCATAGGTTTCTCAGCAAGATTAGGATCATCTTGCATCTCAACGGCAGCATAAAACGCATCCATATCAATATGCACTATTGAATGATTTAAATTTCTTTCACTTTCTAAGACCACTCCTAAAGCTGTCATCTAAAAATAATGGTCATAAATTTAAAAAAAAAAGTAAAATTCATAGAAAATTCAATAACAGTAATGATTGTTTTTTCATAAATATTTAAATTATTATTATTATTATTATTATTATTATTATTAATTTTATAAATGCATCATACAAAAAGTACATTTTAGAAGTTTAGTGAATTTTAGAAGTACATTTTAGAAGTTAGTGATTATGTCAAATAGAATTTCCGATGCTGGAGCTCCCAAAGGATCTAGAAAATGAAAGTATGTTTCGATGTCCATCAAACAAAAAACGAATTGCTACAAGAAATGGATAAAGGCATATCCTTTGTTTATCTAACCGTTCCGAAATCTGTTTATCAATTTCACGCTGCTCTGCGCAGGGAAGGGGGGGACGTCGCGGCGCGCAATGAACTGGAAGTTGATCTGTCAGCACTATCGTTATCTTCAGGGCAGATGTTTTTATTTTATTCGGCTTATAATTTCTTACTAAATGTAGTATTTAATCTCGATGTACTCAGTCTTTGATATGATTTAAATCAAATTCTTCGTCATTATAAATATCACGAATACAAATCAAATAGTTTTCTGGTTGCAATTTTCTAATTTCAGCTATGCGTAAGGTATGCTTTACGCATGCGCGCGTTGAAAGAAATGTTTAATAAAGTAAACAAATAAATATTAAGCTTCCTTTTTTGTAAATTTTGATACCCTTTAGATCATAATTGCTCATTATTTTATAAATTACGGTTTCATTATTTTAATTTTAGGGGAAATTTCTGCATGCCATCTTACCAGATTTAAACTGATGATCTATTAATCCGGAAAAATCGATAATCCGGAATCGTCGAAGTCCCGACGAGTCCGGAAGACTTTTGACTGTACTATATTATTTTGTATTAAGCTTCATTGTGTGTTGTAGGAAATAGTGTTGATTAATTTTTGGATTGCATGGCGCTATATAAAGTGAATTCTAAATTTTTTATGCGTTTATCTGATAATTCAAAAGAATTGGTTGAATGGTGTATGAGTGTAGGTTTAATTGCGGATAAGTATGAATGTCCAACATGTGGGAATGAAATGAGATTGTGTGAAAGGAAGGATATTACAGATAAGTTTGAATGGGGGTGCAAGAAATCTGGTGAAAATGGACATTTTGTGAAATGGAGTGTAAAGAAGGGTACGTGGTTTGCTGAAAGTCATTTGAGTATGGGTGAAATTTTATTAATTTCTTATTATCGGGTGAATAGACTGCCAGTTTACAACTGGATTTTGGATTTAGAAATTAGCAGTAGTACTGCAGCTGATTGGAATTCTTTCTGTAGGGAAGTGTGCATGGAATTTTGCGAGAATGATATGGGTATGATTGGTGGTATGAATGTTATTGTTGAAATTGATGAAAGTAAGTTTGGGAAGCGCAAGTATCAGAGAGGTAGGAGAATGGAAGGAAAATGGGTATTTGGTGGGATTGAAAGGGGTAGTAATAAGTGTTTTTTTAAGGTTGTGCGAGATAGAAGTAAAGATTGCTTATTAAGTTTTATTAAACAGTATATTCTACCTGGTACAATAATCATATCTGATTGCTGGAAATCATATGCATGTTTGGAGGATGAATGTTTTCAACATCTTGCTGTGAACCATAAGTATCATTTTAAAGATCCTGAAACAGGTGCACATACGAACTCAATAGAGGGCACGTGGAGTGCTATAAAAAGCGCCACTCTGAGGCATTATGATAAAGAGAATTTTGCTTTTTATTTAGTGGAGGAAGTATGGAGGAAAAATTTGCAGAAAAAATCTTTCAATAATTTTATTGAATCTTTAGAAAAGTGTATCCGCCACGTAATCAAGATTCTGAAGAAGATTAGGTAAGTTAGTATTTTTAATTATTTGAGGATATTATTTTTATGCATTGTTCTAAATGTAAGGAGTAAATAAAGTAATATGGTATTATTGGAAAATTGTTATTAGCAATGATTTAGTTTAAAGTAATTAGGATTGTAAGCTAATTTTTATTAATTTAATGTATGTGCTTATTTATATTTCAAGTAGTGTTTTTTAATTTAATTATATTTTAATCAAATGATAGTTATTTTGTGAATTTTATGTTTATAGCAATTTGGTATACGTTTCAGTTGAAGTAAACGTGCATGGAAATAATTTAAATATTTGACACTAAGTATTTGTAACGATTTTTAATGTTTGCGGTATAAATTCATTGGTGACGTTTTAATATAATAGATAATTTAGAGGTAAAAGTTTTTGGATATTTTATTTATTTTATACATAGAAATGTTCATCCTTGGAAAGGGTATATACTTTTTCGCGATGAGGTAATTTCATATATGTTGTTTTTACCGGATTTAAAGATTCACAAAATTTTCATGCATTTTCTTGAAATTTTTCTAATTTATGAGAAAAAAGCAGTGTACATGGATATAGTGAAGAGTGTGCGCAATGCCATTTTTGTGCAATTCTGGGATGTTTTTTTAAGTAAAAATAAGTCGACGTGTACATGGTTTAGTTATATTTTAATTAAATGATAGTTTTTAATTTTTAAATGATAGTTATTTTGTGAATTTTATTTTGTAGCAATTTGGTATACGTTTCAGTTGACGTAAACGTGCATGGAAATAATTTAAATATTTGACACTAAGTATTTGTAACCATTTTTAATGTTTGCGTATAAATTGGTTGGTGACGTTTATAATATAATAGATAATTTAGAGGTAAAAGTTTTTGGATATTTTATTTATTTTATACGTGGAAATGTTCATTCTTGGAAAGGGTATATACTTTTTCACGATCAGGTAATTTCATATATGTGCTTTTTACTGAGTTTAAAGATTCACAAAATTTTCCTGCATTTTCGTGCAAATTTTTGTAATTTATGAGAAAATAGCAGTGTAGATGGATAAAGTTAAGAGTGTGGGCAATGCCATTTTTGTGCAATTCTGGGATGTTTTTTTAAGTAAAAAAAAGTCGACGTGTAAATGGTTTATGTGTATGTGCTATTCTAAAATCGCGCAAGGAGTTTGCGATTCTGTACTTTTTCCCAGTTTTGCAGTTAATATTTGTCATGATTAAGCAGTTTTGTTACATAAAATTTCTAGCATAAGTGTAATTCGGCTAGTAGATTGTTGGAAAAAGTGTTGAGTAAATAAAAAGAAAAGAAACATGTCTTTACTTCATGAAGACAAAATGGCGGCAAAAAAAAAAAAATGGAGGGTTGCTGTAGCAGAGTTGGTCGCCAAATTTTTGCCAAAAAATCGCCACGTTACCATAATCCAAAGATCAACCAGATTAATTTGAAGTTTCTATACGATTAGGAATGAAAGGGGAAAAGTGCATTAATTGACTGGTGTGTAAATGAAGGTTTATTTAGTAACCATTTTCAGGACAGTCCGGAATACGTAGAATGTTTTTTACTCTTATTTTTGTGAATTTATGTGACAACGCCAATATACGGATTCTAGTCAGGTGATCTTAGGAAGTTTTGGGATGCTGTTAAGGAATTTTGTGTGCCACAGAGGTAAGTGGATATTTGCTTTGTGTAAATGCATAACGTTAATGCATCAAATGCATAATCCTTTTTTATGTTATTTTATTGTTTGGTTTTAAATGTAGTTTATTGAGATTATGTATTTTTTGTTTGTCTTTACTGAGGAATTGGGTGCTCCTTTGACTTTTTAAGTGAAAATATATCGGTGTACTAGGACAAACTCAACGGAGTGTGCAAAGCCTAGTTTCTGCAATTCTCTGATTTTTTTTTTAAGTGAAAATGGGTCAATGTGTACATGGATAAAGTCAAGAGAGTGCGCAATGCCATTTTTGTGCAATTCTGGGATTTTTTTTTTAAGTGAAAATAGGTTGATGTGTACATGGTTACCGAGTATGTGCAATTCTTTGTCTTGTTATTTTGGCTTAGCGTAGTGGTGATTTCGGTATCCATGTAACCGCCAAAAATCACCAAGGGGTACCCCTAAAATATATTTTTACCGATTATTATTCTCTAAAACAAATAGGAGAATACAATGATGAAAACAGCTAGCAGAATTAAAATGATTTAATATGTACTCACAGAATTGATGAAACTATAAAAATATAATTTAAAATTAACAATAAAAATAGTAACTTGAAACTGAGAAAAAACTAAAGTCTAGCAAACAAAATATTATTAGAAGCATGAATTAGATTGAAGCTTTATAACAATTTACAGGATAAATTCAGTTCTAAACAAAATATTAAATACACCAAAGTGCAATCACATTAGGGATAGCTACTGTTATGTAAACTTTGAGCTGTGTGCAAGTCTGGAAGTGACTTGTGAATGATGTAAGGAGTAATAAATGATGTATGGAGCGTTTGACAAGATAAGGAGTGCTGGTCATAGTGCCAATCAAAAGCAAATTGGGTAAGAGAAGGGATGTAAGTGCATTTGATAGTAGCCAAATTATCAGAGCTTAACGAATGGGTCACTCCATTTTGGAAGTAATGCAGACACTTGGATTTTCATGCAATACTGGGTTAAGAGTATACCATGAGTATGTCGATTCCAGTAAAACCATCCCTTCCAGGGTCAACAGCATAAGAATGATAAAAGGTGGCGGCGGCTAGCTTGTATTGTAACGGCGATGGGCCAAGGGGCAGCAGATCACCCATCACACACCATACAAAACCATCTCCTCTGAATAGGGTAAAGGAGTCATCATCCTATGAAAGTCCCTCTGCTGACTGCACAAAACATGGTGCAATGATTGGCATGGGCACAGGAACATTGCTAATGGACCGTTGAGATGTGAAAAAATGTTATCTGGAAAGATGAGTCGAGATTCACTTTGGTACATGCTGATGGAAAGCATAAACCACATGAAATGATGGATCCTTCTTGCCAGCACAAGACTTTTCAAGCTAGTGGAGGTGGTATTTTTGTCTGGGGAGTGTTCATATGGGCTGAAATGGGACCCCTGGTGTGTGTGATGCTGTCTTTCACAGTTGAACATTATCCTTGACGGCCATCTACTCTTATATGTTCGTTTTTAGCAGCTCACCACAGAAATTATCTTTAAACAAGACAATGCACCATGCCATCACTCCCGAATTGTATATGGTTGGATGAACATTCCACAGACTTGCACGTGCTTTCCTAGCCAATCAAGGTCAACTGATCTCAATCCGATCGAACACATGTGGGATGCAATTGAGAGATGTTCTAGATGCCGAACCACCTTTCATCTAATCTTCATGAATTGTGGAAGGTTGTTCAGGAGTTAATATATATGGCTTCCCAGCACTTAAGTGTCTTGTCAAGTCCATGTCAAGGCAAATCGCAGCTGCCATTAAAGTGAAAAGTTATGCTATGAGCTACTAGACAGGTATCCAAGTCAATTGCTCTTCAGTGTACATATTTCATTCATTTTTATACAGATGTTATTGATTAACTGATACTTTAATTAGCTATTAATTCATTTATACAAATGACTGCAAATTGCAATGATAATTTAAAACTGGTACTTCTCGGTTCATTGGGCAACACCAATCAGTTCCCTATAAACACTAGCATAAAATCAAACTAGATGACAGCAACCCTAATGATATATGAAGCTTCATGAAAATAAGAATGACTATTTTATTAAATTCAAAATAAACATAAAAATTAAGGGGAATACATTTTACTAGACTAATTTCAGATTATAGAGGAAGCACGATTGCCTTTTTTCATGCAATCACTGCTACATGAATTCAATCAGGCAGGAATCTAGATGGTGACAGCACTTATGTTCCTTTTGCCATTTTGCACTGTACAGTCAAAAGTCGTTAATTCGGACACCCATAATTCGGAATGATCTATAATCCGGACCTCAAAGCTAAAAACTTTCTGCGCATGCGCCACATTGGCACATGCGCACAGGCGTTTTACGCGTGCGCGTAAGACCCTGACTACTGCGCATATGCGTGTGCGCAAGTGCAGAATACATTTTCGCCTGCGCGTTTAATGTATAACGGATGGTGTAAGCTAAAATTATCTAATTATCTATTTCAGTTAATGTTAATGATTGCGTTGTTCCTTAATCTTCGAATTGGATCCCGCTTATTATTTTTTGCAGACTGTAAGAGCAATTTTATAAAAGTAAACTTGAACTTTCGATTATGTCAAATAGAATTCCGATGCTGGAACTTCCAAAGGATCTACAAAACGAAAGTATGTTTCGATGTCCAACACAACAAAAAGTGGAATTGCTGCAAAAAAATGGATAAAGACATGAAGAATGTGACAGAGAGGTTAGTGAAAACGAAAAAATTTCGATTGACAAGTTAGTCGGTATTCTTGGCACAGCAATTAACGGGACTTGAACAGCGGAACTTTGTAACTGAACAAGAAATTATGTCTTTTTATAGAATTAAAGAGAAAGTATTACCACATAAAATGAAGCAACTTAAACAACTTACATTGAGATAAATGTTTAATAAAGTAAACAAATAAATATTAAGCTTTTCTTTTTGTAAATTTTGATACCCTTTAGATCATAATTGTTCTTTATTTCATAAATTACGGTTTCATATTTTTAATTTTAGAATTTCTGTATGCCATCTTACGAGATTTAAATTGATGATCTATAATCCGGAAAAATCGATAATCCGGAGTCGCCGAAGTCCCGACGAGTCCGGATTAACGACTTTTGACTGTATTCGGATTAATAACTTTATAGCTGTGGTTAACCTGCAAGTGTTCATATCTGGCAGCTACCAATTCCTTTGTTTAAGCAACTGAAATCTATGAGAGAATATTCCTTCATTCTCTCTGCTTATTTGTAACAATACCATTTCACAGCTACTCATAACATTGTATGAATAGACTAACACATGTGGCAATCTGGTGCCACATTAAGGGAAAAATAACCTCAAAATTAGATGAATATATAAAAGCATAATAAAATAATATCAATTTATAAACAAAATTAATAATTACAAATTTAAAATAATAAATTTATAATTAATGAAAAATTAAATTTACAGTAAGGAGTAGCTTAGGAATTGGCAATTTACATAGAAATTTTAACAAAAATAAGTAAATAAGATGTTATTATGATACGTAATATACATCTGAGAAAAAATTTTATATAATTTATTTTGGCACTTTTTGAAGCATCCATATTTCTAAGGAAAAGTTGTAAAAAATGTATTCATGAGGCAAAGCAATATGTTGCTATAATAGTTATGTGGCAACCCCTGAGAGTGACAAAAAATATTTATGTAGCATATATGAGTAGCATGTCTGCTCTGACCAATATGCAATGCCAAGTTTCTACAATTTTCTAAAATAACATTTTTTTAAGAATAAACAAATTGCTGCGTATGTGGGGAGGGGTACAATATCACACTCACACACACACAAAAAAAGATTTCTCGAAAATGGTACGTATTTTAATACCGATGTTTCTTGCTTTTTCAATTTTAATCAATTACTCTTGTATGGAATTCTTAGAGTGCCACGATTTTGAAAATGGCTGTGATAGTCTATATTGTAGGGTACCCCTTGGATTATTGCCAAGTTATTTTTCATTTATTGTCAAATTATTGTTTTATTTATGCTAAACTGAGTATTTTAAGTTGAATGTTTCGGAAATCTTATTATGATGTGACTGGTTGTAACAAAGAATATGTATAGATGCTCTTTGGTTGTAATGCATGATTGCTTAGGTTATTGTTGGGAAATATTTCTGAGGGCTTATTTCTGCACTGGATGTTGGTCAGGAAGTACGTTGCTTAGTTTGTACTTTACACCATAAAATGGCTGTCGGTGGTAAGATTAACCTGAAGTTTCTGTACAGTTTGGAATGAACAGGAAAGAAAACATTGATTTACTGAGTAAGTGTGTAAATGAAGATCCAAATGGCTTCGTTCATCTCTCATTAAATTATGCAGTTGACATTTCAGATTTGAAAAACGGTGCTCATATTAACACTATGGAAGGTATGAGGGGTGTGTAATAAAAAGGTATTTAAAAAAAAAAAAAATGTCATCGGCAGTACAGAGGATATTTTTGATTTTTATATTTGTGAATTTATGTGACGACAGCAGTATACAGATTCTAGTTCACATAATTTTAAACAGCTTCTTTTGGATGCTGTTAAAGAATTCAGTGTGCCCCACACTGAAGACACAGAAATTTCTAAATAAGGTGAGTCAATATTTCCTTTTTATACTGTGCAGATTAGATAACATGTAGTTCCATTTTTATGTTATTTCCTAGTTTTATTTTAATTTAAAATGCTATTTATTGAGATTATAACTTTTTTATGTTTTATTACATTATGTCTTTGGACACTATTTTACTTGGGAAGTAACTATAACTTGGGAACACTATTTTACCTGTTACTTGCACGTAAACAGGAATGGCACCAGTAAAAATCGCAAATTTTTGCCAAGGGGTACCCTGAAATATATTTTTCCCAATGGCTGTTGCCTTTTGTGCATTTGTTTGACAACAAATTAGTCATGAATGAGTTTGCCATATTTCAGTATGAAAGCAGATAATCAGAAAGAGCCTTAATTTTTATTATAATTAAATGTATGAAAATATTAAATATCATTAATATTCCCTCTGTAAATTATTCAAAATATTTCTTTATTAATATTTAACTGTTAAAATTCAGATTATAACTTAAATCTACATATTAGTCATATAAAAAATTACATATCAAATCACATTCTAAGAAAAACTTAGAAAAATATCTATGAAATATGATTAACTTTAGAATCAATTTCTAATTATAAAGTACACCTAAAAACAGGTTATAGTGTCTAGAAAACATCCATTCACATACCAAATAATAGTACAACATAACTTGATATGAAAATAAAAATTGTACCTTTTCTAATGATGCTTTTTTTTGTACTTCTGTGATCTTTTTAATATTAGATTGCAATTCTTTAACTTTAGCATCAATAGACTTTTGTCTCTTTTCTTGAAATGCAAAGTATGGGGTACCTTTAGATGCCTCAAAAATAATTTTATTTATTATTTCTTTATTTAAACCTTGCATCCCAGCTTTTTGATCATTTAACTGCATGGTTTTTACGCCTATAAAATAAAGAATGTAAATCAAAATTAGATAAATTCCATAAACATAGCTCTAATAAATGGATGCTATTATACTGCATGGGACAATCAAACAAACTAAAATTATATTAAATAGCTGGAAAACAAATATCATCAACATAACATTTTCTGTAAAAAAATTAGAATATGCTTAATTTGTGAGAAGATTGATTGATTGAATTGATTAGAATATACTTTAATACTTAATTTTTTGAGAATGTAATTGAAATTTAATATTTCCTTTTATAATATTGTTATTATTATAAGATTTTAAAATGCATTTTTCATAGCCTCATAAGACAGATACATTTTGAATTATTTAAATAGCATGGAATGAAGTGTGAGGCTATTAATATGAAAATTCATTTCTTCTTCTTAGAAAAAATGGTACTTTTCTGTTATGGGGACCGAATTAAGAAATGTTATGTATGCATGTATATGTACAAACACAAATACACACATTTCAGAATCTGTTAAAAAAAAAAAAATTATCACAATGTATTTGTAGTAATATTTACCAAAATTAAACATTACAGATAAAATTTATATGCTGTCTAATAGTACTAACAGAAAAAATAACCTATAAGGTATTCACTAATTAAAATTAATCTCATGTATGACAAATATTTAGCTATCAATATATACTTTAATAAAGAACAGACAGACATTCCAATATGGTTAATTTAAGGCAAGTTGTTTAATCTTTGAATGCTATTGGGTACTTTCTTTTTTTCAGAGAAAAAGTGATAATTTTGAAATTAGTCTACGAGTATTTCCTAACATTTTACTACATACACAATCAGTGCCAACAAAAATTCTTTCATATAAAATTTCACTTTATACTTAAAATCACATCATGATGTCATGCTCTGAATAATATTAATTACAGTTCCAGATTAATATGTTTTTCAATGTAACGTGATATCAAGAAGGAGAATTTTGCCAAACAACTTCCAGGAGTTTTCTATAAATTTTCTAAGGATTTCAAATCAAGAAATCTACTTGGTCACTGTATTTGATCAATAACTTGGGTTTCAATAATTTATTAATTAATTTTACTCTATGTGGACAAGCATTATTATCTAAAAATAGAAAGTCAAATTCACATGCATTCATAAACATAAGTTTGTGAGACTCCTTGCATCTGGTTACTTTTTCTTTTTTTAGGACCACCAACAGCTGAGTCATAAAATCATTGAATAGTGGTAGTTGACGTAGGTTCAAATCCCAGTAAATGGACAATTAAATGAGTTTTTTAGGGCTTTTCTTATGTGATATGTACAAACCAATTTCTATTAAAAAGGCCTCTATGGAGATATACTTTCCCTTGTAAGTTTAGTCACAGTCTAGTCCAGATAAAGACGTTTCTTTTAAAATTGCATTCAGTAAAAGGAAAAGTTTTTGGTTGGATTAGGGTACTTATGTATTATTACAACCACCTTAGTAAAAGGTGCCAATTTTTAAAATACACAAAGGGCTGGCAATATGCACATACAATTTTCAGTTTTTTAACAAGCAAATTACCATTTTCCTGCGCATATTTCTTTATTGTGTTCTATGTTCCAAAGTAGTTTATAGACAAACTGTGATATTTTCTGATACAGTAATTTGCTACAGAATCAATAAAGCAAACAATTGCTTTGAATCTACAAATCAATAATTAAAATTCACCAGTAAGTATATTGATTTTCAGGACAAATACCTGATAACTACGTAAAAATATATGGGCTCTGAAAAAAATCACATGGCAAAGTGCTATGTCGCCAAATTAGACAACCCAGGATTTTATGAAAGGGGAAAGTGCAGAATCACCCACTGCTTGGCACGTTTTTAAGAATTGCACATACTCGGTATCCATGTACACATTGACCTATTTTCACTTAAAAAAACAGCCCAGAATTGCATAAAAATGGCATTGCGCACTCCCTTGACTTTATCCATATACACATCGACTTATTTTCACTTAAAAAAGTCAAAGAAAATTGAAAAAAAATCCAATTCTTCTTACTCTTGTATAAAACACCAAACAAATAATTGCGCGATTCTGCACTTTACCGTTATGAAAATGTATTTATCTAACAACTCACTAATGGTTACGAGTGTATTATGCCAGCATGTAATGCCACTATCTATCTCAAAGGCAGCAGAAATGCTCAGTTCTGAAATTCAAGGGCCATTTTTGTGGTTCCTGTTTCTTGTGATTAGTGTTCCCCCCTTGTAATAAATCGTTATGCTACTAAGCAGTCTGCTCGCAAATGAAAAAGAAAGTATTGTATTTTTTCAGAAATATGACATTTTGCCTAGAAGTAAAAAGTGTAGGAATGCACATTCTGTGAAGTTAATTTGTACAGTTTTCCGATTGTTAAGCAAAAAAAAGAGTTGATGTGTATGTGGACAGCAGTGCCAATTTGCTCTGCAATGCTGATAATTCTCCGACGATTTTTAAAATTAAAACTGATCACTGTGCACATAGGCAGAAGAAGCAGACAAAAGAAAGTTAAGTATTTTATTATTGGTATTTGTTGCATTTTTAATTTGTGTTGGTTTATGTAATATTAAGAGCTTCATTATAGATGTTTCTTGTATTTTCAATTTCGTAAATTTTTGCTATTTTATGTAATATTTAGCTCAACATCAATTTTTAGAATGTCTACTGTTTTTCACATGTTAGGTTGGTAAAAAATTAGTTGCCAACAACTGGCGAGGAAAATTGGGCTGATAATGCAAATACCTAATACGTAGGTACATGGGTAGTTATTCTTTTAAATTTTTTCTTCTGTATAAAATCTCCAGGTAGAGTAGACTTTAAGGTACCCCTTGTATTATGGCAAAGTTGTTCTTTGATTTATCTCCAAGTTGTTGTTTCATTTATGGTAGCCTGAGTAGTTGAATGTTATGGAAACCCTATTGTGACATAATCGGGTGCATGATTCTGGGAAATTTTGAATCATGGGATGTTTTGTAAGCGTTTTTGTGGTGTGTGTGTGTGTGTTTGATCCTTTAGACTGTAGTAAGATTTATTTGAATTTTCTGTACGATTTGGAGGGAAAGGGGAAAAGAGCTTTAATTGACTGCTGTGTAAATGAAAGTTTGGTTGATCTTTACAATATGGTAACTGGTAGTTTGGCGACATTTTGGAGGCGATAAAGGTTACTACCTGGCACTTTGGTAATAACGTGAGCAGTACTCAGTTCCGATTACGCATTATTTTGTGTGAGGGAAATGAGAGATCATGGGATATGTCATGTGATATTAATGGACGAATTACGGTTCTTTAATCGGAAAAGGGGGGAAATCGGGAAAAAATCTGGAAATTTTGTATTTGGCTTCATTCTGTGTTGTGTGAAACAGTGTTTGTGAATTTTTGGATCCCATGGACGTAACTAAAGTGAATTCGAAATGGGTATTTATGTATGTATTAATTTAATGTATGTGCTCATTTATATTTTAAGTAGTGTTTTTGAATTTAATTATATTTTAATTAAATGATAGTTATTTTGTGAATTTTATGTTTGTAGGAATTTGGTATACGTTTTAGTTGAAGTAAACGTGCATGGAAATAATTTAAATATTTGAGACAGTATTTGTAATGGTTGCGGTATGAATTCGTTGGTGACGTGTATAATGTAATAGATGATTTAGAGGTAAAAGTTTTTGGATATTTTATTAATTTTATATGTGGAAATGTTCATATTTGGAAAGGGTAAATACTTTTTCGCGATCAGGTAATTTCATATATGTTCTTTTTACCGGGTTTAAAGATTGAGAAAATTGTCATGTATTTTCGTGAAATTTTTCTAATTTATGAGAAAAAAGCAGTGTACATGGATATAGTGAAGAGTGTGCGCAATGCCATTTTTGTGCAATTCTGGGATGTTTTTTTAAGTAAAAAAAAGTCGACGTGTAAATGGTTTATGTGTATGTGCTATTCTAAAAACGCGCAAGGAGTTTGCGATTCTGTACTTTTTCCCAGTTTTGCAGTTAATATTTGTCATGATTAAGCAGTTTTGTTAGATAAAATTTCTAGCATAAGTGTAATTCGGCTAGTAGATTGTTGGAAGAAGTGTTCAGTAGATAAAAAGAAAAGAAACATGTCTTTACTTCGTGTAGACAAAATGGCGGCGGGAAAAAAGAATAGAGGGTTGCTGTAGGAGAGTTGGTCGCCAAATTTTCACCAAAAAAATGCCAAGTTACCATAATGTAAAGATCAACCAAATTACCTTACAATCCTAATTACTTTAAACTAAATCATTGCTAATAACAATTTTCCCAATAATACCAAATTCCTTTCCACCTTACATTTACAACAATGCATAAAAATAATATCCTCAAATAATTAAAAATACTAACTTACCTAATCTTCTTCAGAATCTTGATTACGTGGCGGATACACTTTTCTTCCTTCTGTATCAGAATCTTTAAAATCATACTTATCTTTCAAAGCAAGATACCAGGTAAAATAAATAACATAATAAAACACCTTTATTTCTCTCTCGCACAACCTTAAAAAACATTTCTTACTATCCTTTTCAATACCACTAAATACCCATTTCGAATTCACTTTACTTACGGCCATGGGATCCAAAAATTCACAAACACTATTTCACACAACACAGAATAAAGCCAAATACAAAATTCCCAGATTTTTCCCGATTAAAGAACAGTAATTCGTCCATTAATATCACATGACATATCCCATGATCTCTCATTTCCCTCACACAAAATAATGCGTAATCAGAACTGAATACTACTCACATTCTTAACAAAGTCTAACTAACCTAATCTTCTTCCGAATCTTCCTTACATGGTGGACACACTTTTATTACGGATTCAATAAAATTACTGAACGATTTTTTTTCCGAATTTGATAGAATTTGATTAAAAAAAAATTCTCTTTATCACATCTACAATTCACTTTAGACAGCGCCATACAATCCCAAAATTATTCAACCCTACTTCACACAACACACAATGAAGCTTAATACAAAACAATATACATCTCAGATACTTGTCCAAATTCCCCCCTTTTCCGATTAAAGAACCGTAATTCGTCCATTAATATCACATGACATATCCCATGATCTCTCATTTCCCCCACACAAAATAATGCGTAATCGGAACTGAGTACTGCTCACATTATTACCAAAGTCCCAGGTAGTAAACCTTTATCGCCTCCAAAATGTCGCCAAACTACCAGTTACCATATTGTAAAGATCAACCACGAATTTGTTTTTATTCAATACATTATTCATTTACATTCAAATGATTCATATAAACAAAAGTTTAGGTTAAATAAAAATAGTTTAAAAATAATTTTAACTGTATTTAATTACCACATAAAGCTACATCTTCCTTACCTTCCATTTTAGCAAATTTTAGAGTAAAACAGATATGAGAGAAATAAATTGAGAAAATTCATTACAAATATCAGAGTCAATTAAAAATATATAAATTTTTCAGTAAAAGGATTATTTTTATTAAAGTTTCCAAAATATTTTATGGTTACTAATGCATCCTTCGGTAAAAGCCTTCTTATAAAATATCTTAATTTTAAAATTTTCATGTATCATCGAAATTCAAAAATTTCAACAAATTTCTTCGGAAGCATAATGATAACCTACGGAACGGAGTACACTCCGTGTGATAAATAAACAGTAAATAGTTTGAAAGAAATTCAGCATGATTGCCAATTCTTTGTCCAAAGCTCACCAAGAAACACAAGAACGTGGTATAAAATACATATAGAGTATAATATATAAAGCTAATAATTTTAAAACAATTAGTTTTATTGTAAGTACTAAAAAATATTTATAAAGCTATATATTGAGTCATTTTTATTTGAAATTTTTATTTAATTATTATCATAATAGCTTTATTTATCATAATAGGTTTTCGTTATTATCATCCTTATCTTTATAGATAAATTATGGAATATCTCATTGAGAATTATGCTTATAAAAATCTTCTTTACGTAGAACGCACTAGACGAATTATTTGTTGGTTTTCCAAATTAACGTTTTAGCATGTTTGTTTGCTGAACTGCGGTGCTTAACCACCAGGGTGCCTGGGCGCCATAGCCCTGAGACGTCAGAACAAAATGTGCACGTTGGCAATAGTTCGCTTGTAGAAATTTCCAGCAACTCTGTGCTGAAACTGGCAACTAGAAATATCTTAGCCTCCATTAAATTGTCAGTACATTCTGGAACGTCCACTGTTTAGGTTTGTGACCTGTGTGAACGTGTTAAATCACTTATTTGAAGATTTGTACCATCGTGTAAATCTTGCGCTTACGGTTATTTTTTATTTGAAACTAAATTATTTTGGACTTTCAATATGTTTTCTTTAATGAGAGACTTTAATGATGATCCTTTCTTCAGGTATGATGTGTATCTGTTGTTACTTGAATCGCCATATCGAAAACTGAATTAGAACGTATGTATGTAATTGGTATTGTGGGAGTGGAATACGTTGTTTCGTTTTTAAAGTATAATTACTGGTATTTTGTTTTATATTAAAGCTTTTTTTAATATAGTAGTTTATATATTTTTTATTTATTAATTTTTCTTCTCTTCGTGGGTATATTTAGATCTGTTGCAAGAATTAGAATTCCGTAATGAACTCAGTAGTTGCGCGGATGGTATAGTTTGTAATTTAGTTTCAGCTGTGAAACATTTTGAATTTTTTTGTTTGTAAATGAAGTGTTTTAATTTTTTTTGAAAATAATTGCGCATAGATATAATTGAAAGCAGGTAGATATTTTTTAATGTGTTGTCCTTTGTAGCAAGTGGGAATTTAAAAAAAAAAAAAAAAAAAAAAAAAAAAAATTAGTTACTATGTAACCAAACATAGCTACTTTGCTACATTGGAGCTGTTAATTTCATGTTGTATCTGTGAAAAATGGAAATACCATTCATAGCTTTATAACTCTTGAATAAGCCGAGAAACTATTGCATTCAAATCGAACCTTTATATAAATACGAAAAATTCCATCGATTTTCCGGTATTGCAAATTTTTAGTCATTTAATTATCACTAAACCATAATCGTATAAATGAAGGTAGTGGAAATTAGTACATAATAGTGTAGCTGGAATTAATGTTTATGCATCCTAACATACTGGTGCCAGTAATTCTTTGATTATATAATAATCATATAATTTTAAATATGTGGTGGATTTGGTTTTTTATGCAGATTAATTTGTAAAGAATAATCTTAATTGTGACAGCATGTTTTATGTATTTAATGATGTTGCTGTTAGTTAATACAAGGTTTTTTTTTTTTTTTTTCTTTCCCTTTACTTTGAGAGGGAAACAGTATTGCCCAACAAGCAAAATTTTTAAATTTTCAGATTTTTGAGGATTTAGGGTTTTGGGTTAGAGGTCATAATCTCTATCTGTTAGCAGCATTTAATATCTAAACTGAATATTTTCTTCTTGAATACTTAAATTATATAGAAAATTTTATAGCTAATAAGGAATGTAATTCATTTTAAGAATAATTCTTAGTAATTTCATATCTTAACAAAACAGTCATTACAGTAATTCCTCATTGAAGGCCATTGCATGAACTTGGATTAATCTGTAACCACATCCAACAATGCTTTGCAGTAGGACACCAAACCCTTCCTAATGTAGTAATACCAACAGGAAATCATTAAAGTAATTTGTCTCTTTCTTAGATTGTGTTAAAAACACTAGCCATAAATATAGGATTTCACTAATAATTATACAAATTTCAATTTTTTTATTTAAAATTCTGTATGAAAACAGGAAGAGATAGTAGCAGGATTTAGTGGCATTTTGTTTTAATAATTTGAGAATTAATAGTCTTTGCTTTGAAAATGTTTATTATTCGAACTCTATTTATTATACTGAGCACAAATAGAGGGTACTTATGCATTATTGAAACCACCTTAGTAAAAGTCATTAAATTTTCAGAAGTCCTCAAACTCTCACAACCATGTACATTGCAAGTTACAATCCAAAAATTCACTGAATCTCCTTTTTCTTCTGTAAAAAATTGCCAAACTGTGCCATGGTGGTTGCGCTCATATGAGAGTTAAGTATTAACTTGATTTAGTAGCCGAAACTTAGAAATATATACACAACATGAAATAGAAGTCAACATAAATATATAAGCTCTTCTGAAATTGGAAATTTTTTTTTGGGGGGGGGATAATTTGGTGCTATTTAAAATTAACTGCTCAACAAATAGAAAATTTTATGACTTTTAAGGTATGATAATGAATTTTGTGGTGGCCTTTCTGTAATAGAAGCTTTAAATAAGAATATCTTGTTTAATGCTGCTTCTGAACCTGCTTAAATAAGAATCTAAATACTGTCAAGCATTAATCTGCATAAAAATTCAAATCCACCACATGTTTAAAATTATCATTATTATATAATCAAAGAATTACTGCCACCATTATGTTAGGGTACATATACATAGTTTGAAAATTTATTTTAATGCAATAGTTCTTTTGTTATGCCATTCGGCAGAACCTAAGATATGTTAAATTATCTGTGTATGTGTGCCTGATGTTAGATTATTGAATTGTCTTTTTATTTCTTGCTATAATAAGTAATAATCTGAATATTCAGTTTTCTTCATGATGTTTTTTTCCTTATCTTTATTAGTGTTTAGCACTTGTATCTGATGTTTATGCAATGAAATATTTTTTAATATTAAAAAAAATTCAACTGTTTTGATGGAATGCTGCCTATGTCGTTTATTTCCTTGGCAGGTAATCTTGTGTCAGGCTGTCAAAATATTTTTTGGGGAGAGGCAATATTTTCAGTCGGTCATCAGTGCTCTATGGTTGTTTAATTAAAACAGCCAACAGATCTCCCTCAGATAATTGTGCTAATCAGTGGTTGCATTTTCATCCATTTTTTTTCTTTGGACTATCTGATGGCAGTTAGGTTTCGTATTTAAATACTGTATAAGTGCAGTGCTGGTAGGGGAAAAAAAAGAATTTGGGAACAATGAAACCCATTATCAATACGATAATTTAGTTCTCTTTCAGATCTTTTGTGTGCATCTCCAGATATTTTCTTCTGCATACTTTTAAGTGGCCATATTTTTATTCTTGATTAGTAATCAAAATTTTATATTGTTTAAAAGTTCCTTTTCTTTTTCGGTTGATTTTTGTTGTAATTAAAAATTTGTTTTGAAGAAAAAAAATTCAAATAATGAATACCGCAAGGTCAGCTTTCCAATCTGAACTGCTGTAAGGTTAAGTTTGCCAGTTTTGGCAACTATCACAGCCATTTTAATTAAAAACAAAGTACTACCATTGTTTGAAAAATAAAGTATTTTAAATGAATTAATGGGATCTTTTAGCAAACCAAAAATATTTGCTTTTTGGCTATTCCTGTTATTTTTCTATTAGATAAAAAATCATGGTTTTGATTTGTTTTCTCTGGAAATTAATATTAAAATGAAACTAGAATTGGGTTGTCAGAAAGTAAGCACTGGATGGGGATTTTGTAAATGTATGAGATAAATATTGAATTTATAAGCATAAATTGTTTTACATAGATAAATGATACTTGCATGTTAAGTTCAGTAGGCTGTAATGTGGATACCAACTTTATAAATGCCACCAAAGCATTTTTAAATGTAATTTGACCCGTGTGATATTTAAGTAAAATTTCTCATAAAATGCTTTTTTTTTTATTTATGTATTCATCTTTAAAGCATAAATGTAAAATTGTGCAGTTATTTACAATCTTAATCTAATGATCTGAAAAAATACTTTTATAGTGGTCCTATGGAAAGCATGAGACGGATGGAATCTATGATGGATAGTATGATGTCACCGTTTGGTATGTTTGGTGGCCAAAGAGCTGCTATCGAGGGTGGTCAGCCTAATAGAAATGGATCTCAGAATATGTTGATGCCTTTTGGATTTGGAAGCAGTCTTTTTCCAAACATGGATGATATGTTTGCTAATTTTGTAAGTCATCAATTATTTTTATATAATTTATTTTGTTGAAATTTTATTAGAATGAAGATGTTTTCAATATGCAAAAAGATTTTAGTAAAGGTTGTGAATTTGTAGGTGACTATTTGGCTTTAGTGTAAAATTAGGTGCCCCTTCGATTGGCAACATTTAAAAAAATTTTTGGCGATGAAACCTCATTTCTGGTTACCATGATAGTTTTTAACTTTGTTTTAGCTTCCCGATTGTATTTAAATAAAAAAAGATTGATGTGTACATGGACATATTTAAGGCAGTGCGCAATGCCTAGTTTGTGCAACTCTAGGATTTTTTTAAAGTAAACAGATTGATGTGCACATGGACACAGATGTTATGCAATTCTTCGACTTCTTATTTTGGTTTTGTGTAGCGGCCATCTTGAAATTGTGACTTCCTGGCGCTCATCTTGGCGTCGGAAAAGAATATCCAATAAACAAGGGGCACCCAATTGTAAACTTTTACCAACTATTTTTTTTTCCTAGCCAATACATGAAAGGCAAGAGCTGTTTTCAAAATGGTAAGGTACTAAGATTTCCATGCAAGTGTAAATGGTCAATAAAATTAAAAAAGCAAGAAACAAGTTCATAAGATTAAATGATTGATAAATTAAATGAAAATAAGTTTAAATGTTTTATCCAAAATGTCATATGTAATATGCCCTGTCATGAAATGAATTAAACGACATTCATACATGATGATGCATCCTGCCATGAGATAACATTTGCTGGTGATGCACATGACACATTCGTCCTAAATAGGGTAAGAATTACAGCTTTGTGGAGTGTAATTTTTTCCATTCTCTGTTGTTGAACAAAACCAAAAATACGGTGCTTTCTTTTCATCAGCCAGCAAACTTCACAGTTCCATTACAAGGAAAAAATTCTTGATAACAAAAAGAAACACTAATCATATAAGCCCTGGTTGAATTTCAAAAAAGTGTAAATTCATGTAGTAGAGCTTTTTTCTTTGTTGATCAACAGCTAATGGAAATTATTTCCTTTATAGTGACCTACCGAGATGATCGTAGATACTACAAATGACTAAAATTCTTAATCTAAACTATCTTGTAAAACAAACATGTTTTATTAAATATATACAAAGGAATTAGATGATAAGAGATTAGTTACTATTATGAGCATACTATTAGGGGTAGCTATATACTATTAGGAGCAGCACTTCTGCTTCCATTCGCTTGCAACATAACCTCTTTCTCTATTTTTGAATCGCAAATGTTCTTTTCTTTCTGATATTGCTGTTCTGAACAACACAAGTGTTCATAAATGCCAACCGTTACTAGTTCCTCCACAAGAAGCACATTCGTCACCTTAGAGACAATGCTACTCTGAGTTCAAAGAGAGAGAGTGAAAATACAGTAACAACAACAATAAAAAAAAAAATCTGATGTGTACACCACTTGAATTCCTTGTACGGAATATTAAATTATACACATTTTTTCTTGCATTTCATTTAAATTTATTGGATTGAATTAAATCTACTTCACAGACAGCACGTAAACCGCAATAGAATAAATGAATTCTTTAAAATTCACTCTAGTATTTGTTTACCATAGCGACGCTCTGCCGCTAGATTCACTTAACCATATTATATTTATTATTATATTTCGTTCTTATTATAACTCATAATGCACAAAATTTATATCATTTAAAGAATAGAATAATATAATCGTTGTCACATGTTCTATTCAAATACTATAATAAAGCTAGAATGATGTATAAAAGAAATTAAGCAAATAAAACAAAAAAAGTTTTTCAGAGACGATTGAGTATTTCTCATTCAATTAATTCAGTTCTCACTTCGCGAGAAGGTAAAAATACATAAAAACTCAAAATATCTATATTAAAAATTACGAAGTAAATATTAAACACTTTATTTCCTCGAAAAAATTCCAGAAAGGGTTAAGCATGATTTAATTGCCAATAATAAATGAAGGTGTTACCTTTGTTGTTGCTAAGCTAAGTTTCTCTAGATTGGCAACAAATCCACTAGTCTGCTGTTTCAAATTTAAACAATCAAAGGCCGCCATAAAAAAAAGGCTTAGTGGCACTTTTTTTTTTAACTAAAATGTGGCTATGAATCCTGATTGAGAAACTACAAATTGCTCTAAACAGAATCATAAGTGGTCCAACAACAGTGGTTTTAAATTTTCTAGCCAGAAGACCGTCTGCATTCATTTCTGTCGCAAAATAAATCTACATCCTGATCCAGAGCTGCATCTTGGCGGCTCTTTGATCCGCACTGATCCAGAAAGAAAGTTCTTAGGAGTTATATTTGACAGAAAGCTCACTTTTCCACATATCTTACATCTTAAGAAAAAAATGTGCTAAAGCTCCTGGCCAATACTTCATGGGGAGCAGAACGTTCTATGCTCCACATTTATAGAGCTTTAATCCATTCCAAATTTGATTATGGCTGTGTTATTTATGGATTAGCAAGACCTTCTGTGCTACTGAAATTACATCCAGTCCACCACCAAGCACTGCAGATTTGCTGTGGAGCTTTCAGAACATTTCCAGTCCAAAGTTTATATGTCATCTGTTTTGAACAGTCTCTGGAATTCAGGCGCAAGCAAGTTGTCCATTGATCTTCATTCTAAAGTAATGTTACAAGCCGAACATCCTGTCCAACTAATGACATCTGATCAGTACTGGTGTATCTACCAAGCACGTCCTTCATGTATTTCGCCTTTTGATCTTCCCATTCACTCACTGATTGAAGAATTCAATCTAAACGTCTACATCCCAAAAGCTTTAACTTTTTCGGTATTGCTCCCTGGTAAGAAGTGAATATTCACGTACTTAACATTTTTGGAGAACTTCAGAAGAGCAGTATCAAAGATGTCCAATATCAACAAATTTTCCTAGAGCATAGAAGCAGTCATTCTAACTAGAAAGCAATTTTTACCGATGGCTCAAAAAATCATAATCATGTTGGGGCAGCTTTCGTTTGTGATAAAGAAATCAAGAGTAGTAAACTTCATAAGGCTGCATCTGTCTTTACTGCAGAAACGTTTGTCATTTTGTCTAAGCAGAATAGCAGAAAGTTTATCATCTACTCTGACTCTCCGAGTGCTCTTGAATCAATAAATACAAATACTAGCCACCTTTTGGTCTTAGAAATTTTAAAGGCACACCTCTGTTTCAGAAACGCAGGTTATTCTGTTGCTTATTGCTGGGTGCCTGGACATGCTGCCATCAAAGGCAATGAACTTGCCGATGTCGCTGCAAAGTCTGCTGATATTACCTCTGGAAATGATGTCCCTTTTACAGACATATGAAATTACACCAGAACAAAGATTTTGTCTGATGAATTTACGATGATCTTCATGGTAGTAGAGTGTCCATTACCTGTGCTGTTTCAAGAAAGCCAGTCTTCAGCTTACGAAATGCTCTGAGAAAATATTGAAGTGTGTCACAGTGTGAATAATCAGATGATGAACAATCATAGGGTATTTTTTGGTATCTGATTTGTGGTGCAGAATTTAGATGTATGATCTTCTTTCCTACTATTACAGCAAGTTAGTCTGGAAATTGGCTTTTGTGGCTCATCACTCTTACGGGAAGGGTTTACTCTTGGCGTGTTCTGAACGGGGAATGATTTGTTTTTTTCAAGTCCTTTCTGGAAGTGGAGAATGAGGTTGCTACTTTTCATTAGTTTTGTCTTTCGATGGACTACCACCAGTCTTTTTTGAAGTATTACGAATACTTTTATATTTTTCAAGTTTATCTGCTAATTTAGTCGGAGAAGCGAACTTCACCCAGTTGTCACGAAAATGGTCCATTACTTCACGAGACATTCTTTTCTTAATTTCGTTTGCGATAATGAGGTCTTTTAACCTGGCAAAGTCTGTGAATTTTTTAATTGATATGAATTGAAATTCAGTTTTAAAATGTGAATTCAAAAGCAGATTTCTTTGCAAGTACATAAAAAGACATATTCAAGCATCTCAAAAGAAACCAAATATAAAAGAAAGGTTATCATAAATACACAAGTGAGGCTAGTGAAATCGTATGGAAAAATATTGCTACATATGAATAAAATATGGATCTAATAATGAAATCAGTTCAGAAATGATTTTCTTACATTTTAGAAATATCTCTTTGAAACCTGTTTCTTCAGAATGGTTTATTTTTTCACCTTGCTAAAAGCTTGGTAACCATTCTATTTAGCGGCTATGTTCTTAATATGTTAATTTTTGTCCCCTTTGTATTATTTTGTTAATATTTTTCATATTAACAACGTAAGATTTAGTCGTTATTTTCCGTTAATAGATAGGTGGTATTATTAAAAGAAGTTGTCAGAGATACAAATATTTGTAGTGGCCAAAAGTGACTACATTGTGATCGAAAAGTATATTCCTGGTGTAGTCATATACACACCTGGCTGTAAAGCACCCCAATTAATATGCATACCAAGTTCATACGACTGAACCAGCAGCAACTAAATGTCAAACCGTTCAAAAGGGAGATAATGTTAGCCAGCATGTTATTTAAAATATGACAGCAAATAAAACAGTAACCTATCCATATAATCAAATTCTGAATACTGTAGAGGGCAGTTTTTCCCATAATATAATATTCTCTGACATTTTGCAATAAACATATTTTATTTTATAAAGCATGGTTCTCGCAGGGTCATGCATAATCATTTTTTAGTGAAAATACATAAACTTTAAATTGTGTCGATTACCTGTTTCTAAAAGGTATTTAGTCTTGTTTTTTCTTTGTATTCCTAACTTTTTTATGCAATTTGAGAATATCATTGTCTGTTTTTAAAGAACTCTTAATATATTGTGCATTTAAATGTTGTGAAAAAATTCTAAAACCTAGATTTTTAAAAATTGAAAAATGGCTAGGGTAGACTAAGTGGAAAAGTGATGATCCATTTAGGTGATGGATCCAGGGCGATCTACTAGCATTAAGAATATTGAAAAGAAAAAGAAAAAATGTTTATAGAAAATATAATGAAAGTTATTTATCATCTGGGTTTACTTGGAATGGGTATGAAATGGATCCTCAACGTCAATTATGTTTGATTATCGGAGATCAAAAATGGTAAACAAATAATGAAATGTTTTCTTACTTCAAGTGAAAAAGTTTTGTAAGCTAGTTACATAGTAAGCCTAAGAATTGCCAAGACTGGACACTGTTGGAAGAAACCTTTCATTACCAGCAGCTAAAGATATCGCCTTATTCAACAAAAAAAGGCGGCTAAAAAACTGATAATATTCCATTATCAAATACAGTCAAAAGTCTTTAATCCGGACTCGTCGGGACTTCGACGATTCTGGATTATAGATCATCAGTTTAAATCTGGTAAGATGGCATGCAGAAATTATAAAATTAAAAATATGAAACCGTAATTTATAAAATAATGAGCAATTATGATCTAAAGGGTATCAAAATTTACAAAAAAAGAAGCTTAATATTTATTTGTTTACTTTATTAAACATTTCTTTCAACGCGCATGCATAAAGCATACATTACACATAGTCGAAATTAGAAAATAGCAACCAGTAAATTATTTGATTTGTATTCGTGATATTTATAATGACAAGGAATTTGATTTAAATCATATCAAATGACAGAGTACATTGAGATTAAATACTACACTTAGTAAGGAATTATAAAGCCAAATAAAATAAAAACATCTGCCCTGAAGATAAGGATAGTGCTGACACAGATCAACTTCCAGTTCATTGCGCTCCGCGACGTCCCCCCCCTTCCCCCGCAGAGCAGCGTGAAATTGATAAACAGATTTCGAATACAATCTTCGGATTCGGTTAGATAAACAAAGGATATGCCTTTATCCATTTTTGTAGCAATTCAGTTTTTGTTGATGGACATCGAAATACATACTTTCGCTTTGTCCAGATCCTTTGGCCAGCTCCAAGAATCGGAAATTCTATTTAACATAATCGAAAGTTCAAGCTTACTTTTATAAAAATGCTCTTACAGTCTGCAAAAAATAATAAGCCGGATCCAATTCGAAGATTAAGGAACAACGCAATCATCAACATTAACTGAAATAGATAATTAGATAATTTTAGCTTATACCGTTCGCTATACGTTAAACGCGCACGCGAAAATGTATTCTGCACTTGCGCAGACGCATATGCGCAGTAGCAATGTCTTGCGCGCACGCGTAAAACGCCTATGAGCATGCATCAACGCGGCGCATGCGCAGAAAGATTGCAGCTTTGAGGTCCGGATTATAGATCATTCCGGATTATGGGTGTCTGAATTAACGACTTTTGACTGTAATACAATAAGTCAACAAATTCATGAAATGGCAAATTCCATAAAAGAGATACTTATTCAAAATAAATAAATAAAAACACAGTATTTCGCATTCAATTAGATGAAAGTACTGATGTAATGAACTTTGTTCAGTTATAAAAGATGTGAAAGTCAAAATTATAATTTATTAGTCTCTTAATTCCTCATTTTAATTTGGGTACTTCCCTTCTCTATTCTAAAAATAGTAATAACTTTTTCTGGACTGCTTTATTTTTAGAATAAAAACTTAATTTCAAGAATCAAAAGCTTTTTTTTAATTAAGCTGCCATTGTGGATAACTATGCACATTGCTTCTACCTCTGCCGAGCGGTAAAGTCGCTGAACACTGGTAGTTTGGTCCGAGATTCGAATCCCGCGAACGGGCTGGCTGCATGGGCGTTTTCGTTGTTTTCCCCCTGTGTTACGTGTATACGAGCCAGTTCCCCTTAAAAAGTCCTCTACGAAGGCATCCCTCCCCTTAGGCAGATAGCCCTCGAGGCTTTGCCATAATCATACACACACACGCGCTTCTACCTCTGCTGCAGCTAATATGCTTCCGTTGTAAAAATATCAAAAATGTATCCACCCGTTGTAAAAATATCAAAAATGTAAATATTCTGGAGATTGGCACAAAGGGAATTGTAGTCATAAATAACATAACTGTATATGTGTGTATATATAAATATGTTAGTATGTTTGATGTTCAAACTAATTCAAGATTTGAATGTTTATTTCTTTTAGAGTCAAATGAGCAACAACCCTAACTGTCATAGCTTTTCATCCTCATCTGTGATGACATATACTACAGATGAAAGTGGGCGTCCTCAAGTCTATCAGGCATCTTCATCAACCAGAACAGCACCTGGTGGTGTAAGTTTCAAGGAATTATTTATATATATATATGTCTAAGTATTAAATATATAACATATGAAAAAAACATAGGTAATTGTATGTTTTTAAGCTAATCTTATGTAACTTGATTAAAAACTACATGTGAATTAAACCGCAGAATGTTTCCTGTGGAAGTTATCAACATAGTCTGATTTTTTTATCAGCACTGTTTTCTATTTTTTAAAACTACCTGCAGTATTTGCTGTTAATTAATTGATGGTTCAGGTACTGTCATCGCAAGGAAATTTTCTGGATTTAAAAGTATATTACAGATTTCACTGTTCCATTAATTCATAATTGGGGGCATTGTTATAGCATTTCTTAGGTTTTGATTGTCATCTTTTTATTTAGTGAAATGTTCATGTTCCGTTAATAAAAAATGCGTTTTTGCTTATGATATTCAACAATTTTTAAAGTTATCTGAAAATTTGGTCATTAGCTATAAATTATGTTGAGCATTTTAAATATATTTTCAGACACATCCTCTCATGACCTTGCCATGCTCTACATGGGAGAGCATTTTTTGTTATTAAAGTATTTCAAGGTTTCTTAGATGGTCTTAACTGTTGCATCAATTTTAAATAGGCTACTGTATATTTGATGCCCATTGGCTCAACGGTGGGTGGAAGAATGATAGTTTCAAAGAATGAAAGAATCCAATTAAGTGTGTTAAGTGAATTTAATCCATTCTTGCTTTATGCTTCCTACACCAAGCGAAAACCAGTATATCCAACACTCTACTTTAAACAAACGTGTATGCTTGTTTATTATGTTCAAAGCTGGATAAGATAGAAATAATGTCCTTACACAGCCACCAAAGAGCCGAAATTGAAAATATGGTTTACAACAGGGATGTCAAACTCATAGGTACACTTGGGCCAAACAAACAAGGTTTAACTTTAGGCGGGCCGAAAAAAAAAATCAATATTCATATATTCATAGAAACGTAGATTTATTTCGAATAATACAATAATAAACATATATATATATTTATATAGAAAAGAACAAGAAAAATTTAATGTTTACGTCCTGATACTTGACATCTCTTCTCTGCTATTATCTTTCCTATTTCGGGAGAAATTTTGTTTGCAGTGATAACTTTCAACGCTGACTCAAGGTGAGCATCATTGATACGGTTTCTAATAGGAGACTTATTACCTTTCATGACTGAAAATAACTGCTCGCACCGATAAGTGCTACCAAACATGGAAATAATTTCATATGTGAATTATCGAGTATTTTCAAACTTGGCTGGTAAATATTTGTAAAATTCAGGCACACCCACTCCAATGAATTTTGCTTTCAAATTTGAGTTGCATTGAATCTCGATCACTTCCATTTGCATATGGCTGGGTACTGAGTCGATACTTAATGAGAAAATCGAAGAAAACCAAAAAAAGTTTGTCTTTGAGGGAACTAAAATCATTAAACCTCGTTTCAAATTCAGTTGTTAAATTTGCAATTTTTTCTGCATATTTTTGATACGAACAAGTATCATCTAAACTTGATTTGTTCATGCTGCACGTCGGGAAGTGCATCAAATCTTCATTTTTAAGTTGTTTTTCCCAAAGAACTAGTTGACATTTGAATGCTTTAATTATGTCAAACATGTTCGTAATGGTTATGATCTTTCCTTGTAACAATAAATTTAAATCGGTTAAGTGTTTTGGTTATATCAACCAAGAAAGATAAATCTTGTATCCATATTGGATCGTAAAACAAACTTACGTCTTGATTTTTCGTTTTTAAAAACTGACATATTTCTTCTTTCAAATCCCAGAATTGTTTGAGAATCTTGGAGCAAGATAACCAACGTACCTCGGTATAGTAGGACAAACCCGAATATTCACTATCTAACTCACTTAAGAAAGCAGTGAATTGACGCTGATTTAAACCTCGAGATCTTATAAAATTTATAACTTTTTTTATATATGACAAAACATTCTCCATATTTATTACTTTCGTGCATAGAACTTCTTGATGTATAATACAATGCATATGATGAATGTTTGAACCGTGAATTTCACTAAGTTTTTTTCTTAGTAATGCTACGAAGCCCTTGGTTTTTCCCGGTCATTGATGGAGCGCCATCTGTAGCTACAGAATTTAATTTTGCCAAAGGTAGATTGTATTTCTGCAGAAGTCCAAAAACACAAGTAAATATATCTTCTCCTGTGGTAGTACCAGGCATCGGTATTAGTTCCAGTAATTCCTCAAAAATGTTAAAATTCTTGTCACAAGAACGAAGAAACACTGCTAATTGAGCTTTGCCACTAATGTCCGTGCTCTCGTCACAGGCAATGGAGAAACTTTCGAAACTAGATGATTTTGCTTTGATCTGATCACTTAAATTCGCGGCTAAATCAGTAACTCTTTCCGCAACTGTATTTCGAGACAATGAAATTGATTGAAAAGCCTTCACATTTCCAGGACAAACAATTTCTCCAGCTTTCATTAGGCATTCCTTGATGAAATCACCGTCAATAAAAGGCTTCGAATGTTTAGCTATCAACTCCGACAAGACGTAGCTTGCATGTACCGCCGCTTCACTTTCTTGCAATACTTTACTAAACATGGACTGTTGCATTTTCACTTCTAACTTGAGCTCTTTCAACTTTTCTTCTCTTTTGTGTTGTTCGTAATGACGTTTAATATTATATAACTTTGGTACATTAATAGTATTATTACATATCAAGCAGATTATTTTATTTTTTATTTCACAGCAAAAATATTCTAATTCCCATTTTACTTGGAATATTCTATGTTTGTCAGCGATTTTTCGTTTAATTTTACTACCACTTGGTTTTGATATAAACATACTGAATATAAAGGGCTGGAATAAACACGGTTAATGTTAAAAAGTTAACCAAATTTATTCTTTCCACAAGAGATAAATCAAAATGCTGAAATATTTCTTCATAAATATTCTAACAATATCACAAAATGTCAAACGTTTAGCAAAAATCAATTCAAAACAGAGAAACTAATTTTATCTCACAGCGAAATCGCTACAAATCAATCACAGCATTAAGTAAACAAACAGTTCGCTAGAACTACAGCTACTACTGAGATGAGTTGTTTGTTCTCGTCTTTTATAAGCTTTATAATTAATTTCTCGAATATACTGGAAACATCTATAAATATCTGGATTTTTGTGGATGGCAACAGCAATTACGAGATATTTATTTATTAGGTATTAAATGCACGCACTGTTCTATTTTTAACCTTCCAACGCAGCTGTCTTTTCAAAAATCGTCTGCGTTGCTAAGGGCAACATGAAGCAAATCTAATTACAATTCTAAATAAAAAAACTAAATAAATAACTATGAAATCCGTAACAATATGAATTAAGTAATAATTAATAATAAAGCAAAGTGCATGCACCAATGCAATATCGTACAAAACTATGATTGGAAAACTGAGACCATGAGTTCGGCCACATTCGGCTATCGGGGGATGCGTACAAGTTCTGAGTGCACGTGTTCCCCAAAAGCCGAAGGTAGCTGAACGCAAGCTACTCACACGCATTTGTAATTTAAGTAGTCTGTGTGTCAGCTCGCTGTGAGTAATCTAACAACACTGAATAAATTATCGTTAATTACTTAGCAGTAAACATTTAATTTTTTTCTTCGCCGATATGTTATTTTATTATATATTATTATTTGCCGATATATTGGCCGGGCCGCAAAAATATTTGTTGTGAGCCGCGAGTTTGACATCCTTGCTTTACAAGCTAGTCTAAAGGTAAAAATGTATAATTTAATAGTGTGGTTAAATGATTCTTTGTAAGAAAAATTGGTTTCCAGCACCATTGCCTTTTCTTGGGCCTTGTGTTTTCTTTCCCACAGTGTGCAAGGGAAGGAAAATTTCTTTAACAAATTTATGGGGAGTCTGGGTAATAGATTATTGTAGTTATTGAAAGTTGATAGTTTAAAATATTGTATATTTTATTTCTAAAAAATTATTGTGAATGTTTGTATGATTGACAGGGTTCGTACGGTCCTTAAGAGTCCTTAGTTTTTTTGGAACCGATTTTTGGTCCTTAAAAGTCCTTAATTTTGGCCAAAATGAACAGAAGGTCCTTAATTTTAATCATCTGAAACTTCTGTCTGTTTTTACGACTGTAATTTTGAGTGTGAATTAGCATTTTGAGGAATGTTTTTGGCGTTCACTGCTGTATATATGGTAATCTTTTGAATTGGTTCATGAGTTATATAATTTGTTTCTATTTCTAATAAATGATGGGATACTCGAGTTTCTAAGCAAAAGTGAAACATAAGCATTTCAAATTCATTTTTCGTAAGAGCTCTTAAACAATTTGCTTTTGGAATGTGAATTATTTTATTAAACGGTTTTAAATTGGCGACTTTTCAACATTTGGCGATTTTAAGATTAGTTTCTATAGAACATTTTAATTCCAAAATCTGAGAATTTTTCAACGATTTTTTTAAAACATCGTAACATTGATAATTCTATTAAAATAATGGTAATATTTGAAATATATTTAAAAAATAAACATTAAAATAAAACATTTTTATTTTTCACTGTCATATTATAAAGTTTCATTTTGGCAACTTATACAATATTTTAAATCTGAAAAAACAAGGTATAATGCTTTTAAAGCACAATTTACTAAACAGCTTTTAGCAAAAGAAAAATTAGCTATGTAATTAAAAAGTTTATTTTTAATTTTTTCATAGTAACAGTTTTTCCCATGTAATTGTCTCAAAATGTGCATCAGTTTTCTCTATAATATTAAATTTATACTTTTTCCCTCCTACTTTTTTCCAAAATATTTCTGGCTTTTTTCTGTTACAGAAATGGTAGGGATAATTTTTCTTTAGGATTTTAGATATTGCAGCTTAGAAGGTTTTGAAGGCAAGATTTATAGACCCATGATTCTAGAAGATTCGAGAAATATGTGATAAAATGAAAAATGTTTCCATGGTATCAACACGTAGTGGATGTATTTTACAGAAAGTTTGCAATGAATTTCTTAATTTTGGGAGAAAATCTGGAAGAACAATGAAAACATAATATTTGAATGTATTACTTCTGATACAAGAATCTTAACATGTTTATCTTCTCTTTATTTTCTTTACTTTTCACTAGACAGAAGCATGGAAAATATCAAAAATGCTTCTGATCTTATCACATGGACAGGCATTATAGAAAGGAATTTTTTTATTAGTAAAGAAATTGAAAACTTAAATTTAAAAGATTCATGTAATATTTCTTAATGCATCATATGCATTTTCCAACCTGGTGCAATCTCTGTAGATCCTAAATTCTGCTACCTACTGCCTTTCTAAATTCTGCTTCCAATGCTTGCTCTAAATTCTAAAAGTTTTGCCATTTCTGGATTTTGTTGTTCGGTGTGTCACTAAATTCTATAAATTCTGCCACATCAGCTCTGTAACCGTCCTTTAATATATATTTCATATTGCTTCTGAATGTTTATATTACTAAAGAAATAAAATTAGCTGCTTTTCTGTACATTATATTTAGTGTTTTTAGAATAACGGAAATCCTAATTAAATCCAAAAAATTATAAAATGAAAAGGAAACGTGTTGAAGAAAGAAACTGAGTACATAAAGGAAATTATTCTTCAAAGATATGTGCAGTTATTATTATGTAAATTACCCAATTGTTTGATTTCAACCTTCACGGTAATTTCCATTTCTATTTCCTCATATGATAGTTATTGAGCCAGATTAAATTACATTAAATTGTATAATCTTTGACCACTAGTTCACATATTGTTTGACTTTGACTGTTCTTGTTTAATTACGTCACCGTGAGCTGTATTGATTTTGTTAGCATCAGAACATCCTTTATGTTTAATGGATTTTAAATAAGAGGCTCATTTAAACCTTTGTCTAATATTGTAGTTAATTTCAGACATAGTGATAATATGCTTCATGTCTGTCGGTGGTTTTGGACTATTTAACTGTTACCAGATCAGTTAAACCCTCATAGGTACATTATGGAAAAATTGATAAGTTAGGAGATGAAGCATGCAGAAACTAATGAGAGCATTGGGTTGCATATTGAGACAAATCTCTAATTGTTAGAAAAGATGCTTAAAAGAGAAGGAAATCGATATAAACGTTTAAATATGACCAACTATCATAAGTGTAAAATATTTAATGCTACTTGATAAATTGCATAGTTTATTTTATTCTCAAACTTATTAACAATTATGTTAATTCATGTTTAGTAATAATGCGTACTACTTAGGGATCTATTTTATTGTTAGGATGGTATTATAAAAGTGAAATTCATAGATAATATCTTAAATTGAATTTCAGTTCCCGTTTGCTCATAGGTCCTTAATTTTTTTCCTTAAAAGTACTTAATTTCCTTGTGCAGAAATGTATATGAACTCTGGATTGAGGATTTTTTAAGAATGAAATAAATAATGGCCACTTCTGAATCTTTTCACAAGAGTACCAAAGAACTGAAAAGTGCATCAGTTAATTTTTTTTTTTTTTTTTTTTTTTTAATATGGCGGGTACTGGCCATTTTTAGGATTTTGCCACTAGCTAAGGCTAGGAGTGGTGGTCATTTTATTATGAAGGTACCTAATAGGCAGCCACCGTTACTTCCTATGAAGCAATGAACAATTCAAAGGCATGTCTTCTCTGGGATTTGAACCCGGGCCTTTGGTATCGCAGTCAGCTTCCTTAACTTAACCACTGTGCCGTCTGGGAAGCTGTCTGTTAATTCGGAATGTGGTAATTTGACTCTTTTCTACTAGAGTACACCTGGAGAATACTAGGTATGTCTCAGGATATTTCTTTTTGTGTAAATTGGTTTACTCTGAATTTCGTTGGTGGCAGCAAATGAGAATGATAAAATAGTGTGGATTTTTTTGGGAGGGCATAAGGATATACTTAGGTTTATTATTTAGTGTTATTCTTTGTAGGAATTCATATTTTTTCACATAAGACACTGAGTAGTCTAAAGATGGCATTATCTGATCTTTTTAGCTTTCCTGTCAGGTTTTTAGTTTGATGTCATGTTGTAGTATTATGTACACTGTCATGAAATATTGAATATCTGGTCATAGTTTTACTGGTCATTCCAAAGTGCATGTTTTAGACTTTTGATAGTAGGTTTTGTAGAAATGGTTATAATTTAAGGAAATGTGGCAAATTGTTAAGATTCATACAGCTCTTTTCGAAGGAGTTCTGTTGTCTGGTAATGTCAAGCTGTTCTGGAAATCACTGTCTTATTTTTCATATTTGAATTTCAGAGTTTTTCTGTTTTTGTGCTACAGATTAGTAATCTATTAGATTGATGTGAAAAAGCCAAACATACATCGTTACCAAGGAGGATAAACTGATTAGTTTTTTGCCAGCTTGCAGCCTGCTAATTTTTAAGCTAGAAAGGGGGAGGAAGTTGGTAGTTTCTTGTTATATGGTTAATTACTGTATTTGAATCAAGGTGCTAATTATAGTTTGTAAATTTTATTTCATAAATTAAGCATATAATGAAAGTGATAATGACTAAATTGTCATTATCACTTTCATTATATGCTTACAGTTAGTTAACTCTTCACTGAATATATATATATGGTTTGTGATAAAGATTAATGAAACTGCTAATTTTACATAATATAGTATTAGTATTTTCAGGACTGTTTGGGTAATTTAAAAATATCATAGTATCAGTATTGCTAATTAACTTCAATGTGTGTATATGTGTGTTTTCTATAAAAATAAGATCCACATTAAGAATTTTCAGTATCCTATTTTAATCAGTTGCATATCATGAATTTTTTAGAATTGCTGCTATTTATTGAAAAAGAAATTTTTCATTTATAATCTAATAGTTTAATTTGAGACTGGTTTTATGTAATCTTGTATTGATGGTTTATTAACATTCTTTAAATCTTAGGTGAAAGAGACAAGGCGCAGTGTACAAGATAGCAGAACTGGCCTTCAAGAAATGGCTATTGGTCATCATCTTAATGATAGAGGACACGTAATTGAGAAGAAGAAAAACCGTTATACTGGTGATGAGGAAGAAAATCATGAGTATTTAAATTTAGATGAAGGTGCATATAATTTTCTTATAACCAAAAGATTTGATTCTGGCATTAATTGATGCAAACTTCTTTCTATAGAATTTATTTCAGATTAGTAACTTAATATATAATTTTAGGCTATAAACAATATTGTCCTTATAAAGACAATTTTTTTAATTGCACATTATGTATAGTTAATGATTCGAAAATGGATTTTGTTTGCATTCAGTACTGTGCTAGTATTGATTTATTCCAAATAGAAATTGGTTGTAATACTTAAATCTGAAAACTTAATTTAAAAAAATTACTACTATAACATAATAATTTCTTTCAACTTCTTTTGTTAGCATTTATAAATTCAAAGGCAAATTTTTAAATCTGTTTTTGTTACTCACCGTAAAATATACTCATCTGCGTGGGAAATACACTCTGTAGTATCTGTACAGCACAAATAGTAGCCTATGGTGAACTATGATTATTGATTTCCAAAAAGACAAACAGATGACTTCCAAAAAGAATTTATTTTACAAATAAATGTTTTGTACCAACATTTCAAGAAGTGCTCAAAACATTATCCTTGGGTTTCTGTTATTTTTCATATGCAGTTATATTTTGACTGATCTCAGTTAATATAGGGATTGCCAATATATAAATTTATCATTCATGAATGTAATGTTCAGGTTAATCATTTTTGTGTTAGTTTTGTAAACTTTGCCTCCCTCCCTCCGACATTAAAATCCCTAATACAAGTCAAAATGAGAGGTCGCCCACCAGCGGCCGAGCGGTAAAAGCCGCTGAACACTGGTAGTTCGTTCCAGGGTTCGAGTCCCGGCAAACGGGCTGGCTGCATAAGTGTTTTCGTGGTTTTCCCCATGTGTAACGTGGATACGAGCCAGTTTCCCTTAAAAAGACCTCCACGGGGCATCCCTCCCTTTCCGTTGTAGGGTGGAGCACGTAATAAATAAAAAATAAAAAAATAATAATAAAAAATGAGAGGTCTGTCTCCATTTTAACTCGAAATCCTCCAATTCTGCAATGCAATTGTCTACTGAAAAATTCCAGGATTTTGCATGGGTTATCATATTTGGTCCTTTATCATTTACTTGGCAAATAAAATAAAAAAAATCCAAAGATCAAATTAATCTTGTTAAATATTGATATAGTAATTGAGTGTAAGATAATTTTGAACTCGTCTGATATAAATATAATTTAGAAAGCATAAAAGAGATCATAATAAAATAATGTAAACAAAACAAAACAAAAGCAAAAAGACAGACAAAAAATTTGTATTCGAGGGGAATTAATTTTCAAAAATTTTATGTTTCATTTAACATGAAAAGTTTTTTTGAAGAAGTATGTGTAGTAAAATATTAAAGTAGAACCTTGTTTATCCATCCTAATTATTGGGACAACCAATTCAGATAAAACATTTTTGAAAATCAGCTGTTATTAATATTCTTTTTGTAAAAATAAATATACAAATAAATTATTGAACATGTTATTTTTGAATTTACTGATATTTCGAGTTAATTTTTTGGAAATTTAACTTTAAACTAAGGGGGGGGATTGCTACAAATATGATAAACAAAACTGCTCAAACAAAATTAACAAAATAAACAAAAGTGCTTAAATAAAATGCATTTGTAATTACGAGTGCATTTTATAAAGGTGGGTTAATAAAAGTCATTAAAAATTTTTAATGACAAAGTTCAGAAGTCCTCCACTAACATATTGTTAACCAGTATATATTGTTGTGAAATGTGTTAATTGAGATACCTGAGAAGCATGCATAGTTGATTTCTAGATTTATGCAAAAAACTCCCAAAGAATAAATTAGAATAAGATGAAAGTATCTTCTCCCAGAAAGTGTAAAATTCTTTTTCAGTAATATCCATCCATCATTTGCATACAATGCTAGAATATTCTGCAAGAAACTAAAATGACGATGGATGGCATACAATCCTACAACAAAAAAACTAAAATTTTACTACACAAATTCGCCAAAACATTTTTGCAAATTCCTACGACAACCTTAAAGGATTCAGGTTTAAATTGAGACGCTCCTAAAACAAGAGGATAGTGTGGCCATAAACCTTTGATTCCTAATTCATGCTTTGGTAACTTTATTATTCATGTTGTGAGTGCCATTATGGGAAGTTAGATTAAAAGAAAATGGACTTTGGTTGAGTCAAACCAATTTTATGGTGAACATTAGGTACATGTGAAATGTTACAACTTACTTAATTTTAGAAAGGATGAGCAGTGCTTAACACATTGACGGTGGTGCGGATAATTCGTTCTTTTCGTGTGGCGACGCTTGAATTAGCGGCCTGTTTCATAGGGCAGTGACAAATTATAAAATTAAAATTTTAAAATAAATTATAACTTAAATTATTATATTGTAAAATTATATAGTTTATAATATAATTGTATTATTGTATCTTTTTATATACAAGCATATTTTTTTATATACAAGCTTGACCCATCAATGAGTCATGCTGGCCCGTTGAACAATCAAGCATGATCCACGGAACATACAAGCTGAGTCAGGCCGGCCCACGGAACAGACAGGTATGACCTACCCGTGGGTCAGGATGATGTCAACGTGTTAAGTTGTGGATTGGAAGCAATGGTGAAATTTCATATTTTGATTATCAGAAATTTTTGCCAGAATTAAAATTCCTTACCTTTAAAATATAAGGTAAATGTGTGCTCTTGGTGTGCTTTAGTACAAACTTGTATATCAAATGGGGGGGGGCACTTTTGTAAATAAAAATATTCTTCGGATCACCTTACTTTTAAGTTCCCTGCAAAAGCAGTTTTTAGCACATATTTTTTAAAATACAGTTAACTAAAATTCATTTAGTTTTGTATTGCTATTAAGAAATTAAGTTATAAAGGGAGAAAATATATTTGTTTTTTAACGATTCAAGGCTATTAACATAATCTGTATCTTATCTAAAAGTTAAATATTGGCAGTCTCATTGATATGGATGAGCCTTTCAGTTTGCGTGAAATATTTTTCTAATAAAGCTTGTTCTGTGTTTATATGAAGCACTGCAAGAGTTCTTTAAATCTGTCTTTTGCTGCTGAGATTAGAGTGAGACTTCCCTAAATAAGATTAACTGGTAATAAATTTCATAAAATTTGTCTTGGAAGAAAACATGATAGACAATTGATTGCAATGTGTCATTTCCAGACTGAGATTTTCAACTATAATGGGATATATGCAATAATATAGAATTTCATTTTTTGGCCTTTTTATGAAATCAGGGAACAGACAGGTAAAGACAGGCTTTCTCTTCAAAAGCAGGCAGGTTCTGTGTGTGGTTCACTGACCAGAGATTTAAGAAGTGCCATAAATGAGGGGTGGGAAACTTGAAAAAATTGGTTGGATTCCAAATTTTGAGAATGGAAATATATGAAATATAGAGATTGAAAGTGTTAACTTGGCAGCCCTCCCTCTCTTCTGAAGTAGATTCTTTATTCTTAGTGTTTTATATTTTAATATCTTATTGAGTTGTATTTGATAGCATTCACTTAGAGGGACTCTAGTAAATGTTTAGGAAAAATTAACAGTTCAAAAATTGAGAAAGGAAAATAAAACAAGGATAATCTGAAACATACCGCTCTTTCATTTAGAATAAATATATTAGATGTTAGGTTTTATTATATTCTCCTGGGAGGTGATGAAAATGTTTGTTTTGTTTCAGTCGCATAAAATTTCAACTAACTGTAATGGATTGTGATAATTTAACAATAGTTGTGTATTTAGTTCACAAAACTATTGGATTTTATAATTATTAATAATCATTATTGATTTTGCAGAGGAAGCTGAACAGTTTAATCAAGAATGGCAGCAAAAAGCTCAATCATTCAATTCCCGACCTATGCGGTCTATGCTTGGATATGATTCTCGAAGAACTTACAGTCCATCTCCTGAGGTTCTTGCTATTACTGATGGTTCAAGGTATGAGTTTTAAGTTAGCTTATTATTCATTTCATTTAGATAAAACATGCTTATATTTTTTCTCCTTGGCATTACCTTCTTAAATTTTTAATGATAAAAAAAAGTCTTAAAGCAGAAATTACTTCTATAACAATTTAAAATGCCCGAAACAGAAAAATGTTTAAAATAAATCAATTTTTTTAAAAAAAACTTGGTTTGGTAGAGTTTATAGTGGTAAAATGCAATTTGAGGTAAACCTTGATGAAGATTTTATATTATTTGGATTTGTCTGCCTATTATTCTCATTCATATTTAACTGTGATTGTATGGCTGTCATTAGGCTATCAGCATAGGCTCTCTGTGCCCTTAATACGGAATATAGTTTATATGATGTACTTTCTGATTGTTTGCATCTCTCACAAAAGTCATCAATCAATTCATTAATGAAAAGCGTTGAACTATCATCATAACTAATATATATTTTGTTCAACGATGACAATAAAATCATTTTATGAGAAAGCAAACAAAAATTTATGTGGCTGATACTTTTCTATTTATAGTCAGGGGATGCTAATAGGGACTATTGTTTAACGCTATCCCTCTCGAATACTTATATGAGAGATATGCATGCACAGTTTGGCTGTTGTATGTATGTCTATCAAAAATGTTCCATAAACACACTTAACTCTTCTGAGCAGTGAAAAGGGAGATGCAGATAATTGAAAGACCCATTTTCTGTTGCATATTTACCTAATAAATTGCAATAGATTTTCGATTAACTAGTCTGAAAACAAGTGAAATTTGTTTATTATGAAGTAATGGAAAAATTACTATCATTAACTATTGGAATAAATCATGGAATAATAGCAGTAAAGACAAACAATGCTTTAGTATTTGAAAGTTAATTATCTGTAGTTTGGAATGCAATAAACATTGTTAATACGTTGAGCGTGACGCCGAATTTGCTGTCCTTTCCGTTCAGCCAGCAGCGAGCTAAGCTGTATTTTTGTTTAGAATGTTTCAATACATTTCATTAAAACTAAATTTGATCACATTTCATTGAGACTATATTTATTTTTCAACTTTAATACTGTCGGTCCTGTAGGCCGACGCCAGCCAAACGAAAATTCCAGTGCCGGTCCCCATTGACCGACGCAGAAAGTTCACTGCTGGTCCCTAGGGACTGGTGCCGTGCTCAACGTGTTAAATCAGCCTTTAAAAATAAATTACTCAATCATAGAAATAAATGAAGTCTTGCTATTTCACATTGACTCATATAGGAATTCAAGATTTATAGATACAAAAATAAATTGCAAGTGCTTTCCTATTGGCTTTAGCCCTTTCGTCTTAGGCCTGACTTGCTGTTCTTTTAAATTTTTATAAGAACCATAGGAATAATAGGTCATATCACTTATAACAGAAAATATGTAGAATAATCACTTCAAAATTTTTCCTGATGAATGTTTTAGTATAAAATAATAGAATCGATATTCCTTGTTTTATTTTCCCTGAGAAATACTTTCATTTCTGTGCATAAATTTTTCTGTGTTCTACAGTTTTTATAAAATTTAAATTTTCTTCTTAGTTCTGAATCTACATCAGGAAAAAAGAAGAGTGGCAAGCACAAACGCAAACATGGACTTTTGGGCAGCAGTAGCCACAAAACTTCAAATTCTCATGCCAGGCCATCTCCTTATCAATGAACTGATCTTTCACATCTGTTACAAATTTTGTGTATCCTGTCATCTAGATTTGTATGTATACCAGTAGTTGTGACTAAACAGAAATTCATGGCCGATATTTGTAAAAGTTAAAATAGTGCATTTCAACAAACATACTGTATTGTAGACTTGTATTTTGTTTTTCATTTTCTAAATTGTGTATCTATATGTCGTTTATTTACAACTTAAAATGTACATTTATGCTAAAATAAATTAACTATTAGCATGTGTTTTAGTTATTGAATTTAACCTTTTGGTGGTTTTGAGATTAAACAAGTCATTCTTCCCAAATATTCACTATGTTTGTCAGTCGTAAATTTGTGATGTAAACTTGTTAATTTGTGCCTACTGCAGTGTGGAACTAGAATGTGAGCTGAGCTCTTGACCGTTAAAGGGCTAAAGACTTCTGCAAAGATTTTGTTTGTTAATTCCAGTATATTCTGCTCATATTGTTACATTCTGTGAGTTTGTGGATTTGGAGTGATTGACGACGACACTTGATAAAGAATCAAAACACAGTTTATTCAGCCAGTATTTACTCAGAAGAGTTCCAAAATTACAAAAAACACGCTAAAACAATCAGCAACACAAGCTATCTGGCTATAACTGTGAAGATAGCTTCACGGCAGAACACTATAAAGTACAGCTCTTGACTCTGCCGATCACTCTCGGGGCTCAACAAACTCAAGATAAAACTCGACAACATACGATGCACTGTGATATACTGCTGCTCCGCATACAAGCAGGGTTTATATAGCTTTTTGTCCTGCTTTCGAGAACATTCTGGGCCTGACCGGTAAAAATTCATTCCAGAATGCTCTCTCTCTGTCCATGGTATACAACCAAATGGGTGATTTCGCACTAAATATGGCAACTCTAAACCCACCTTGTGGGGAAGCTATCTTACCGCGGCTGGGCATTTCGTAACATTGCCCCCTCCCAAGAACTGCGTGTCTCGGGCACTACAATCCTTGGTCAGAAGCCAAATTTGTGATCTTTCTTAGATAGCTCATTAGTTAATTCTTTCATTTCTTTGTCCTTTGATTATTCAGATGCCACTACTATCATTTCCACATCTTTTATGGCTCCAGTTTCTTCTCTAAACCCCATGATGGTGCTTCTAATCTTCTTTTGCTTTAATTGTCCGGCTTTCATTTTTACTCAATACTATTTTATTTCCCTTACTAATCTTTTCCAGATCGGCTTTATCTCAGCCTTCATATCTAGCTTTCAACTCTTCTAGTCCAGCTTTTACAGCTGCTAAGAAGTCTGTCGACTTCATTTCATCCACCATTCCATTTTCCTGTAGGCGGGTCCCTGGCATTCACTCGCAAATCCCACTTCTGACACCAGTTGCATTCTATGGGTTTGTAGATTTGGAGTGTTTGACAACAACACATGATGAATAATCAAAACACAATTTATCCAGCCAGTATTACTCAGGACTTCCAAAATTGCATTTACAGTCATCAAAAAACTACTGCAGACACGCTGAAACAATCAGCAACTCAGCCATCAGGCTATAACAGTGAAGACAGCTTCACTGCAAAACACTAAAGTACAGTTCCTGACTCGCTTAATCCCTCTCAAAGCGCAACACTCAAGATAAAACCCGATGAGACACAATGCACTACAATATGCTGCTACTCTGCATACAGGCAGGGTGTATGTATATCCCCTTGGCTGACAAGGTCGCTCAAGGCCAGGAGAAAAAATGCTAAAAAAGGAGGGCCGTAACATTGGAAATGAAATAGCTTTTGGGGAACTTTCTGGGCCAAACCAGTAACAATTCGTTCTAAAACTTTCTCTATTCATCTATGGCATATTGCCAGATGGGCGATATCGCACCAAATATGATAACCCTAAACCCTCCTTGCAAGGAAGCTATCTTGCTCTGGCTAAACATTTCGTAACAAATTGTTTCATGCCATTTAAACAATATTTTTTAAAGATGACTTTTGTTATTTAAGCTAGTTTTTATGTAACATCATCTGAAGTAAATAGTATTCATAAGCGTCTTCTGCTGTAGTATTGGCTAAGTGCATGTAAAAAATAGTGAATTTCAAAAACATCATAGATTAGGATCAATTAAAAATGGAAGGTTTAAAAAAAATTTGGGTAAGATAGTGGTAGGCTTTTGTTGTCTTATTTAATTAGAAAAGAAATTTATATGAGGGAGTGTCACTGAAGGAGAATTTTGGTAGTTGAGGTGTGAGATACTGTCCCTAACACACTGCTTTAGCCTTTGCTTTGTCCTATATGAGAGGCACTTAGCTGTCCTCACTAGTGTCAATTGGCTGGTCACTAGCCGTTCGTTGTTGGTGGTTTGAGTGAGAATAAGCTTTTGAAATGCCTCGCTTACGAGATAGCTGACTGGAGTTTCAATCTGCATATAGGCCCTGCTAGACCTAGCAGAGGGATCTGTGTTCCGTTGTTGGGCTCCGTGATGGATGAGGCTTTTGGAACTTTGTGGCTGTACTGGCCATCAGCAGGAAAACAATATCCTGCTCTTGCCAGTCCCTGATGTAGTCATGTGTAGGGCTTGACAGCGAAGAAACCTGAATGGAATTTTCTATCGAGGTGGAAATGTGTAGTGAGAAAGAGAAAAAGTTGTTTTGCTAATTGAAACAAGAACTATTTTTGATGTATTTATATTCTTGTCGTTTCTTTGTAAAGAATCCAAGCGTTTATAGCAGTCAAATCTAAAGTAATGAAAAATATTTGGAGGGGCCATCTATGAGAACTAGCTTTTACTGTATATTTTCTGGCCATTTGATCCGTCATACCAACTCCAAATTTTGTGCCGTTATAAAATTGAATAGATTCCGGTAACATTTTTTTAATTATTTTTATCAATTTTCACAAATTTATATTTAGAACTTAGCTACTCCTTTATTAGTTTGCTTTTATATATTGTAAGAATACAATTATCTGATTTATATAGCAGAGTGGAAAAACGAGGTATGTTATCCTTTATTTGTTTGGCTGATTTGGGTAGTTCCCTTTGTTTTCTCTAATAGTTCCAAGCCAACAGTTTTGTCACGAGTAACATGCTAGTGAAAACATCGGTCATGATATTTTTTCTACAGCCTGTATATGGCTTGACAAGTTTCAGAACAACATGCTCACTCAGATTCGAATAACAATTACCACTTCAGCTTATTGAGAAACTGCAATATATCAAGTATGCACCCAAATCGACAATTTATCACATACTTGTATGTTATCATGTGACGGTAATTGAAAAAAAAAATAGAAAACTTATTTCAATACAGAGCCAGACTGTTCATATAAGAAATTTACTCAATTCAATAATAAGAGTCATTTGATTATTTAAAATTTCCCAAAGCAGTCATTTTGACTGCTTTTGGGCAATATAGATATAACACACATATATATATATACATCTGAAATGAAGAAATGCATTTATATGTCGTAAAAAAAATCAAAATTCTAAGAAATTGCATTCATTATATTTTTCTAATTGAAATTAAAAAGCAGTCAAAATGACTTCTTTGGGCAGTGTAGTGTTAACAAACACAACCGTACATTTAATGAAATCTGCATGGGGTGATAACGTGGTACTTAAAATACTGCAGCGGTATACTTTTTGTTTAGTTATAATGTTAAATATGTCTTGCAGGTAGTTTTAAACATCAGTGGTACACATGTGTACCATTCAGAATGAAAGGGTTAAACACATCCAGAGGTGTCTTTTCAGAAATAGACCTGATATCAGTCCCTGAGGAATAACTGGCTGAATGAAATGTCTGTGGCTCAGTGAATTAAAAATCAGTAGAGATTGACAATATGTTTACACAAAACGCATTATTCTGATGTTCTCATCTGCAGAGTTTATCAAAGTACATTAAGATGGGGTACTTCAATTGTCCCATTAGACCGTATGTGCTGTTTTCAGTGTCAGCAGTTCGGTTATGCAAAGGCCACATGTCGTGAAAACCTGGCTTGTGCTCCTCGTTCCGTGACTAGTTATGAAAGTCAGGACTGAATTGCTGATCCAAAATGTGTTAATTGTCATGCTCACGAACCGGCCCTAAATAGAAAAAAAGAATTACACTATATTAAAGTTTAATAAAAAAAAACTCCTGAAGCTAAGAAATTGTTTAGCACTGGTCAACCAAGACCAAACATTTTTTACCCTAAAAGTTGCCAAATTATATTGTTCCTTAAGTATTCAAAACATCTTGTCCAAAAAAAAAAGCCACCCAAATAGGCAGCAGAAAGTTCGGAAATAAAAGTGAACAGCTCAAAAAAGAAAATTAAAAGCTCTTAAAAAAAAAAAAGGCCTAAGCTGAAACTCTGACAGAACCAGAGGAAGACTTAGATCTTTCAAAACATGTCTTGCATCACAAAATAAACAGAATCATAATAATAAACACTCCTAATGGCCACCTTATGTTGTGGCTTCCACCAGGGTCTTGATGGCATTAAACAGTTTTTTTAATAAGTATCACCCTTTTTGTATTGCAGTATGAAAGATTTCATAAACCTGATAATTCAGCAAAGCAGTGTAGGTATTCAATGATAAGAAGATGCAACACTTTCAATCAACATGTAAGTGGTAGTGTAGGTTTGCATACTTGCATCACCTGTTCATCAAGTGCTCTTCCTTGGCTGCACCTCTCCAAACAGTTGCTGTATAGGTGAACATCCGAACACTGATTTCAGTTTGTAGTATCTGTCTTCCTCTTAGATCAGAGAGATTTAATTTGCCAGCACTACTTTTTTTGGTTGGTATTTCAATGGACACAATCTCCTGTTTCCAAAATTGTTGGTAAAATTTCCAAAGGCCTTAGTGGAATTCTGAAAATAAGAGAAAAGCTTGGAACATTTTTTGGCGATTCTATACTATCGAACCTCATGATTTTTAGAAGGGCTAAAGCAAAAGCGTGTCAAGTGCATCAGAGGAATTTTTGGATCTTGTATATATTGCTGGTAAATTTCTCTTCGAGTAAGAAGATATGGTAAAATGTGTTATGTACAAAGATTACACTCTTCATTTTAAAGTTAAATGGCGATATAATCAGCAGTTGGGAAGGAACTGCTAATATTACTAGTCTCAATACCAATAGGAGATCATGTCCTTGTTCTGATGGTGTAAATTATCCTATGCTAAAACACTTCCCTTGTAAGTAATGGCAGCCTTCCTCTTTTCCACAGAGCATGTATTTCACAATGCATGGAGGAAAGCTTTTGTTATTCCAATAGCCAAACCAGGAAAAGACTCTCGCCAAGCAGCGTGATTTAGTACCACTTTTGGATAAGCATGGTGTAACAACGCATGCATAACATCTATGTTTTCATTTGATATAAACCTGATCGATTCTCGATAAACTATGGTTTGCTTTTATGATCAAGGACATAAGTATTATTGCTGTAATTTTTTTTTTTTTTTTTTTTTTTTTGCATTTTTGAAAAAATTATTAAAATTTAGAACCTTTATTCCACAGAATAGCAGGCAGTGGATTGTTTTCAAAGTTATGAGATTTCACCATAAAAAATGACGTGTGTGTATTAATGAACATGATATGGCCAGATGAATAGTGCCGAGAAAACTACAATAGATGTGTAAAGTTTGTATTGTTTGCATTCTAAACAGTTTCTGGTAAAAGCGAAGGGGCAGACAAAACAATAGAAATTGATAAAAGCCTTTTTATGAAGCAGGTTAAATACTGATTGTTCACTAAATAAAGAAATGACAGTTTCTTTAGAATTAATCAGAAGCGATTAATGCAACTCTGGTGGGATCTCTGCCAACTTCGACATAAGTACCTTTAAATCTTTATGAATTTTGCACAAACGCTAAAAATTGCGTTTGGCGATTTCTCAAGACATATTTGATCGCACCTAAAGTGACTTTTATTCCTGCCTGCAAAACGAATTCTCTGATGTAAATTTAGCAACTTACCTTTTTGGCAATTTTAAAAGCAGTTTGACTACACAAATATCAGTTTGGTGATTTGTGAATTTCATGACGCTTCTTTTAAGAAATATGATATCATTGAAATATGAAATTCTTGAAAATATATATATATAACGTAATTTGACTATATTGCGATTATATGTATAAATAATGGCAATATGGTCAAATTATGTTATTAATGTAGTCAATATTATTTTATTGATATTCCTATTTGTCATGTTTTAAAATGTCTACCTTTCATTTTGGTGCATCTTGTTTATGACATTTCAATGAGGTAATAAATTTCTGAACTACTTTTGGGGAAAAGCATGGAAGCAACTGCATTTGTGTCAAAATTAATTTTTTATGACTTGTGTTTTCTTGTATAATTCTTTCAAAATATTCAGATATTAGCTCTCGTTGTAAGGTTGATTTTAAGCATTTCAGTAAATGCTTTCAAAAATTGTTCAATTTTTAATCTTAGAAACTTGGCAGGTGTTTTAATGGCTTGTGAGAAAAACCTGTGGCAAAATGTATTCAGTAGAGAACAGACATCTAATTAAAAGCACAACAAGCCAATGTAAAAATTAAACCAAAATAAAATTTCTATTTTGCCTAATTTTAGACATATTTTACAGACTCTGATGAGTTTCTCATTTTGTTCGGAGAATTTTCATGGAAAGTCAACAGTTATTTACAGTGCTTCTTTATATTTGGGCCCTATTATTTAAATTGTAGCAAGGGCGTGATAAAATGGACTGTGACAAAGAGGCAGTTGTACCCAAAGTTCCGTATGTTGACAGATCATAAGTGACTAGTTAGGGTTATTGGCCATTTAGCGACAATTTGCAAAGTCTTTTGAGTAAGCTTTCACTTTGGCACCATTCGTTAAAAAGTGGGCTCTTGGCACTGTTTAAATAATGGGCTTCATAAAATAGTTTTTACTTTTGATCCTGAATACTGGTACATTTGTTTCCTTTACTTATTATTTTTTTCCCTATTCAAAAGAATAACAATTGAATAATTGGTTCTGTTCCTTGTCATAGAACAGGCATCTGTAGAAAGGAATTTCTGTTGTATTGAAAATTGACAATCTAAGACATTCATCTTTCATGTCTTAACACTATCATTTTTTAGAATGTTCTTAGTTATTCTCAGCAGTAAAATTAGGAAAGAAACAAGATTGCACATTCTGGATACATGCAGTTTTTTAAAACAACCAAAAATTAACTGCTGAAGAGAAAAATTATTAAGTAGGATATTAACCACGTAAAGTGAAAAGAGATTTTTTCTTCAAAGATTAGGTTTGGATTTATCTGATTACGGCAAAGCATATGAGTGCTACCTGGAAGGTAAGGAGGCTTTTATATAAGACTTTCTAAGGAAACTGGTTTGTATCTACATTACACTTTGAGAAAGTGCCCATGTGCTCACACTAGTAGACCTTTTCTTCAAACGGTACTATTCAAGGTATCAACAGATTAGCAGCTACTTTTAGATATTGCAAAGATTAGTTTCAATGTTTTTTTTTAAATTGAAACAAGTGAATTTAGGAGATTAAAGAGAAGGAACTATATATGAATGAGGTAAAATACTTGTAAAATTTTCAAATTAAAAAGGCCCACATTTTTTCTTTAGCGATATGTATGACCATTATAAGTGTAATACATAACCTTCAAAAAATTATAAGTAATATATAACTGTTTCAAAAATTTTAATGAAACTTGAAACTACTTGAAAAGTTTTAGATATTTGGTTTTAAACTTTTTTTTAAACTTGCTTTATGTTAAATATTAAACTGTTTAATAATAATGCACACTACATTGTCATAAACGTTTATTTAGCTCATTTATGGTGCTTGCCACTATGGTCAATGGCTTGTCATAATTTTTTTAACTATTTCCTGATAAGCTATCAAACTCAAAATTTTGTACACACATTGTTCATGGATGATAAATACTATGTTGGGACACAATTTATCAAAATTCTATTATTTTGCAAATCTTCATTTAAAGAAAAAATAAACATACATTTTAAACTGTCTGAAATTGAATAGAGCAGGAAAACCTTTCGAATAAAATTTTTAACTTAATATATGAATTTTTAGAAAATTTTTGACATCTTTGTTTCTTTCCACTAGTTGATACCCATTTATTAAAATTTCACCACTTAAAAGTGTATCAAGTTTTGGATCTTTTGCAAACTATGAAATTAAATTTTTGCCCTCTTTTAAAATAAAAATGCTAAAAAAATACGTATTCTTCTACTTAAAGTATTCTGTACTTTAAAGCAGGAGGAAGAAAAAATTGGTTCTTCCTTAGCCGTTGGTGGTTTCAAGGTTACATTTTCATTACATCTCATAGTTCTTGCTTCTGTGTGCAGATTTCTTTGCATTTACAGTTCATTTTATTGTATTAATTACAAAAGCAACAGAGTTTAAGGATCAACTAGCATTTAAAATTCATCTATCGCAAAAATATACCGTCATTTTGAATATTTTCCATTTTACGTTAATTTACATATATTTTTCTCAGAACTTCATTTTAAAATAAGATTTTCTTAATTTTTTTTATGATAGAATATTATTATATTCGTTTGCGAAACCTTAAGGTTCTAACATCCAAAATGTATCCATTACAAAGATCTGAAATTTTCAGAGGTTCAAGCTTTCCTTTTCTGAAAAATAAGAATGATAAAAAAATGTATTAATTAGATAAGTTTTTATTTTTCCTTAAATCAGAAGCGTTTATTATAAACTTTTTTTTTAACTCAATCATTGTATTTGTCACTAAACTGCCATCAATTTTTTATGCTACGTGATAAGCTATCCAGCTCATGTTTTGTACTCAGTTTCTTATTAGAATGCTGGTATGTGTAATCCATTGTCATTCTAATTTAATCTAGTTTTATTTTATTTATATCAACAGGCATTGTTCTATTTGAAAAAAAAATGTAACTTTTTTAACAAATTACCAAATTTAATAATTATTAAAATCCGTGTATGGCCTTGGACTAAATTTCCATTCTTTTGGAATAGCAGATTAATATAGCTTTTTATTCTAGAAATAATTGTGGTCCATGTTTTAGATGATTCATCCTGTATATAAAGACCTTAAACAATGAACAAAACATTTCGCAGAAAATTTTTTATGTCTGGTTATTAATTTTTCAATTGATTAACGATAGCAAAGTATGTGATGGCCATCGACTTAAGGCCTTTGCATAGGCCTTTCTAACAAAAACTAGTTCCTGTTCATCTTACACACACACAAAACAAAAATGCTCCATACAGCAAGTTCATTTGTCTGGAATAAATCACTAGTGTTCAGTGACCTTATCCACTATATCTTTGTTAGATGTTTTTTTACTTATGTTGAATTGTAAAGATATTTGAGACAAAGAAGCAAAAACAGATTTATTTTTATAAAGTTATATAAATTATTTTTAAATGACAAAATCTTAAATATACAATCTAAAACAGTTCTTTCACTTTTTTCTTTTTCGTTTTTATCTCTGCATGTTACAGAAATCTTTCAAAATGTACTTTTATTATGATAACAAAACCTAAAAGCTTAAATAATGCACGTCACATTATAACTTATTCTAAAAACAAAGATAATTTCCTATGATTTTAAAAAAATCCAGTTAATTTTTTATATTCAGAAACATAAAATTCAAGATCCATATTGGTCCCAAAGAATTTGGAAAATTTTGTAAACTAGAAAGAGGACTAAGTTATAAGTGACTAGTGGCGATATTATAAATAAAAGTCTGATATAAAAGTATAAAAACAAACATATAGAACTATTCCAATGTCACTACAAAACTATCTGTTTCACTATTTAAGTACATAACCAGATTTTCTGTACTTTTCAGCAAAAAATTTTGCTATTTACAATTGCCTTAGGAAATTTATTAATACTTAGATTGTCTCAAATACACCAGTCATTGGATTTGGCTTTTAAAAAAAATTTCAATGGATGCACTATTGTTACTGTCCACAGTATTATTAATTGATTAATTTCATAACAGAAATAAATCTAAGTACGACACTGCATACATTCTTCCATATACAATCCACACATTTCAACTTCAGTAGCAACTACTATAAACATGTCTTATATAAAATGATTTTGATAATGGAATAACAGCTTTACTAAAGTGGTAACTTCTACCCTTGCAAACATCTCTTCTAACAAGAAAAAAGTGCATCTATAAAAACATGTAGCAAACAATAACATAATAAGCATTTCATACTATACACATTTAAATGCTTTTTGCTATAAACTTTTTCTTATATAAAAACAACAGTACAAGAAACATAGACAAAAAATAAAGTTACTACTATTCTTACAAAAGGTAAAAATATTTAAATGCATAGGCAAAATTGCATAGTTAATAAATGCATTATGTATTGCATGGATACTTTTTGAATGATTGGCATTATTGTGCTGTGCTTAAAATATGCACCACAATTTACAATCCAGCACCAGCATACATTCTTTAAGGATCATTTTCACTTAGGAATCATGCCCAGATCAGATTCTTGCATCGGAATGTTTTCAATTGCTTTTGCAAGAATTATATCAATATATGGTTGCAGAAATTATAAAAATGTACAATAATTGGCATTTTTAAGCTTGGCTGTCATCATTCAGTGTTTCATCAGGAAGAATCAGACCATCATCACCAGTACTAGAACTCAGTGAACCTCGTTTTGTAGCCAAGTAACGAGAGGGAGGGAGACTAGCACCACCTCTTCTGCACAAAAAGAAAATGAAAATATTAGTGCAAAATACAATACATAAATTTCTGAAACTAACAAACAGTTAATGAAATTAATATATCAGATTTCAACTTTCAATAGAGCATTATCTACAGATGTTGTTTCCATAACTTTTCAATGAATTTGCTCTGGCAAATAACTAAAATTTACAAAGAATCTAAATTGGCAACAGCTTTTACGCAGAAGCATAAATTGTCTGCTAGAAAATTTTTATATGTTCAAAATAATTCATGTCAATAAATTTTGGATAGATGGCTACATTTTTTAATGTTCTGAAGAAAAATAGTCTTTTTTAATGCATATAGTTAATATCTAAGGGCACAATAAAAAATATAACTCTAAAGGGGGAATCATCATTCTTTATACAACACAAAATGTCAAGATATTATCCGAAAAAGGTCAACTTCAAAATGCTAGTTTCTATTTTAAATTACATAATTGGGGGGGGGAGCAATACTAATTTTTACTTCCTTGTACGAAGTACAGGAAGCATTATAATCATGAAAAATTCTAGGTACCATATTTCAATGAAAATATCCATTTTGGCTGCTACCGAATGCAATTTAAGGATGTTTTTGTGTGACATCTGTATGAATGGACAGAATAAAGGACTCTTTTTTCCAAAAAAATTATAAACTGATTTAAAATGGATTCAGAAGAGATTTTTTTGGTGGCATCTGTACGTATGTATGTATCTCGCATAACTCAAAGACGAATAGCGTCAGAACTTTGAAATTTTGTATATAGGACAGCTATAGGATGTAGTTATGGACCTCCCTTTTTGGTGGCATTTGGCTTTAAAAAAAGTAAATAAATATACATATATCCACTCTGTTACTTGGTTCCATGAGCTCAGTTTTTTTTTATTCTTATATGTAGGTAAATTGTGCATTTTTTGCTTTAAAAATGATTGAATTATGATGTTTTTATCTTCCGGTTAAGGTTTTTATGCCTTTAGTTAACCTGTATGCAATATTTGTAGAATTATCAACAATTTAAAAGTTGTTTAATTGCAGCTAAGCGTAATTTTTTTTTTAACTATATCAGCCATATTCGTTTACATTAGAAACTTGGCAGAATAGTAGATTTGTTGCCAATCTAAAGAAACTAAGCTTCGCAACAACAATAGTTTCTTTTTCCATTTGTCTAATTTCTTTTATACATTATTTCAGATTTATAACAGTATTTAAATGGAACATGTGGCAATGATTAGATAATGCTTCAGATTACACAATTTGTGCACATTCAGAGTTATAAAATAAATGAGATGTAAAGCTGTTCAAGTGCCAAAGTGTCGCTATGGTAAATAAATACAGTAAATTTTAAAGAGTGCATTTATTCTATTGTGGTTTATGCACTATAGAGGAAGTATATTGAATTCAATTCAATAAGTTAAAATGAAATGCAGGAAAATTGCATATAATTTAATATTTCATGCAAGGAAGTCATGTGGTGTACACATAAGATTCCCCCCCCCAGGAAATGCAGCCAAATACTATGCCATATATAGAATTCTTTACAAAACTAATTTATTGAGATGTATAGAACACATGTAATAGAAAATAATCTATTTACTATTATAAAAGAAAAGGAAGCAAATTTTCATACAAAAGGAAAGTTTTCATTTTTCTAGTTCAATATAAATAAATCACTAGTTATATTAAGCTATTTAAAGGGCAACTGATTAATTTCTTAAAACAGAGTAATAAAGCATGATATTGTTATTTACATTTTTATACAAACAATCGTCCATATCACAATCTAAAAATAACTGGTTAAAATGTTTATAATTTTAGAGTTACTTTTAATTATACCAACATGAATACACACAAATGCAGATGTTATTGGCAATCTAAGAAAGTGGATACTATATAATATTTCATACATTTCCTAGCCTAAACACACAAACCAGCAAAGTTACTTCCATTAATGATGTTTTTAACATTTGCCAAGATATGGAATGCAGAATTCGCTATTTTCATTGAAAGTTACCAATTACATTATTTTGAATTTGTTCAATAAATATTCTAGCCCAGAGGTGGGCAAATTAATGACCCGTGGGCCACATGCAGTCCACTAAGTCTTTTTGTGACTCACCAAGAAAGCCAGAAAAATTCGCTTTGAACCGATATTTCCTTCTTGTGCACGACTGAATATTTTCCATCACGATGGCCATATCAATATGCATGTGAAGTGTAAATATGATTTGCAGTGCTCCTAAGTTGATCTGGTTAATATCAATTTTGTCTTTGCAAAATATATTGTACAATTAAGTCTCCGACGTTTGACAAAAAATAGCGCCATAGGTAAGTTATGGTTAAAATAGTCTGATGTAAGACACCATATCATAAGGTTGGGCATCTGCTAATAACAGATCACTGAAATAATGGCAATTTTGTATTGGGCGTCATATATTTTTTCCATCCGAAAATGTGGAGTTTTAAGCCAAAAGAGCATCATTTGCTGGAACTTTTGATTTACTTCTTTAATTTGAAGAAATCTGCAGCTGAGGTGCATTGATTGCTTGTAGAAGCATATGGTAAGGCTGTCTTAAGTGAGAAAGGCTGTCGTGATTGGTTTCAAATTTTAATAATGATGAATTTGACATTGAAGACAAAGAACGGAGTGGAAGGATGAAAATAAATGAAGACACATAACTGGAAGCATTATTGGATGAAGATTCATGCCAAATGCAAGTAGAACTTGCACTTACATTAGGAGTGACTCAAAAAAAGAATTTCAAATTGTTTAAAATCATTGGGAATGATTCAAAAGCAACAAAATTAGGTTCCATATAAACTGAAGCTGAAAAATGTTGAACACCAAAATTTTACACATGAAATGCTGCTTGCCACACATAAACAAAAGGTTTTTTGCCCACTGTATAGTCACTGATGGCGAAAAATGGATCCACTATGATAACCAAAAGAAGAGATCACGGAGATGACTAGGCCATGTTCCAACACTGAAAGCCAAGCAGAGTATTCATAGAAAAAAAAAATCATGCTGTGTATATGGTGGGATCAACTTAGTTGTGTATTATAAATTGCTCAAACCAAACGAAACTATCACTGGGGCCCTCTACTGAATACAACTGATGAGACTCAAAGAAAAATTGCTTACCACTACTACTCCAGACATAACAAAATTATTCTCCTGCATGATAAGGCTCATCCACATGTTGCAGCACCAGTCAAAACCTACTCAGAAACATTCAAATAAGAAGTTTTACCCCTCCCACTGTATTTACCTGACATGCAAATGAGAAGTTTTACCCCTCCCACTGTATTTACCAGACATGCTCCTTCTGATTACTACTTCTTTCGATTGATGACGTATGGAATATCTAAGCAGTGCTTCAAATCATAAGAAAATACCAAAAATTGGGTTGATTAGGGATAATCTCAAAAGATGAGGAAAAGTAGTGGCTAGTGATGGACAATACTTTAAATAAAATACAACATACCATTCTTTCACAAAAATGGCCAATTTTTGGAAGAAAAAAAAAAAAAAAAAGGCAGAGACTTATTTGTACTCCCAATATAAATTTCCAACTTTAGTAAAACCTAGAACCCTCTGGAAAAATGTAAAATTCATGATGAATGTTGTATGTTTAATGAAGAATGGGAAAATACTATTTCTTTGGTAATACAGGGAATAAAGCAGTGTGTTTATCATTTCATGAAACTAGTCATATTTGAGGTGTACAGTCTGAAACGACATATCAAAACACACCACAGTGCAAATTTGGTCACATAGTTTCCAAAGCAGAACGCAAGATAAAAGCTGCAGACTGCATAAAAAGGCTGAAGAAGCAACAAACATTATTTTCAAGCCAACACTTCAAAATAGTACTATGAAAGCAAGTTTAATGGTAACCTATAATCTTGCTATATGGAACAAGCTTGTTATAGATGGAGAATTTATGCAGTGTATAGTGGAGTGTGCAAGCTTATTGTGTCTTGACAAAAGAAGCAAATCTGAAAGCATTTCAACATCAAGAAAGACTACAGTGTGGCATATTGATTCAATTAGTTAAGAACTCGCAGAACAGCTGAAGACTATGAACAAAGATTTTGTTTGGTTTTCTTTGGCACTAAATGAAAGCACAGATATTGAAGATACTGCACAATTACTCATCTTTATTCATAGAATTCAAAATTTTGCCATCGCAGAATTACTTGGCTTAGAATCAACAAAAGATAGAACTACTGGTACTTGAGTGTGCTGTGAATTGTGAGAAGAAAAGTGGCTTGGCCTGAAACAAAATGATAAGTATAATACAACATATGGAGCTACAGCTTTCGGTGGGAAAAATATAGGCATGGTTAAGGTTTTAAAAAACAAGTTACAAGCACAAGACACAGACATTGATAGTCTTTTTCACAGCATTTTGCATCAGTAGAGTCTTTGTAAAGCTGCACTGGATTTGCAGCACATAGTAGGTGCTATCATTAGTGTGATAAACACACTCAGAGCTAGGGCACTCCACCATCGGCAGTTCAAATCTCTTCTTGAGGATGTGAGGACAGAGTATGAAGATGCAATTTATTACAAGAGTGGTACAGCCTGGGTAAAGTGATAGAAAAGTCTGGGTATTGCAGAACGAAATCCTCTTATTTCTTGACACAAAGGATATACGAGGGTTGGAACTTTAATAGTGGCAACACAGCTGAAAAAACGCTACGCAACAAAACCAAAGAATATCGCATATACCACACGTAAACTACATACCTACCTTACCTCTCAGCAAAAAGACTCGTCCTGCCTACGTCACGCACACGAGGAGTGACGCGAAGAACGGATCCTTGTATTAGCTCGCGGTCTAAAGTAAGTGTTGTCAGGATGTTTTCAAAACAAGAACAACGATGTTGGATAAAAATTGAATGTGAAAGGTCGTACAGCACGACAGTGTCATCAAGGGCTTCAAGAGGCTTGCGGGGAATCTGCATTGCCTTACAGAAATGTAGCAAGATGGGTGAAAGCATTCAATGAAGGATGCCAAAACATGGCAGAAATGCTGTGGCTAGGTCGTCCGAGTGTCAGTGATGCAGACGTGCAAGCTGTTGCCGCACTAATGGACAGTGATCGCCGCCAAACGATTCATCAGCTGGCCAGACAAACAGGATTAGCGCATACGACTGTGCTGCACATTCTGAAGGTACGCCTTTCCATGACAAAAATTGCTTCATGATGGGTTCCCATCAATTGACGGAAATGCAGAAATGGCTATGATACGATGCTGCCCGAACCCACCTGGAGCCCTATCAGCGCGAAGGAGATGCTTTTTTTACGCTATATCATTACGTTGGATAAGACTTGGGCCCAATCGTACCAGCCAGAACTGAAACGCCAATCAAACAAATGGCGTCATCACAGTCACCACGAAGTTCGAAATTTCGTCAGAACCCCAGCAATGTGAAAGTTGTGGTGATTCTCATGTACGACTGTAATTGTGTCACCCTAACGCATACCGTTCCCCCACAGCAGACTGTCACTGCGCAGTGTTACTGCTCATTTTTGGAGCAGCTTTGAAAAAAAAAAAAAAAAAAATGGTGACACTTTCTGCAGAACACTCCTCTCATTTTGCATGACAATGCTTGGCCGCATGCAGCGCAAGCTGTGACTGATTTGTTCAAGCGATGAGGCTGGGAAGTGCTTTACCATTCACCATACTCCCCAGATCTAAGCTCTTGTGACTATGACTTAATTCCTAAGATGAAGGAACCACTTCGAGGCACTCGCTTCCAAACTGTTCCTGAGATTCTTGCGGCAGTAGACCGGTCCATTCAAACTATCAACAAAACAGTCGCTGCTACAGGTATTCTGCGACCTCCACATCGTTGGAAACGGGTTGTACACAATGCTGGCGACTATATTGAAGGACTGTAAAACATGGTAACATGAATCACTTTTGTATTCCTTGTAAATAAATAGTTGCCACTATTAAAGTTCCAACTCTCGTATCTCACGATTTTGTTACAAAAATAGAATTTAAAGAATCAAATGATGTTTGCAGCTAATATATTTGAGATACTGAATGGGCTGAACGTGACATTTCAGGGAAAGGGGTTTTTTGCACATGAAATGCGGAAGTATGTAAAATCATTCAAAGCATAACTAAATCCATTTGCCAGGGAAGCAGGTGAAGGGAATTTTTGTCATATCCCTTTATTAGGAAAACAGAAAGTGTTTCTGCTAAGATTAGAGATCAGCTGCAGAGTTTAGAGGATGAGGTGACAAGAAGATTTCAGGACTTAGTACCTAAATTCCATTTGCTCTCTTATGCCATCACTGCTGATATTGACAAAACATGTGAAGAGCTGATGCTTAAACTTACTGACTTGTCGGACCATGCTGTGAAAGAAATGTTTAATGCTGTAACATTAGTTGATTTTTACAAATCTTTGTCTGCTGAAAATCTTCCATGTATGAAGAAATTTGCTAAGAAAATGTTCTCAATATTTGGGTTTATATATGTTTGTGAGTAAAGTTTTTCTTGCTTGAAGATCAACAAAAGCAAATATAGATGATCTTTATCAGACATTAATTTTCAAACTGTGATGAGAATCTCAACAAATAACCTAAATTTTCAGACTGTGATGAGAATCTCAACAAATAACCTAACTCCTGATTTTTTTTTTTTTTAAAGGTGCTTGTGGTAGGGTTCATTTGTTTCATTAAACTGACTCTAAAATTAAATGTGCTTGCAGCTACAGATTACATGAAATTAGCACAATAAATATATTGAATAAGACTTAACTATTTTATTTAATTTATATTTACTGATTTTTAAAGTACAATTTTTACCTTTTTTGAAATGAAAAAGTTAATTAATAAATGCAATCATTTTAAAAAGTGCAGCCCTTCACTTACACAGAGTGGCCCCCCACATCAAAACAGTTGCCCACCTAGCACTGTGTAAAAATGGGAGAGCAAGGTTAAGTGTCTCAGAAGGAATTATGGCATGTTGACTTGCAACAATGATTCTATGATGAACTGTTCAAAGTGTGAGCCAGTGCAACAAAAAACCATGTTTTTCTAACAAACTACTTACCAGAAGTTAGTGAGGAAAATCCTAAGATAACTAACTACAAGGAAGAAACCACCGCACTATTGGCTGAATAGCTAAAAAAATTATGTTACTGAAAAACACGTGTAAATTGATTTTTCCTTTTAAAGAGAACATGCAAGTGCTATCGTGTTTTACATCACATCTTTTCAATAAAAGCCTGTTCTTTTATATATTTTGCTTAAATAGCATTTGTAATGCTATATAATGCCTAGGTTTTACATACGATGACTAATGAAAGTCAAAATAATTCCGATATTTCATACTTTCCACAAAAATGCCAAAACCTTTAAATACTGCCAAGACATTTTGAGGCATTCTAGTCCATTTTTTCATATACTGCTGATAATATATACATATATCCAGAGGATACACTAAGCATACAAGATTAAGAATCTTAGTTCCAGCTTATTTCATTGCAAAAATACAGTATCAAAAAAGTATGTTAATTTTCTGTTTCTATTATTGGCAAAACTTCTGGTCAACAGCAAATTATAAAGTTTTATGAGAAGCAAAAGTTATATGTGGATTTTGTTGCCCCTAATAACTTTACCAATCAATGATCAAACTGCATTAAAATAATGTAGTTATGCAATATAATACTATCTATAATCTTTCTTTCTTAAACACCTTAACTCTTTCTTTTCTTAACAATTCTAAAATATTCTCAGCAAGGCTGTTTTATGTTCTGGATGTTCATCAGAATATCATGAAAAGAAACTTTTAATAGTCAACTAATAGAGAAATACATCAATAAGACCAACATCAAGCAAAAATGTAAAGACTTAATCTCCAGAAGACCTCGTTGCCAAATTAGTGCTTCTGCTGCAAAAGTATGTGACATGGAAGATATCTTCCTAAAGTGTATACTAATCACTTGCAATGCATATATTGCAGTTACGGGCTGTTCATAACAATTCTGATTACCCCTTAAAATTGTAACCATTAATTTTGTTACACTCAGTATGTCTTTTTTCTTGCTTATTTTTTCATTTGATAGTCATTTTGCCAGTAAAATTAAATCTACATGATATATATCCAATGCTTAAATTGTAAATATATATAGCTTAAATAAATTCATCAGACATTTATATATTTTTAAGACAGCCTTATATATATATATATATATATAGCATATATATATATATAAGCCTTATATTGCAATTATTTTTGGATAGTTTATACTACAGCATGAACTATCCAAAAATAATTGCAATATAAGGCCACCATGCCTAAAAATATATAACTGGGAAGAGTTAAAATTATCTCTGTGGAAGGATATTTTGTCACTGCAATAGAATTTTACAATTTAATTTGAAATAGAACTCTTAAACACTCTAAATTGTATATAAATTACCTCATTTTTGTTTTCAAGGAAGATGCTTCACGGTTTAGGGTAGCATTAGCTTCGATCAAGTCTTCAATTTCTCTCTGAGCTTTCCTTCTTTGAGCTTTCTCTCTTGAACATTCTTCCTCTGATTCATCAAGTTGCCTCTTCAAAGCTTTAACTCGAGCATTCATTTTTTCAACCTTTATAAAAATTCAAAATTTTTTTAGCAAATCAAAATATTCTGTAACACTAAAACTACATAGCCTGCTCAACCAAGATTTAACAAGATAAAAAAAGACTCAATCCATACACAAAATAAACAAACACAGGAATTGGTTTAAAAAAAATATTAATTGACTTAAATTTAGCAGATCTTTGTTACTATGAAAAATACACACATAAAAATTGATGAAGATCTACAATTATTTGGTTGTAACGAAAGTTTTCCGCCAAGTACTTTAGAGTGGGTAGTAATCAACAACCAAGTTTATGATTTTCTGCCAACGTTTTGGTAATTTTTCAAAGCCTTTGGCCACAAGTCCCAAAACAGATCAACCTAATTCCAGATATCCTAGCACCAGGAAGATGTAGCTGCAAGTAAGAAAAAATGTAGAAGTCCGAAGGAGTGATGTCGGGGCTAAATGGTGGCAAAAGATCCCATTCGAGTCCTTACAGAGTCCAGCCAGTGAATACCAACACATGTGGTCTTGCATTATCTTGATGATATATTACTTTCTTGCACTGAAACTCAGTTTGACCTTTTTCTTTGATAGTAGCATCTCGCTGTACACCTTATCGTCAAGGGTTTTACCTTTTCCCAGATACTCTTTGCCAACTGACAGCAATTCTCACATATACAAAGCATGAACTATTTTTTAGTCGAATTGCACTTTGCGACACTGCTGACAAACTCATGGGGGCCTTTACCAGCCTGTGTTATTGATGCAAATCCACTTTTCATCACAAGTGATGATTTGGTCCAGAATTTTGTCCTTACATTGCTATTTGGGCAGATTAGTGTAGGTCCGAACACGTCTATCCTTATCTGCTTCAGTCAGCTCATATGGCACCCAACGACTGAACTTGCACGTCAAGTTTATTTGATGCATAACAAGACTAATGGACACTGCACTAACATCCAACTCCTTCGTAAGTTCTTGAGTTTTTGCATACTGATAATCTTCCGCAAGTTTTCGCAGGCGGGCTTCATCAACATCCGTAGGCTGACCAGAGAGCTGTGCTTCTTGAATGTCATAGTCCTTGTTTTTGAACTTTCGGTACCAAACTTTAAAGCTGTATATATGATTTGGTGACATTCTGCAGCTGACTTTTTGCAACTGAACTGGAAGTAAATGATGGTTCTAATCTGGTAACGTGATAGTTCCATTTCAGACACCTTGTGCTTAATGATAATATTTTTTTACAAATTTTACAACACAGTGTTTTAAAACAAGTCTCTTTCTTTCAGATGCCAAAAATCGTTTGACAAAATGTGATTAAATGAGCCAGCACAAATTGTTTGTACAGGCAATATTTGCGGTGGCAGAAAACTTTCATTAAAACCGATATTTACTAGGTGCTTCAGAATATCATCACAGTCAAGGAAGGATTAAGACTTTTAGAGGCCCAAAAGTTTTCAGTGCCTCCACATAATACATTTATAGCCTAATTCTGTTTCTCTCTCTCCCCCCCCAAAGTTCTGTCTCAATTTTGGTTTAACTGCAGCATACAATCCATGGTAAAACTAGCAATGAGAATTTTTGGTGATGCCCTAAGCCCATGCTTAATTTTCTTTATGGTTAATCCAGCTCTCAGCAAATAAATAACTCAAAATCGACACAAGAAAATACACTTCTTATCAACTATTAAGAAATTCTTAACTACCTGAAAGTTCTATGTAAAACACTATGTTAAATGTTATTAAATTCAAAAAACATAAAAAAGGGTTCCTACTAACACTCAGAGAAAAAACAGGTTGTTAAAATTTAATGTCCATGTATCTAAAACAGGCAATGCCAGTCAACATAATTAAAGGATCACAGGACCTGGATATTAAAAATGTATTTCTGCACACATTTCATTTTTACTTTTAAAAGCAAATCTTAATTTTATTATAAACTGTAAGTGTGAGATTTAAATAATGTTAGTTTTATTATTTTATATTAATAAAAAATAATGATTAACTTTAATGTTAGCAGAATAAAAACAAGTTTTCTTTTACGAAATGAGAAACTTGTTTTAGAAAACTATAAATATAGGATTATACATTTAGTTTCAAGACCTATATAAATAAAAACTTAGCTTGCTGTTTCATTTGCAAACAACAAAAAGAAACTGTGTTCTAAGCCACAGTTTCTTAAACTGTAGGTCGCGACCCACAGCTAAAATTAAAATTAAATCAGAGTTTAATTTTAACTTTAACAACAGCTTAAATTTTAGCAATTTTGATATTTCTTTATTACAATAATTTTTACATCTATCTAATGTTTTTACACAATGTATCTGAAAATAGGTAAAGATTAGACAATACAGACAAGGAAAAAATGACAACATTTGTTTACAAATAAAAACTTTAATTTTACTTGCTTTGCATGTGACACTGTTAGTTCGTCAAAGGCCATGTATATGCAAGATCTTTGGACTTTGGTAACCCATGCCAACTGGGCCATCTTTGACTTCAGCCATCTCATTAGTGGCAGAATGTCAGCTGTTCTATGCGGACTGTTTCACATGTTTGAGCACCCCTTCCCTCTGAATGTATATACAATGCTACTGTCCCCATAAAAAAATGCATTCGGTTGCTTTTGCCATCACTGTTTCGTTTGTTTCATCAGCAAGTAGATAACTTATTTTTATCAGTTATCATCTATTTTGAACAAGAACCCCTTATTTTCTCAACAATAATTATCAAATATTTTTATGAATCATGAATAAGTGGTTGAGTTTAGGTAATTGAAATAATAATAATAAAAAACTGAAAAGTCATCTTCAATACCTAGCACGAGCGCAGATAAAATACCAAGAAAATGCAAATATGATGAATCGTATTTGGAATTTGGTTTTACTTCTTGTACTTATGATGGAATTGAAAAGCCATTATGCTGAATTTGTAAAGAAGCTTTGGCTACTAAAAGTATGAAACTTACCAGATTAAAGTGACATCTCAATATAAAGCATACTACATACTGCATCTTTTGAAACTACAAAAAATTTGGCTTTCAAAACTTTGTTATTGTGAATGAAAAGTGTTTCCTTGAGTCTTATGAAGCATTCTATTTAACTGCAAAAAATAAAAAGGTTTATTCAATTGGAGAAAATCTAATATTGCCAGCTGCTATTATGAGTTCATGAAGAAAATTACGCAGATGACATCTGTAAAATTCCATTTCCCAACGATACTGTTTCAAAGTCAATTTTGGAATTTATTGAAGATCAACATCAGCAGGTAATAACTAGGCTCAAAATGAGTACTAAGTTTGCAATCCAGCTGTATAGCTCAACTAATATTACAAACTTGGCTCAATTATTAATGTGTGTTACATATATTTTTGAAGAATGTACTCATGACGAATTTTTGTTTTCTTGCTCTTTGGATTCACACACCAGAGGCGAGGACATTTTTGTAAAAGTTAATGAATTTTTCATTCACGAAAGTTTGCAATGGAAAAATTGGGTTGGCATTTGCACAGACGGTGCTAAAGCAATGGTCGGTTAAAAAAAGCTGGTTTTCTAGCCAAAGAAAAGTAAAATGGCAATAAATGTGTAACATCTACTCATTGCATGATACATCGTCAGGCACTGGTGCCAAAAATTATCAGTGGAGTTAGATGTTGTGCTTTGAGATGGTGTTAAAGTGGTCAACTTTGTCAAAAGTAGTGCTCTGAACAGTCGTTTGCTTTCAAATCTTTGTAAAGACATGGGTTCTGAATACGAAAACTTATTATTACATACAGTGGTAAGATGGCTTTCAAGAAGCCACAGTTTAAAAAGGTTATTAATATTAAAAGATGATTTTTTCTCTTTCTAACCAAACAAAAATATGACTTAGCGAATTTATTCCATACTAAGTTGTAGCTGTTATTAGAGTGACATTTTGGAAAACAAAATGAACTAAATTTGTCCCTTCAAGGAAAAAGGGGGCAACATATTTATAATCAAATCGAAAACTGATGCTTTTATTATAAAAATTTCCAATATCGAGAACCATGGTGGAAAAGGGTTTGTTAGAAATGTTTGTTGCAACAAGTGAATTTTTAAGTGAAAATGATGAAATAAATCATCAAAAAGATGAGTTGCTAAAAGTGATACATGAACATCTTCGATGTCTTGAGAAATATCTCCCTGCAAATTTTAGTGCTGAAGAACTAATAAAACAGTTTGGAATTAATGTGGAAAATATTACTTACTCATTTGCTATTAAAATCACAAGAAAATCTTGTTGAGTTATCAAATGATTTGGGGTTGAAAACAGTAGATTTTTGGGTAGGAGTTGCAAAAGAATTTCCAACGATTTCTGAAAGTGCATAAACTTTCTTTTAACTTCTTCTATTATATATTTGTGCTAAATGAGATTCTCGACTTTAAACACCATAAAATCAAAGTGTAGAACAATTAAGAATATTGAAGAAGTGCTTCATCCCGCATTGTCATCTGTTTTGCCAAGAGTTGATAATATAATTAAAAATAAACAGGCACACCTTTCCCATTGATACTTAATCCTTGCATAAGCGCTGTTTTCCCAGTAGTGACCTTTAAAGTGGCTACACTTAATGCACAGATTATAATTAATATTTAAATTTACCCAAGTAATTGAATTTATTTTTATTATTGTATTATATTTTTAAGTTTGTTACTTATTTAAAATTTTTTCATTGTTCTATGTCTCAAAATTAATTTCCTAAAACTGCAATAGTATATTACAATACAAGTGAAGAAATTGATAGTTTCACTCACGCACGTCGGATTTGCACAATGCTTAATGGGGTCCCACAAAATTTTCGTAAATATTACGGGATTCCATACCAAAAAGTTTAAGAAACGTCGTTTTAGGCAAATAAAAATCATTTCATCATTTAGTTTTATTGTGGGAAAAAAAAAATTTTTTTTTTTTGGGGGGGGGGGCTTTATAGAAATAAAAATATTTTTATATGCATAAAAAGCATAATTTTGTTGAAATAAAATATGATGATAAAAGCATAAAATTCCCAAACTTGTATTCTATATATGGCGTCAAAGATAGCACAATCTAGTTATCCAGATATGCTGCAGACCAGCTAGATTGAATACAAAAAACTAAATTGTGTACCTTTTTAGAAAATCATCATTTTCAATATAATGAAATATTACTGCAGAAATGTATTTGAAATTTACATAGCAGTTTAACGTACCTGTTCTTTATATTGATCTGTATGTCTCCTTTCATCTTCTAGTTGCATCAAAACTTCTTTTAACCTTTTCTCTAGTTTCCTATTAGCTTTAGCTTGAAGCTGTCTTTCTCTATAATAATGAGTTAAAGTATATGTGAACAAGAATTTATATATATGTGCATATATACAAATAATATATATAATTTTTGAAAAGTTTGAAATAGAGTATCACTAATAATTATGAAGAGTATAACTTATAAATACATATACACAAATTAAACATATAAAAATGACTGTTAAAGACAGTGAATCACCCACTAGTATACATTTGGAGTGAACAAACTCCAAATGTATACTAGTGTATTATGTATGTATACTAGTATGTATACTAGTATAACCAAAGTATTTTAACACATGGGAAGTTTAGTGATGAAAATGTTATTTCTCATGCTTCAGATTCAGGAATGTAAGTAGCTATGAAGGAAACAATAAACACAGAAATATATTTTTTAAAAAAGGGGGGACAATTCCCTGTTGTCCACACAGGGGTAATTTTTTGGATGTGAGCCCAGTCCTATTTTGACACAATTATACTTCTGTATAAAGTTGATTTGTGTATGATGCAGACTGTATAGAGTCACTTCATTGATTGGATGTTGAGAATTAAAATGGTTTGCTTAACCCTCTTTAGTATTTTTGAGATGAATCAGAATATTAGCAGCAACCCAAACCATCTGTCTCATGCTTGTGATAAAATTAACATGCACTCTTTTTTTTTTGGGGGGGGGGGGTCACCATTAAATTACAACTCCAACATTCCAAAAACCAATGCAGCAAAAATAAATCCACATCACAGTAATTTTTTTACTTGTTTTCAGAAAAATTAACTAGATATTTTTATTACATCATAAAACTACAATATTGTATTACATAAAAATATCCAGCACCACAAGGAATTACGATGAGTATCACTACAGAATATTCTACATATTAAGAAATTTTAACGTATGTTTGAAAAAAATTCTCCTTATTTACAGTATGCAGATCTAACTGATGCAACCATTCTAATAATATGCATTTGTTGATTAAATAGATTCCAACTTTTAAGCGTTGCTGAACATATCGGTAGTTCGGTCTGAGGTTCGAATCCCGCGAACAGGCTGGCTGCATGGAAGTTTTCATGGTTTTCCCCATGTGTAACGTGTATATGAGGCAGTTTCCATTAAAACGTCCTCCACAAAGGCATCCCTCCCTTAAGACAGATAGCCCTCGAGTGCTTTTCCGTAATCTAATAAACCAAACCAACTTTTAAATAAATCTGTTGTTAGTTCTAATAAATACAAAACTGTCTTAGTGGCATATGCAATGAATGTCCTCACAACTGGTAATAGATGTACTTTAATGCTGAACTCAGGGGATATTCTGTATTTATATATTTTATGACTTTTATTTTATGCCTACTTACAGGTAAAGGATAGAGTCAAATGGGTCTAGATTATGCTCTAATCAAGTCTTTACACTGGGTGAAGTTCACATCTAAATTTTTTTTTTTTTATTTTAAAGAAAGTAGTCACTTGCCTTGTAAAGTCTTTCTTATAGAATCTTTGAGAGAAGCAAAAGATGTAAATCTGCTTTAAAACATAATAAACTGAAAGATGAGTAGCCTTTAAAAAAATTACAGAAATTTTCCAATTAAGATTAACTTATAGTAATATGCAGAAAAGTTATTTAAAAATTTGACTTGCATTTGTATTTTTACACAGTTCCAGAAGTAAAACTAATGTAATCCCTAGAAAAATTTACATTTCTGTTACTGGTTGCACAACTTTGAAGACATCTTGTGGTGAACTTAATATATTCCCTACATCTGAAAGTTGGTCCTACATAAGCAGATTGCAAACAATTCAAACTCACGTTGTGGAAATTTCACATTCCACGAAATTCATTACATTCAGGAAAGTGCTGTATGATATGCTGGTCTTGTTGAATAACATATTTTATAATTTTTGACTACTTGGTTAATGGAAAAGTATGGGAGTCACAATGTTTTCACTATTACTCAAATGTGAGACATAGGTTTTAGCTGGAAAGCAATACAATACACTTCTGTCCTCCCCTCCACTGATGACCGAATTTTTATTCCCAAATTCAGATTCTTTCATGCCAAATTTCATTTTTTAGGAATAATAAAAACATATAATATACTAAACAACCCATATGCAAAGGATAAAATTATGTTAAACTCTGGCTACTGAAAGGATCAATTTTAGTAATGCAAAAAATAAGAGTATGTAATCAATAAATTTTTGAAGAAATGATGTAAAAGACATTCTTCTGTTACAAGATTCTGTTCTATATGTCTGTAGACAATAAATCTTCTGTTAATAACATAATTTTAAGGTTTTGGTTCTCAATGATGTTTCCAAAATGTAAGGATTTCTGTAGTAATCCTACTACATCTTTTTATGACTGTAGAGATGAAAAATGTATTTTACAAAAATTTAAATCCAAAGATAATCATGAATGGTAAAGGTGTGTATGATCTTAGAAAATATGTTGCTAAAATTTATCTTATTTTAAGATTGATTTTTCCCACCTTTTCAAAGCAATGAAATCTTACTTTGTTTCCATATCCAACTGTTCTTCAACCTGGGCAACTTTAGCTTCCAGAGCAGCTATTGTAGCTTTTGTTCTAGTTCTCTGAGAAGTTTCTAAGTCTTGAAGTTTGGCACGTAACTCTTTGTTCTGAATGAAAATATTTAAATTTAGAAAATTTAAAGTTTGAAAAAAGACAACTGTAAATAATTATTTGATGAAACTACAGTAATCTACTACTTAATTTTACTTATTTTCAGCAGCTAAAGAGAATCTAATTCAAAATAAACAGTAGATTTATACAGCATCAGGATAATAAAATACAGCAAAGAGTTAAAAATAATAATATTGAATGCATTTTAAAATGTATTTACTCTTCTGAACAATAAAGGGGCTATTTTCTCTACTATACACATTTCTTTTAAATATGATGAAGTATTTCACTACACAACTTCGTTGATAGAAGAAGATATTCCTAAATAATTTTATACCCCATTTTGACAATTAAATTGCAATTTATAACAAAAAATACAATTGTTTCACATATCGTCTGCTTAGCATGTTCTCACATTTTTCTTATTCATACATCTGAAAACGTTACTAGCTACTTGCGTAATATTCTAACTTTTTACATGCGGGAAAAAAAAAGAAATAAAATCTCCCTCAATTTAAAAATTTCAAGAATATTTTTCTTGAAATTTGACAGCATTTTAACAAAATAAAAAATTAAATTTCATGATGGTTTATCCATACAAATAAATTTTAAAATACTGATGGAAAAATGCAGTTTGAAAGTCAGAATTAAATAATTAGAACTTTAAAATATTCAGTTACTCTTTGCATGTTTGGATTTTTTTTTTTTAAATGAAATTAAATCTCTACAAAACTAATTTTATTTGCATGAAAAATAACATTCATTGGAAGAGAATACATAACTAAGCTGTACCATTTTACACTTAAATTTTTTCCTACTTCCGTACTTATCGCAACTATGTTTTTAATATTGATATGCACACATATTTAAATGTTTCCAAACTATAGGATCAGTTACAAAGAAATTAATAATTTTAAAATAAATGACTATGCTAAATATATGACATTTTGAAACCTTGTTAATTAGAAATTCCACACTTTTTGAATGAAAAGTATAAATGACTTAAAATTAAATAAATAAAACAAAAAAATACTAATAAATTTCTTTAGTATATTCTTTTTGCTATTATTTATGTATTTTACCTCCTTTTTAAATATTTTCTCCAGTCGCTCTCAAGATTTAAAAAAAAGAAAAAAAAAAAAGATATGAAGAAAGAAGTTCCCAGACAAATCAAGTCTTCCAAGAAAATAAATAAATCGATAAAAAATAAAATTATATAACACAGCAAAAGGGAAAAGGTCTATTACCTGTCTTTCCAATATCATTCTGTTATTTTCAAGTTTTTGAGAATTAGATCTTTCACTTGCTAAATCATTCGTTAACTGCTCAATCTGAAAAGCAAATACATTTTAATTGTACTTCACTTGCAATGCAAAATATTAAAATATTTCAGGATTTGAAAAAGGTGAAGTTTTATTTTAATATCTTTACCTGTCCTTGAGCTTTGCGAGCCTTATCCATTAATATTTCTGAATTACTTTGTTCTTCTTCTAACTCTTCTTCAAGCTGTTGTATACGAGCTTCTAACCGTCGCTTTTCATCTTGAAGAAGGGACCTAAAACCACAACTTCGGTTATTCTAACAGTTTTACATAAAAGAGCCTTTTAAATATCTCTGCAAGATAAAATGTGAAATACAATAACATAAGATGGAAAGCAAGCACCTAAAAACCTCATAAAATTCAGTTAAATATATTGGACCAGTCCATAAATTCGTACACATTTTTTGGTAAATTTTTAAATAATATAAAAAAAACACAACATTTTATTCAATTATATATTTTCCTCCATTATCTACAATGTCTCGCCATCTTACAGACAGCTTTTTTATGCCATTGCTGTAAAAAGATTTTGGTTTTGATGGAAAAAAACTTGAAAGTTCATTGTGTACATCCTGTTTAGAATTTAATTTTTTCCCCAGTAAAAAATTTTGTAAGGCATGAAATAAGTGAAAATCACTTGGGGCACTATCTGGGGAGTAAGCAAGATGTGGCGACAGCCCCCAATTAAATTCACTAATTTTTTGCAGCGTTGTTCGAGCCGTATGCGGTCTAGCGTTATTATGATGAAATAACACTTTCTGGATATTCACCAATCGTGGGTGTGTTTTGATCAATTCTGAATTTAGACGGCAAAGTTGTTCACTATAAACTTCTGAATTAATCATTTGCTTTTGTTCTAATGATTCAAAATGTCCTGAACGGGGGTTCATCATCAATGCTGCTTTTTCCAACTCTAAATTTTTTTAAACCATTTCTGGGCGGTCCTTACACTAATGGTATGTTCACAATGTACACTATTACAGGGTTTGCACACATTTCTGCACGTGGAAATTAAGTACTTTTAAGGACTATTAATGAAAAAAATTAAGGACCTATCAGTAAACGAAAGCTGGTACTATCAGTAAACGAAAGCTGAATAAATTCAATCAACTTATGTCTGAACTCCATTTTTGTAATAAACCTCTAAGAATAAAATAGATCTGTAAGTAGGATACATTCTTATTAAACATAATTTAATAAACATAACTATAAAACAAATTTGAGAATAAATTCCACTTTATAAAGTTTATTAGGTAGCATTAGATATTTTACACGTATAATACTTGGACATAGTTTGAAGATTGTTTGAAATGAGTAATAGTTTGAAAGAAGGGACATTTTATTTACGTTTTACTAACAGTTAGCTTTATATTGTTCCCCCCCTTATGTCTCATTTTGCCACATACTTAGTCTAGAGGTTTAGTAAATAGCAGGTGAATTTTATGTCGAATGTCATAGGTTAAAATGAGAGGTAAAATCACATTCAGCATGATTCAAAACAAAAGACTGGCTGTTGCCACCGCTCCTGCTTGCCTACAGAGAGACCTGCTGATCAAAACAAACCTGAAAGTCCTAGTACAGCATGTCCGTATAAGCACGTTGGAAAGTTTTGAAAGTTAGCTGGGCTCTGTCTGACGAGCTAATGTCGTAGCTTCGTGTAGAGTTCCAGGGGTTGTAACTCAGTTAATATGCTTTAAGGTTCTACTAATCCACTAAAGCAACAGAGGTGATAAGTTGTTTTGTTTTAAGTCTCGCTAGATGTGAAGAATAAAGGCTCGTTTCCACTACTGCGTACGAACGCGTTGCGTCAATTGAAGACACGCCTACGGCATCCGTACAAGCGTTTCCACTGCTGCGTATGTGTAAAATATTTTCATTTTCCGCCGCTAGGTGTCACTGTAATATTTTGGCGCAAGCAGTTCGCAAGTTACGACAACTGAATTTTTTCCCGCTTAAGCGAGTATTGTTTGTTTTGGATTTGATATGAAATTTTAGATAAGTAAGGTTATAATGCATATTATGAACATCACGAATTCCATAGAAGCTGAACTAAATTTTAAAAAAAAATTTTGTGTTTCTAGAAGCCTTAAATATTATGAAATAATATATATATTATTAAAACTAAAATGTAATCTTAGTGAAAAAGTAAACAAATAAATAACATAAAATAAAAAAGTTAAAGGGATTAAAAAATAGTTGGTACTTTAAAAGTACAGAGCAACTGTAAGGAAAGGTTCACAATATTTAAGCAAAATTTGCTATGCTTGTATACCGCTGACTTCAGGGTCATAGCTGGATAATTTATTAGAAATCTCGTTTGTTTTTTAAAAATGCACTATGGGCAGTTATATTTTATACATAATCCATAAAATATTATTTTTAATTTAAACATTTTTAATTCATATCTCTTTTTATACAAGAAGTTATAAAAATAAGATTTTTCTCTTTATATATACACACATTAGGTAAAGAAAATGGAAATATTTAATTAATTAATTCCTGCGCTTCTGCAGGAGAGGACTGAATTTAAAAGCAATTATTATAGTAATTTTTTGTTAAAAAAATGTTTAGGGCATTAATACTGTCTCATGTTAATTGGAATGAAAGTTTAGAGTCGTAAACATCCCAAAGTCTGAGCACATGTATATACATTCACATAAAAGTGAAACGAAAATATATATATATATATCTGCAGGGTTTCAAAATAAATTAAATTTAAATAATTCTCTTGGCGCCATTGCTGCAAGGAATGAAATTTGAATTTAACAAAACATTTTCTATTCGTAAAAATTAAAAGTTGATTAAATTTAAATGAAATTTAATGCAAACAAATAAAGGATTAATTATTGCTGCGAACTAATATACAATATCATTTAAATTCTGAGAGCATATGTAAATCAAGTGCAAGTATCAAAATCCATGAATAATATATAATTCCAAAAATTTATTTATTCTATTATTCAGTTATGCATTTTTATAAGTTTTTTAGGTTTAAATCTATCCTATTATTCATTTATGCATTTTTATAAATTTTTTAGGATTAATAAGCTATCCTATTATTCACTTACGCATTTTTTATAATTTTTTAGGATTAATAATCTATCCTATTATTCACTTTGCATTTTTATAATTTTTTAGGATTAATAATCTATCCCATTATTCACTTATGCATTTTATAAATTTTTTAAGGATTAATAAATTTTTGGAATTATATATTTATTCATGGATTTGATACTTGCACAGCAATAATTAATCATTTCTTCTTTGTTTGCATTAAATTTCATTTAAATTTAATTAACTTTAAATTTTGCTTTTTACGAATAGACAATGTTTGTTAAATTCAAATATATATGTACAGGATATGCTTTAAATTAGTATTATATAATTTTTCAAACTTTTTTGCGGGAAAAATTTAAATAAATAAGAGCATAAATAAAACAATATATTTAATGCATTAATAATATAGAAATAAATTATAAAACACGAATATAGATCAAATTGGAATAAAAAGGTAAGAAAGTTGCAGACATGGTGCAAAAAGCGTATGGGATTCGAACTCATGACTCCAAAAAGTGGACATCGTTACCATCAGCTTTACCACTAAGCTAGGATTACACGCAAGTCGCATGCATATTTTGGGTTATATACATCATCAAGTAAATCAATTCTTAAAACTTAAGTTTTTTGGTCCTATTTCACTTTGCTATTGTCTGAAAAATTCACCAGAGTTTGTTCTTCAGCTTCTAGTACATTTTTTGGAAAAATCATTATCTTTTAAAGTGGCGTTCCGAATGAAGTTAAACGGGCTGCTAAAAATATATTTCATGTGCTTACAAATATATGTTATCCAAAAAGATATATTTATAAAGGGAAATACAAATTTAACATACTCTTCAATGAACTGGAGTATTTAAAAGGCTATCAAATTTAATTTATAATTAACGTTTTTTAGTTTTACCTGTTTCAAAAGAAAAAAATAGCAAATCTTTTAATCATATCTAATTTGCTATAGCAGTTTGATATAGTCAGACATTCATTTTCATTAAAGCTAAATGACTATGCAGAACTAAAAAATGATTATCAGAACAAATTTTGCTATTTCATGGACTTGGAATGATAATTTTTGCCGCTGATTTTCTTGAATGAACAAGTACTGTAGTTGCAGTTATCTTGTTTTTCTTTTCATTTTAAACTAAATTCAGCTGATTGCTGTCATTTTCAGCATGCAGATTTCTCGCTATAATGTTAATTCAGAAATAAGTATTTTTTAGCAAAACATTCTTTCCCTATTAGCGAGCGTTCATCGCTATTTCTGCCGCCATTAATTTTTAGTCACTGCACCTGATTGCTCCTTTTTCACCACGTGACCCCAACGCAACCGCAGACATACGGATAGAAGTTGAACATTGTTGAACTCCATCCGTATGTCATCCGTCACCGCACACCGACCGGATTGCAGATGTCAATCAAAGTGAATTCGCTCGCTGATTGGAGAAACGCATACGCACCGCAACGCATATGCAGTAGTGGAAACGGGCCTTAAGTTTTACATGAATTTTTTGTGTTCTATCTGGTGACCATGGTAAGGGTTAAGAGAAAGGCAATAACTTGCTTTAATATGCAGAGATAATTTTTAAGGATAAGTGGTTAGTTATAAGTAATTAAATTAGCTATTAGATAACCTTAGCCATTATGGATTTACATGGTCACTATTAAATCTTACTTCTTCCTATTATTAAAATCCCAATCTAATAAAATTTCACAGTTTAAAATACATGTAATTTATGACATTGATTCTTAAACGATATTAGATAATTACACATAAGAGATACAAACCATTTATGTTTTGTAACAACAACACTCAACAAAATATTTATGCATTTTTTTAATTTGAAGCCTTCCCAGAGATTTTGGCTAATTTATACAGATTTCCTTCTCTTTGAGCATTTTTTCTAACAATTAGAAATTTGTCTCAGTATGCAAAACAATGTTCTCACTAGTTTCTGTGTGTTTTATCTCCTAACTTGTCAACCTCTCCACAATGTACCTATGAGAGTTTTACTTGAGCTGGTAAAAGTTAAATAGTCCAACCCCCCACCCAAAAAAAAACATTGGTGTGAAGCAAATTATCGCTATGTCTGAAAGTAACTACAAAGTCAGACAGGTTTAAATAAGCTTCTTTCTTAAAAAGATGTTAGAACATAAAGGCATGTTCTTATGCTAACAAAGTCAATCACAGCTCGTAGTGATGTAATTAAACAAGAAGAGTCAAATTCAAACTAAAAAATATGGACTAGTGGTCAAAGACTATACAATTTTAACAATTATTACAATCATCTTAAGCTGGCTCAGTAACTCTCATAACAAATTCAAATGTCGGTGGCAGCAGTTATGCAAAGATGAATAATTACAAATTATAAGAGCTGGCAGGAACTAATGCAAGGAACAACTGGAGGTCAGAAACACACTCTTGTCTTACACTCCAAAAACCTCAGTTTAAAAACTGTCTAAGTGATTTGTATTCTGGTGGGAAATTATTGTAAAGGATGAAATTGTAAACAACTGGGTAATTTACATAATAATAACTGTGCATATCTTTGAAGGAAAATGTTCTTTTCTTTATGTATTCGGTTTCTTTCTTCCACGTTTCCTTTTCATTTTAGAATTTTTGGATTTAATTAAAGATTTCTATTATTCTAAAAAAACTAAATGCATTTAGAATGTATACAAAAAGCTGTTAAATTTATTTCTCGAGTAATGTGAAAATTCAGAAGAAATATGAAATATATATGGTAAGGTCCGGTTACAGAATTTAGTGACACAGAGTAACAAAATCTAGAAATGGCAAAACTTTTAGAATAACAGGCATTGGAAGCAGAGTTTAAAAAGGCTCCAAGCAGCAGAATTTAGGATACACAGAGATTGCATCAGGTGGGAAAATGCCTAGTGCCATGTGCATGATGCATTAAGACATATTAGATGAATCTTTTAAATCATCAGTTTTCAATTTCTTTAATAATAAAAAACTTTTCTATAATGGCTGTCCATATGATAAGATTAGAAGCATTTTTTATATTTTCCATGCTTGTGACTAGTGAAAAGTAGAGAAAATAAAGGGAAGATAAAAATGTTAAGGAAAAAATTCTAGTATCAGAAGTAAAAACATTCATCTATTTATGTTATCATTGTTCTTCCAGACGTTCTCCAAAATGTATGAAATTACGTGTTAATACCACGGAGACATTTTCCATTTTGTCACGTTTTTCTGGAATCTGCTAGAATCATGGGTCTATAAATCTTGCCTTCAAATCTTTCCAAGCTGCAATGTCTAAAATCCTAAAGAAAAATTACCCCTACCAATTCTGTAACAGCAAAAAGCCAGAAATATTTTGAAAAAAATATATTGCAGGAAAAAAGTGTAAAATTAATTTTATAGAGAAAACTGATGCATATTCTGAGAATTCTGAGACAATTACATGGGAAAACTGTTACCATGAAAAAATTAAGAAGACATTTTTAATTAATTACATAGCTATTTTGCTATTGCTAAGAACTGTTTTGTAAATTGCACTGCTATAGCATTATACCTTGCTTATTTTTCAGATTCAAAATATTGTATAAAAAGTGGTCAAAATGGAATTTATAGTATGACAGCGAAAAATAAAAATGCTTTACTTTAATGTTATTTCTTAAATATAATTACAATACTTTACCATTTATTTTAATGATATTTATCAATGTTATAATGTTAAAAAAAAAAGCTGTCGAAAAATTCCCAGATCTTGGAATTAAAAAATTTCTATAGTAACTGATCTTAAAATCGTCAAAATGTTGATAAGTCGCCAAATTTAGAACCTTTTAATAAAATAAAAGAATTTACATCCCCAAAAGCGAAAAGTTGTTTAAGAGCTCGAGCTCTTCATTAGAAAAAATGAAATAATCTCGAAATGCTTATGTCTCATTTCTTGCTCAGAAACTCTATTCCACATTTATATTAGAAATAGGGACAAATTATAACCCATTAACACATTTACCCATTCAAAAGATAACCATATTTGTCAGCAAATCGACAAAAATATTCCTCCAAAATGCTAATTCACACTCAAAATGACAGTCATAAAAACAAAAGTTTCAAATGATTAAAATTAAGGACCTTCTGCTTATTTTGACTGAAATTAAGGACTTTTAAGGACCAAAATCAATTAAAAAAAACTTAAGGACTTTAAGTACTCTTAAGGACCGTACAAACCTTGCATTCATTTTTATTGCTGCAAACCTGGCAGATTCACCACATGAAAATAAAAAATGTAGCACAACACGTTTTTACTGGCTATCTATATTAATCTTCTATGGATACTAAAATGTGTTCGATACTTACGAAAGTTGGTGATGAACTGAATAATATGTTAGTCAAACAATGACAAGTTTCAACAGGTTCAAAATTGTATTGCTTTAGTAAATGCATCATAGTGGAAATTCTCTTAATGCGCACGAACTTATGGACTGACCCTACATTTCAGAACTTTATATGAATGTATAGGAAATGCTATTTAACCTCATTTATTCCCATCATAATTTCACAATCGAAATGATTTGAGCTTTTTAAATGAGATACATTGATAAGCATAAAAAGTCTTATTCAAAACTCACAATTGTATTATAGTATCATTCATATACTATCCTCTTCGAATAAGCACAGAAAAGCTTTTCTTATTTTATTCTTCTAGAGCACTTAAATACTCTAGAAGACTTCTTACAGTACAACTAAAATAATTTTTAGCATAAATATTATTATACTATTTAAATAATTTTAAAAAGTAGAAAATTTAGCATTAATTATTGTAAATATTTTAAATGGGATGAGCTCTGCAATTTAAGTATGTGTATAATGGTAAAAGTCTTTTCACTACCTTATGGTACACAACTATTACTGTAAGAAAATGATATTTTGCACTGGTTGCTATACTTGGATATACTGATTTTAAAAAACAGCTTTTTCAGGGATATAGTAACTTTAAATAAGAGTCATATTTCTCATTATTACTTCATAGAACTGATTTATAAGTAGTGCAACCTGCTCATTAGCTAGGAATTGAGCCCAGATTGAACTACTACTGCTCAGTGGTCTTATTTCACAGATGTAGAAACAACAGAAGCCTATGATTGCAAGGACTGATGTCAGTCATATAACGTGGTGATGATAATTCTATGCAAAGGTGTTTCAGATATGAGGTGATAGTGACCACTAAAAATTCAATGTTAAAGGAAGTTCAATAAAATTTGCTTTAACCTGTTAAAAACAATTTAATCCTTATATGCAGACTAGTTCTTTGCCCTCCCCCCATAGAAAAAGAACTGAGGGATGATTTAAGATTCTAATCAGTAGAAAATGTGAAATTTGATTCGCAGAAACAGAATGATTGGGAGAAAAAAGTACAATTTTTGAAATTATATATTACTAATCACATTATTTAATTAAAAAGTTAAATGATTTTATTTTTTTTTGAGGGGGTAATCCTAACATTTGACAAATTTATTTTGCCCAAGGTATTTTGCAGAAAATTCAGAATACATCATACCCTCTAGAAACTGTTGTATTAATTTCTTCCTGCAATTCATCCCTCTCAGCTTCCACAGCTCGACGTATCCTTTCTGAATTTGCAAGATCTTCTTGTACTTGTATCATATCAGCTTCCATTAACTTTAGTTTCTTTTCAACTTCTTTCAGTTGTAGACTTAATTCTTCTTTTGCTGCATGATCAGCTTCAGCATCCCGCTGATAATCTTTCAGTTGACTCTATTTTAAAATTCAAATAATGCTACATTACAGATATATACATGATTTAATAATATTAATACCAAACATCATTCTGATGCTTATTTCAAAACATAAAAAATTCGATGGGTTTGAAGACAAATAATCCTTTTATACTGCACCAGTTCCCTACCCTAAAATTTCTAAATTATCTTTGCTTGCAGTAAATTTTACTCTGCAATAAGTATTGTTTCTACTGGTGCACATCTGCATTAAACACACATCATTTTTACTACTTACAGATAATAATATTGAAGCATTTGAAAAGCTTCAAGAACAACTAATCAAGAAGTATCACTATATTAATTCCTCAATAAACTCTAGAGAAACTGCATATACATGGAAAATACCATTACAGATTTTGTATATATGTAAATAATTTTAATAAAATTATAAGTGAAATTGTATTTCTTTCAATAATGTAACGTGAAAATCTGAAGAATCGCAGCCTTCCCACAAAAGTAACAATAGAAGGGCAGGGCTATTTAAATAATTGTAATTGGTACTATATGTAGCTATAAATCTGGCCCTCATATGCCTTTCAGTAATTTCGAGAAGTGGAAGCTACTAAAAACCTATTGGCGGATAGGAGAAAATTATATAAGACTGGAGAAAGCATGAGTAGTAGTTATTTATTTCAGTGTTGAGTTCAGAGTATTGAGATATCTCCGTGTGAGCTTCGCTTTTTAGATCTGCTTTGCATTGCGCAGTGTTTAACTTTCTTAGTAGCTTGAAATGTTAACTACTGATTGTACTCATGCAGATACTATGAAGTGCTGCATGAGTATTTCTGTGGAAAGTTTCATAACTTTGAAGTGTTTCTTAGGATAGAATTTCATCAAGCTACTACTGGTTCTGTGTGCATTCAATCTATTATGAACGTGTATGCATGCAACAATTTTTGGTATCAGAAATGAGTTCTCTCTCTGGTTCTCTGATATATTCAACCAAAATCATGGAGAAGCAATTAAGACGGCTGATGGCAGCCTTTGCAGCATTCAAAGAAGATATGAAAGGGGTGAACGAATGACGGAAGAGGCTGTCAACTCTGTTAAAGACGTGATATAAACGGGCCATGAAAAGATGGAAGAGGCAGCCAAGTGTGTTAAAGAAGATAAAGCGGGACAAGAAAGATGAAGGGACAGTCACTTCAGTTCAAAAAAAGACTGAAACAGGTCAACAGAAAATGAAAAGAAAAATTACTGCCGTTATAGAAAACAGATTTGAAGCTATGATTTGAAGGCAGAATGGATAATGTAAACAAAGTTCTAGAAACGGAAAAAAGAGTTTCTTCTGTTAAACAACACATCAAAGACACAATTTCTGCCATCAAACAACAAACCGATTACAGAGTTTCTGTCATCGCCAAAGAAGCCAACACCTTAAAGAAACTCATAGCAACAGCATGAAGCAATTCTGATGATTTAAATTTTTACCCATGTCTTTTAGTCCCTCTCTAAAGCTATCCACATATGCTAGAAAGACCTCCTGGCAAGTATATAAGATTCCTGTGGCAAGTATATAAGATTCAGTTCTCTTTAGTGGTGGATGCAAATGGATAGGATTCCTAAGCTAGGCCTGCCATTGCGGTGCTTCTATGAGAGCAGACACAGTGGATGTCCTTCAAACTCTTTCCGAAAACCAGAGGCTAGACTACGAAATTCTATCCGGCGTGTTGTAGGTTCGATTTGGGGAGAAGTGTTTTAAAGATTATAGGAGCCCTCAATTAAAATCATGTCAACACAAACTCAGGGAAACACTTCAGAAACTTCCACACATGTTAAAAGGCTGTCTCATCTAGCCTTTCCAGAATGGCTGACAAAAACAAAGGAAATCCTGTCTCTGCAATACTTCATAAATGGCATCCGGGATCCTGAACTGTGTGTCCAGACGTTTTAATCAGACAAGTTAATGCCTTGATATGCAAGAGGAGTGACAATGAACTAATCCAGGACGTCTTCCAAATTGTTATCATTGATTATGTCACCAAGTGGCCTAGCAGAGGCAATGATACAGCATTGGATTTCCAGATTCCGAGTACTTCTTCAGTTACATTCCGATCAAGCAAGAAATTTTACCTCAATTGTAATTAAAGAACTCTGCAAGCTACTGGTCATCAACAAAACCCAAGCAACACCTTTATATTCCCAGTCAGATGGCACAGTAAAGAGGTTTGTTCAAACCATCCTCAATAGCCTCCTGCTGGTGGTTTCCAGAAACCAACAGGACTGAGACCAGAAGTTACTTCTGTTCTTATTAACCCATGGCAGTGCTGTCCATGAGACTATGAGCTATTTCTCATACCAAATGCTCTTCGATTGTGACCTTCATCTGCCTTGTGATCTGTTGTTTGGACGTTCTCCAGATGTATCTTCATTGCCTGAACAGTTTGAAGTGATGCACAATTTTGCATGAGAGCAAGTCAACTTGGCAATGGGGAAGATGGCATAAGAGCTAGAGGACATCGATTCATTAAAAAGGTGACAAAATATGATTATGGAATTTGACAAAGAGGACTTTCTCTTAAACTACAGTTACCTTGGGACAGTTGTTACATAGTCCCACGGTTAAATGATGTCATAGTTTGCATCCGAAAGTCATCAAATTCGAAGCCTAAAATTGTTCATTATGACAGGTTATCCCCATACTATGACCATAGTACGTAGTCCCTACAGTGTATATAAATCTGTAAATTCATGCATTTATTTATTGACTTAGTGTTTAATTTGTTACCAATTGACATTATTGTTTTTTTATTGCATTGATTTTTCTTAGTTGTAAGTATGGCTTCCTGTCCATGTACTGCCCAGGACGAGCAGCCCTTGGGAAGGGGGCAATGTTACAAATATTGTACATATGTAAATAATTTTAGTAAAATTATATGTGAAATTGCAATACTTTTTTATGTAATGTAACATGAATATCTAAAGAAGTGACAGAAAAATAATAATACAGGGACAAGTCTATTTAACATTGAGTAAATGGCTATCTTGCTATATATTAGCGAAATATCACCAAGCTGGCAATGTTTTGGCAACTAATTTTGTTGCCAAATTTGGTGAGAAATCGCAAAAAAGTCATGGCAACCATTTGAAGACATTCTGATCATTCCGTATAACTGTAATGGGTTTTGTAATTGAATAATTGTAATAGATGTAACACTGTATCCGGCCTTCATGTTTTCTGGTAATTTCAAGCAGTGAAAGGTACTAGAAATCTCTCAGCGGCCAGGAGAAAACTATATATAAGACATGGACAGCATCAGTTTCTAAGCAGTTAATAGCAACTTTGGAGTATTGAGATATCTGTGAGAGCTTCGCCTTTTAGATACTACTTGCACTGCATTGTGTTTAACGCTCTTGGTAGTTTGAAGTGTAACTATTGTTCATATCACTGATTCACTAACTGCAAGATTATTATACTAGAATTCTCACCCCCCAAAAAAAAAATTATGATTTTCAGCAAAATGGTTGAATAAGATATGAATAAATCAAATTTAAATTTTTAGCTGGTAGTGGTACAGTCAAAAGTCGTTAATTCGGACACCCATAATCCAGAATGATCTATAATCCGGACCTCAAAGCTACAAACTTTCTGCGCGTGCGTCACGCTCACGCATGCGCACAGGCGTTTACGAGAGCGCACAAGACCCTTACAGCTGCGAATATGTTTGTGCGCATGCGCGTTTAATGTGTAACGGAGTTATACGCTAAGCTAAAGTTATCTAATTCAGTTAATGTTGCAGATTGCATTGTTCCTTAATCTTCGAATTGGATGCGGCTTATTATTTTTTGCAGACTGTTAGAGCAATTTTATAAAAGTAAGCTTGAACTTTCGATTATGTCAAATAGAATTTCCGATACATATTTACTACAAAGCGAAAGTATGTTTTGAAATCCGAAATCTGTTTATCAATTTCACACTGCCGCAGAGGGGTTGGAAGTTGATCTGTCAGCACTATCCTTATCTTCAGAGCAGATGTTTTTATTTTATTTGGTTTATAATTCCATACTAAGTGTAGTATTTCATCTCGATATCGCCGAAGTCCCGAGGAGTCCGGATTAACGACTTTTGACTGTATTATTATTATTTTTATGAAACTGAAGGAAAAGTAAAAATCTTGATACGGTTTTAATTTATTAAATTATTCATTTCTTACTTTTGTATAATTAAAAAGAGTTTTTATTTTTTATTTAATTGCCAAGGATGGGGAAAAATTAATTTTCTCTATGAAGTACTGATTTTAAATTAACATCTCAGCTTTTTAAATTTCTTTACTTATTTACATTAACTGCAGTAGGAAAAGGGTACTTATAATGAAGTATTTTCCTATTATTTCATTCTTAACCTATTCTGGATTATATACATATCCTTTAAAGCATGATACAAATAGGAAATTTTTAATATTTTGTTTTGTCACTTGAAAAGAAAAACTGCAGTTAAAACAAAAAATACAAGCATTTTAGAATTATCAAAAATCAAATTGATCTAAGATCATTTCCATGCCTCAGCTCATTTATTTTTTTATTTTACAGAACACATTAATGAAACATGAAACTTCAAAATAATATGGGGGTGATTAAATGAATCACTTTTTGAATCACCCAAATCCATTAATTTTTTACTCAGAAGGTTTCTAATGATATCAACAGATCTTTTATTTCATTTATTTGTAATATGAAATTTTAACTAGTTTTCAAGAAAAAGGTTTTAAAGTTAACAAGCTAAAAAAAAAGTGTCAGTTTTTAAAAAATTGAATCACAGTACACTTGTTACACTGCATTTCATACTTAATAAATTTACACTTTATTCCCAATTCTTAAAAGTAATTTAATAAAATTTTACCACATGGTCATAATTCTTACATCCAGATGCATTTTTAACATATATACTTTTATGAATACACAGAATAAATACATTAAAATATTTTTAAATTTTTAAATTTTCACCCCATCTTTAAATGCTAATAGTAAACATAACTGTAAAATAAAAAGTATAGTTAATGAATTAAAAATAATTAAAAATAAGAAATCACCTGTAATTTTTTAAGTTGCCTTAAAGCATCTTCTTTTACTCTGTTTGCCAATTCTAACTGTTGTTCTATATCTTTTAAATCACCTTCAACTTTTTTCCTAGCACTAATAGCAGCAGTTCTCTGCTTCCTTTCATCTTCTAACTCACTTTCTAATTCTCTAACCTGGGAAGTAGGAATTTTTTTTTTTTAATTAATGCTATTCTGAAATAATTAACTGAAAATTAACAACTCCAACAAATACTGATGCAAAAGATATATATGAACTAATACTTAACAAATTCTTAAAAGACACAGAAAATTTGTCTACGTAAGCTCATGTGCAATGGAAGTCGGTATCTTTTTATCTTAACAAAGGTATTAGAAACCTTATTCAAAAATTCATTGTGTTGCTAGCTAGTTTCATAATAAACATTTATTCTGATGATGAAAAAATGCTGATTAAAGGGGACTAAATAATTTCTCAGACATGAATCTCATAAAAAACATTTGAAGTATTACATACAATATTTTCAGCTACTGGTTATGTTTGTTTATGTGAGTGAACAGAAATTTAAGACTTTATGAGAGACATTTTTATTAAACCAAAATATAGGCCTTTCAACTTCTAACACTAAAAATACAGCAGAGAAAATAGTGAAAAATTAAATATTACCATATTTCTTACTTTAAATAGTTTGATATCACCATTATAATCCTAAATTTTCTACTTTTATAGAACATTTTCAATAATTCTCACCCCTCCCAAGTTCTTTTAATAGAAATTATGTTGTGACTCCAGCTTCCCCTCAAAAACAAAAACAAACCCCTCCCCCCAAAAAAACCTGCTGAAATAGCAGTAATGATGATCTTTTTTAAATCAATTAGCGAAAATACTTTTTTCATACTTCTACAGATTTTAATTACTGGAAAATAAATATAATGTACTGCTTGTACCAGAAAAGAATACTTGGTAATGTTACAGAACATCAGACAACAAACATAAAATAAGCTAGAGAAAAGCTTATGATAAAATATACATTTTCACATATCACAAAAATAATGGATCTTACTTAGTTTCTGGCATGTTTAATATGCAAAAATAATTATAATAGCAATGTTATGATACCCTTTATAACATTTAAATACACTGTTTAGTAATCAATGATCTACTTACCTGCTTCAGCAAAGCTCTTCTTTTTTCTTCTGCTTGCTCATCTTTAGCTTGAAGATCTCTCTCAAACTGGGCCTTCATAGCTTGCATATTTACTTCAAGTCTCAATTTTGCATCTTCTGTCAACTGCATCTCATCCTCCAGTAATTCAAACTGATCCTTCTGATCAGCAAGCTGACTTTCTAGAGCTCTCTTGGCCTTCTCTAATTCGTGAACCTTTCCCAAAATACAAAAAATATTCAAAATTAATAAAAATGCAAAAAATTTATAATGATACAAATGCAGTGCAGGGGGAGGGAAAACTAATAGAGCATATACATGCAGTAATGCCCACATACATTTGCAGACAGAACATATCCAGACTTACTAGTAGTGTATTTACATAAGGTATAATATGAGACGTACATAAATATAATCCAGTTTCAGTTGATAAATAGCGCAGAAAAAACTATAATCAACTTTAAGTAAAATAATAATAAAGTACACTATACATTACATTACTTTAGTAATAAAGTAATGCAGAGTATACTCATCTCCCTTCTAGGTGCATGAAAGTATAGGACTTTGACATTTTAGCACAGCAGGGTTCTAAAATTTTTTACTTGTGGAGCTCACTGACCCATCCTTGTCTTATAAATCGGTATTTATGAATTGTATTATATGAGCAGGTTAGATTAGGTTAGGCCACTGTTTTTTAATCTTTTTGATAATAGGAACCGTTTTAATATCTACTTTTTATCATGGAAACCCTAGTTTGCTTCTATACTATGGTTTTAATGCAACATTCTGTAATTGGGTTACTTGCAATAAAAATGAGAACCTTTTCAAATATTTATTTGCTTCAAAAAGCAGTTTCAAAAGTTCTTAAACTTACGTATTCAAATAGGACTTTAAATTTTAATAAGATGAGTAGTACTGCTTTTTATTATAGATATGCATACTTAATATTAGGCTTTATAGGAGAAAGATGAATTCTCATGGCATGTTCAGCATTAGGTCTGTAGTAGTACTTATTTTTTGTTGACAAATACAGCTCAGACATTTTATGAAAGTGCTATGTTTTGTGCAAGATCTATATCTTATGTAAGTGCCAACATGGCTTCTTGACAATTTAGGATATTCACATTTAAAATTGCACCAGAATTCCACTACCAGCATTCATTTAATTTTTCTTTTTTGCAATGACGAACTAGATGTCATCTAAATAAAAGTTTCGTATTCTTCTTCTGATATAGCTGAAGGTAAATGGGCTTTTAATCCACAAATTCATTTTGATATTTAATATGTTGCTCACTTGAAAAATACTAATTAAAAAAAGTTTCACTCAAATCTTTCAAGTGCTGAATAATTTCTTCAATAAATGCCTTCCCTATTTCAATCATTTCCTCTTCTGAAAAGCCTTTTATGGTTGGAAGTGATCAAAGTCATTAGAACACACATAAAATGTCTAAAATTCTACCTTTATCTTGAAAGCAAGAATTTTTTAATGAGCAGCATTTATTAGTTGCCCACAAGTTAACCCTTTTAATTTTAATCATTTGACTGCTACGCCGCACAAAAGTGCTGCGTTCATTTGTCTCGAAAACCGTGACGCAGTTAGTTATTTTATAATGCACTTGTGTTACAAAGTACGCGCAAGGTCAGACTACGTTCACACCTACCGAGCAACAAAGACACACTGAACCTCGCAGTGCAGAAGCGCTGCATCGCAGTTTTCGAAAGAAATAAACGCAGCTCTTTTGCGCCGCATAACAGTCAAACGGCTAACGATATGTTCATTGGTTTTTGTAAAAATGTTGCTTAAATAGCCAATTTTAAGCAGCCAATCTATCAAATAATCAACCTCTCAACTTGAAACTGTGTTCTTAAAAAAATGCATGTACATTTCCCATGTCCTCACACAGTATTTTGAATGAATGATTATTTAGTAGCCAAGATTTCATGAAGTTAATAACTTTAAAGACCTCATCAAGAGCAATCTTATAACTAGAGGATAATTTTTTTGCAGCAAGTGTCTGCCTATAAATCATGTAATGTTTACCAGGACAAGTTTTTGCAATATTTTATTAAACTGTATAGCACCATAAACTATGCTACTCATGGCCTTTGCTCCATCAGTACACATATCAATGCAGTTAACCCATGGTACCTGTGTGTATAATCACGGAGAAATAAATGTTTGTCTATTATACTGGTTGAATTTCCTTTTAATTTACATTGTGGTCACCCGGAAATCATGCTTCTTATTTCTAATCTTACAGAAGAGTACGTATGAGTGATGTGATGCTATTAATAATCAATGAAGTTTATAAATAGGCAAAAAATTAAAGTAAAAAAGCTTTCAGAATCAGTTTATAAGATGCACATTGACGAGTGATTATTTTCCTGGCTACTCACACGATAGGTTACATTACTTAAGTAATTATTCACATTCAGTTAGAGAAAAACTGGGGTTGCATCATGTGTAGCAATCAATAAAGAAATGAAGCAAGGAATCACCATCAGTGGAATTCTGGGTGATTGCCCAGTGCGGCTGCAGAAGAACACCAAAAACTGTCTCAATGGCACCATCATAGCTCACAATGTCAGACTGTCACATTTGCCTTGATTATTTAGATCAGTAAATGGAAGAGAAGGTTAGTTCTTATTCTATTTTTTTTTTTTTTTTTTTTTTTTTTTTTTCTATTTTTTTTTTTTTTTTTTTTTTTTTTTTTTTTTTTTTTTTTTTTTTTTTTTTTTTTTTTTTTTTAAATTTAGTACAGGCATTGATCATTATTTATATATTTTTGGGTTATTTTATTAAATTTTATGAGGGGGGAACACAAATATTGTGCAGTACCTGAGTGATCTGCGTGGAATCCCATGATTCTGTGAAACACAGTTTTAAAAAACACTGGGTTAGGCTATTCAAATATGTTAAAATAAGTACATGAGAGATCTACTTATTACACTGATAGTAAAAAAGTACAAGGATATTGAGACAACCATCTTACTTCAATGTGCACCAAAAGTGTCTTATAGTAGTTTCCTATATTCTTCACACATTAGTATATAGAATCTGCTTTTAAGATGATGTGATTTTATACAGATTATTTTTACCATCATCTTGATTAATGAACACTTGCTTTTTACGCCCCCAAACTAAAAAAAAAAATTGAGTGCATAGAAAACTTGTAAAAGCATTGCCGCCAAGCATCTAAAGAAGATACAAAATTCAATTTAGTAAATTTTTACCTTCACAGATTGAGAAATCAGGATATCTATCTTGGATTGTATTAGGATTGAAATGGCAATGATAAAATGCAGTACTTGAACTCTACAATGCAAACATTGTTTTAATAGAAAATAGTAATGAAAATAACCTCTTCTTAACACATTTGTGAAAGGGTTCAAAAAGAAGTAAATCAAACTCAGACTTTGGGTGGCTCTGATCCCTCTCATTATATTAATACCCACTAAAAAGGAGCGTAAGCAAGAAAAGCAAGCATCTGAGAGGTGACTCATAACTTGAGAACCAGATTTTACATGGATCATTCTATTTGGTTACATGAATCTGAAGCATGCATGCAGATGCTGATGTTCACCTATACTTTGGAAAGACAGTATTGCAAGAAGTTCAAATAGATGCATTTCATTCCAGATGCTATAATTCCCCCCCTCCTCTCAGCATGTACTTTGAAACCTAAACATCTCCCCATAGCTATCATAAATTGTGTCTGCTGAATGCGGGTAAGGAGACAAAATTAGATACATAATAATAATAAAATCATATGCATATACTCCCTATAATAACAGAAGAAAGCTAAATTAATAAAAGAAAAGAGTTTGTCTGCATGGGTGAGTATCACATATTGAAAGGATTAAAAAAGGCAGAGTTATGAGATTTCCCACACAATTCTCCATGGAAGATCAAAATACATCACAGTTTGATTTTTTCTAAATATGACTTAAATCCCTCCTCCAATTTACATACATTATTTTCAACAAATACCCTTGCTTAATTATTGAACAAGACATCCAGAATTTAATAATTTGCCTCACTGAATGAATCATTAAATAAACTTTCAAATGAGATTCCTTTTGAGCTTCTAATGCAATTTATTGTTTAATATTTCCAAAACTCATTTATTTTTCAATTATTGTATTTCCCATACTATTTAATTTTGATATTAGAAAAGTTATGAAATTTCTGCATATCATAAAAGTAATAATCTACCTTCTTTTAAAACATTAAATGTGCAATTTTCTACACTTTTTTCCCAATACATCAAGTTGTGATTTAACATGTAACTGAAATATCAGTCATTGGTGACCAACACTATACATTCCATTCAGATGATGTCGGTCACCAAAGGCCAACAGTATATTTTTTATTTGGACTGCACCAGTCACCAGCGTTACACAATTTAAAAAACTATCTCTTCTATCAAATGATGCACAGATCTCTTGGCTGCAACCATACTGGTGAAACTGGGTATCATGGTCTAAATAAGAAAGGAAGACAAAGCAGGCATGGTGCTTAAATGTTAAAGCACTGCAGTGCAATCAACTTTCTCTCAGGAATAGATAACATCACAAACTACTTTGTTATTATAATATTATATACAAGTAACTTTCTATTATTTATACATTTATAATTATATAGTATTTTCAGCTTAAAACCTAAAAATACTATATAAATTTTCCAAAATTGGCCCAAGCTTAGAAATATTCCATAAAAGCTAAATCCAAAAAAAGGAGTAAACAAGGTTCTCCAAGGCAGACGAGTAGCAAGACATCAAGCTGCAGACTAAATGACAGAAGATGAGATTCCAAAAAGACAACATACTTGCAGAAAAAATAATTTCTGAAAAACTCTACAAGACAATTTAATGGGTAAAGTTAAAGAGCAATTTTCTATCTCTTTCAGAAAGAAAATAATTTTTAACATGTGAGAGTAATTCTTTGCATTAACATCAGATAATTTTAACACACAAATGCTAGAATAAAAAAATTCAAATTTCAACATTAGAACTTGCTAGCAGTTTAATAGCATGCCAAATACAGAGGTAACTTAAACATGAATATGGCAAAGTAGAATTGAAAACTTTGATTTACATTTGTCCCTTTTTGGCCAGTTATTTTTCAAAAGTAAACATATTTATGCTTAAAACTGAAACAATGCAGGAAAAGTCATTTAAAAAAATGGAAACAATTGAAATCAGAGTCAATGGTTTCCTGTTAATTTTTTCCTCTGTTTCAATTAAAGCTGGGTTTACTACACACAAATCGATTCGTTGATGGGCTATGATAAATAATTAAAGATAACCTATTGTGTCTGTTAGCTCTTGATTCTTAAACTAAGCTGTCTTCAGTTTTTCCAAATCTAGTTACAAGCTCTTTGAAATATCAGTAATGATTTACAATTGGAACAAACTCAGCAGGCAAATAAAGACATTCTTCAGGTTGTAGTTAATTATACATTCTTCACTACAATTTCATAAGTTTATCTGCAACGATCTGAGCAAAAATTCAACTACAGCAAGATACAAAATTGAAACCTAACAATTTAAATTAATACTTTTTTTAATACAGATAGATTTTTACTTAATTAGAATATTTTGCAAACTTCGATTTATTATGAAACAAATTTTTTTCTTCAGTTTAACATTTCTTCATATCTTCTCATTAAACAAAACACATTCAAATTAAAATTTTAAATTAATCTTAAAACTTACATTTTTATCAGCAGTTCCTTGACTACTGACAAGTTCTTCCAGTTCTAATTGCAACTGCTTTCTACTCCTTTCAAGTTCTCCCATTTTATCTTGGCTATCTTTATATGCCCGGGTTAAAGATAGGATTTTAGTCTCTTTTTCTTTAGATTTTCTTTCAGCCTCCTCTCTTTCCTGAGCAATTCTCTTAGATACAGCTTTTTCTATGGCAAGCAACTGGGCAAATTTTCGTTGCTTTTTCTCTAGTTCAGAAACTTTAGTCCTCTGATTTTCAAGTTCCATGTTTAGGTCTTCTACCTATAAATTATTAGAAGTAAAATTGTAAATTGAATATATTTGTAGTGAATATAAACAAGAACTGCATAACTTCATATGAAAATACAGTTGAAATGCTAGTTAACTTATATAAATGTAAAATTATCTCACCTCAGATTGAAGCTTCTTTTTTGATTTGGATAATTTCCCATTAGCAGTCTGAAGTTCTTCTATCTGCCTCTCCAGCATTTCAATATCTTTCGTCTGTTTTTTACAAACTTCTTTAAGGTTGGCAACCTGCTGAGCATCCTCATCTGCTCGTTTCTTTAGTTCTTGCAACTAAAATAATAATGTTAACATTAAGAAATTTAGCAATTAGTAAGGAATTTACATTTCATAATGGCATATTCAATGGCAGATCTCTGAAGTGAGAGATTCATTTCACTTACCGTTTAAGGAACTCATTTTATGATACAATATATGTTTACTACTCTTTAAAAATGAATCGATGAATCGTATTTCTTAGCAGCTTGCATGATACATTTTATGTATTTCTTTGTTAATGCAGGAAATAATCCCTGAGAATTTGCCAAGATTTGAAATGGTGCTATAGATGATTAAATATAATTATTTTTAACACTTCTTGTGATGTCACGTAAGTCCTAACACTTTGAACTAATCTTTTCAGTTTTAATTTCAGGTAAGAAAGCAGTAAGAAACAGCCTAAGGGAAGAATTAAACGATGAGATAAATATACAATCAGCTACATACTTTCAAAAGCTAAAAACAGCTGTACTGAAGATAAATATGTCCCTTTTCCCATTAATCTTTACAAACTATTTTTATCCCTGAATTACATTGCACTGTCTCAGTTTAAGTTTATGCTGCCCCAATAAATAAAATAAATCGCTAAACTACGATCTGGCATTATTATTAACTCAATATACGAGGGCTATCCAGAAAAAGTAGATTACGTTTTGGAATAAAAAAATAAACAAAGTATAGGAAACAAATTTTATTATATACAGATGAAAGCCACACTCAAATACTACTTTTCACATAGTCACCATACAAATTAAGGCATTTATCGTAGCGATGTACGAGCTTGGAAATTCCTTTGTCGAAAAATTCGGCCCGCCTGCGCCTTCAACCACTTCGTTCCCCTCTTCTTGCCTTCCATCTTGCACAAAACTTTGGTAACCAAGCTTTTCGCTGATGATTTCGTGCAAACAAACTTCGCAAAATTTGTGGGAAAACTCAAAGAAAGTTCCGTTATTGTGAAATTTCGATTTTTTCCACGGACTTTAGGCCATCGACTTTTTCGAGAAGTTCGGCGGTCCACTATGCTGGGTCTCCCACTTCGATCTCGTCGTGAACATTGGTTCGGCCATTTTGAAATCTTATGACCCACTGACGCACTCCACCTTCAGTGATAATTTGTTCCCCATACACTTCACGAAGCTGCCGATAGATTTCTATCGGTTTAACAGTTTTTTTGCAGTCAGAAACCTTATTACTGAGCCACCTCGCAGCTCGCGGGATTTCAATTAACGCAGACATTTCAAACCGTCACAGTATCTGAACGGAGCACAGCACGAACCTCTCACTAGCACGGCTAGATGCAGACTGAGCTGCGCAACGCTCTGACCCCAAGATGGCTGCGCTAGCCCCGCCCCTAGCGGACACAGACGGAAACGTAATCTACTTCCTGGATGGCCCTCGTATTTCCTGTGTTTTGAAAAGTCAACACCAAACTATTCTGGACAAACATGAGGCTTCAAGCTCAAATTCATACATCTGCTTTACCAATTACAGAAATAAAGATCATCACTAATCTGTTCCCCAAAAATCTGTGTATAGCATGTATGCATAGTGCAGATTAAAATCTAAGCATAACATTTTTATTCAAGACATGGTAATTTCATAACTAATTTCAAACAATTTGCATTACTTTGTAAATACAATGTGCATTTTCAAGGATTTTAGTAAATTTTATGGGACAATTTCACAATAAATAAACACGATGGCTGCTGATGTAACACATTACAGATTTCATAATACCACTTATGGATAGATCTTTGTTCCATACTATGATACATTACTCAGATTCCTTAAATTTTAATTTCCTTTATTTACTTAGAAATATAAATCTCATATGAAAATAAGGTACTTCTGTTATTGGCATTAGATTGAAAAATGTGTGTATGTATATACAAGGTGTTTATAAATGAATGGTGCAGTTTTAAAAATTAATAATAACCTTACTTGTGTAAAACCTAAACCGTAAGCATTGGCAACTGTCCCCGTTTCTCATGTTCTACCTGTTGTTTGCTTGTCATGCTTAACTGTGTGTTGAGATATTTGTAATCGCATTCTTACTGGTTAACGTATTTGAAACCATATATTGAAAAATTACTTGATAAATTTAAAATGTCTGATTGTAAAACAGCCCAAACTCCCATTGAACTAAAATCTACAGCAGCTGATTTTCAGAAAGGAAATGCATTTCATGGCCCATACAAAGAATTAATTGGATCTTTACTTTACTTAGCATATATCACATGGCCAGATATTATTTTTGCAGTAAATTGCTTGAGCCAACTGCAGGAGCATCCTACTGATGTTGCCTGGTGTGCTCTAAAAAGAATTCTTAGGTACTTGAAAAACACCTTAAATTTAATTGATAACAAAAAGGGTGATTTGGGAAAGGGCAAACTTGTGTTTGTATGTAGATGCAGATTGGGGGGGGGGAGAAGATACTCAAGATAGGAAATTAATTACTGGTTACTTTATAATGTTTTCAAACTGTCCTATTATGTGGTGCTGTACAAGCAAAAGGTATTGCCACTTTCATCAACAGAAGTTGAAATAATTGCTCTATGTAAAGGTATTCAAGATGTTTTATGGATAAAAAATGTAGTAAATGAAATTTTCAGTGTTAAAAATGTTTATATTTTGAGGATAACCAGTCATGTTCAAAAGTAATTGTTAATGAAAACTTTTCGGTAGGTTGAAACATATAGATATAAATTAAAGTTCACTCGTAAGACTGTTGAAGGAAATAATATTAGAATTGAATATGTACAATCAGGTTTACAATTGCAGATATGTTAACTAAGCTTTGTCCAAAACAAAATTCTATGAACTGTTATCATTGAGCTGTTTAAAAATTGTGTAATTCTTTTATGTTTTGTATAATGTGCGATTAAGGGGGATTGTTGAGATATTTGTAATCGCATTCTTACTGGTTAAAAGGAAGTATAGCTTTCTGTCAAGTCCGATACATTCATTAGCTTTCAGCCAGGTCCGAGTTATTCTGAAACTTAATCTCCTTCTGTATGTTACTTTTGATTGGTTATTTATTGTGTCTTGTTTTTGATTTGTTAAACCATGATCTGTTATGAAGTTATATATATGACCTCTGTAACCGCTTATCCCTGCTTGTACTTACTTATCTGTGCTTGTAGCTAGTGTTTGTACGTACTTATTTCTGCTTGCATGTAACTATGTGTATCTCTGCATATCTCGGTAATAAATATTTGCTTTGCGAACCACGGCATTTTCTACGTTTAACACTGTGCAGCCACAGCGTCAGTTTCCAAAATGGTGCACCAATCAGAAATGGCTTTCTGTGTGTACTGTTTTGAGGTGTCCAGATGTGTGGTTTAAACGTAGCATGAGATTCATGCATGTTTTTGCGCGGTGTCCTGAGAGAATGTGCATGTTTTTGCGCGGTGTCCTGAGAGAATATGCATGTTTTTGCGCGGTGTCATGAGAGAATGTGAACAACCCATTTTTCTTCGAACAAGAAACTGTGATCGGCAACTCAAGAGATGTTAGAAACCTGGTTGTTGATCCTTGCTGAACACCAATTACAATGACTGGATTTTGCAAATGGACAGAGCTCTATCCCATTTTCACAAAAATGTTTGAAACCATCTTAAACATGTTTCCCACCAATGCTGGACTGGACGTGCTGCAACAGCAGACAACAACCTTCTCTACTGGCCACCCTGTTTACCGGATTTACCCCCATGTGATTCCTTTTTTGGGCGTTTGTTAAAGACCAGGTTTATAAAGCGCCAATGGCTGTGTCCCTTGAAGAAGTTTGTGGTCAGATAAAGCACGCAATGCAGACTATCACGGCAGACATGCTACACTGCGTAGAGAAAGAATCTGATTACCGTGTACATGTGTGTCATGTAACCAAGCAAGCACACTTGTGATTAATGCATCAAAAACTTGGTCAGTTGCCACTGATTATGCTGTAAGGTTTGCCCATATGAAATAATACATCGATTTAATTATTAATTTTTAAAACCGCTGCATTCATTTATAAACACCCTGTATATGCATGCATGCTATATCCATCCATGCATGCATGTATACATTTCTGAACTCAGTCCCAATAACAGAAGAGTACTGAAAATAATTTTTGTTGAATCCACAAACAAATGAAATAATTTTCTGAAAATTAAAACAATGTTTTTTAATGCAATGATTTAATGCAAACATTTATCATCTAAAAATTTTGTTACTATGTTTGTTTGAATAGTTGCAGCAAAATTACAATTTCTCGCAGATGCCAAAAACAATACTGAGACAATAACGCGATATTTTTAGTGTTTGATCAGCTCTGAGATTACTTCATACCAAGATTTTGATATCAAGTAATATTGATACAATTAAATTGCAGAAAAAAAAATTTCATTTAAGTCACAGTGATTTATTTTCTATATTATACATAACTCAACAAAAATATTTAACGTATATTTCTCAGATTCCTTTGATCTTAACATTTATTTTCTTTATATTGCTTAAGAAATTACTTTTCATTAACGCCACAAAGCAAATGAAATACTTTATTGAAAAGTGAATGATTTTTTTTTTTAATCCAACAGCCTAACATTTACTAATTAAGCGTTTATATGGAATGGTCAATCCCATTTATCTATCCCATGGTCATTTATCCATCTCACCACTCAGATTGTTGCCCAGGGTGCACCAGAGAGGCAACATTATGTACACAACAAGGAGATAACTTCAGTTCAAAGTCCGTAAGATGGACTCTTCGGGACTTCAGCGATTCCGGATTAGGGGTTTTTCCGGATTATAGATCATCAATTTAAATCTGGTAAAATGGCATGCAGAAATTATACAATTAAAAATATGAAACTGTAATTTATGAAATAAAGAGCAATTATGATATAAAGAGTATCAAAATTTACGAAAAAAAGCTTATATTTTTTTTTACTTCATTAAAATTTCTTTCAATGTAAGTTTTTAAGTTTGCTTCGTTTTTTTTGTGCTAATACTTTCTCTTTAATTCTATAACAGACAATTTCTTGTCAGGTTACAAGTTTTCCTGTTCATTTTAGCATAACGAAAAACCCTTTTTCTGTTTTCATTGCAAGTGGGGGTGTTGGAATCCAAAAAAAATTCAAAAAGTTCCTTTTTCTTTTTGCTTATGTCATATACAGTTGGCTTTCCAATGTCATACTCCTCGCATAATTTTGAGACGAATATGCTTTATTTTTTTGCAGCAATTCCACTTTTTTTTGATGACATCGAAACATGCTTTTCGCTTTGTAGATCCTTTGCAGCTCCAAATTGGAAACTCTTTTTGGCTTAATCAAAGTTCAAGCTTTTTTAACATTTTTAAAAATAATAAGCCGGATCCAATTACAAGATTAAGGAACAGCGCAATCTGCAACATTAACTGAAATGCTTTAAAATCAGTAATGATAATTTTATCCAGGCAAAACGGCCGTTATACATTAAACGAGCATGCATAAAGCATACAAAAAAAAAAGTTTGTGGCTTTGAAGTCCGGATTATAGACCATTCCGAATAATGGACGTTCAAATTATGGACTTTGTACTGTACTATAAACTGCATGCTTTTTCAGGAATTTGAATTCAGGCCTGATAATACAGCACCCAGATAATCACTTTAATGATAAGGATGGCAAATTAAATGATAATTAATAAAACAAGTAAATGGTCTTTTAAAAAACCAAAATGTAATCAATGAAAAAATTCTGTATAAAAAAATACTATTCTGCTGCTGAAAACAGTATTTTCTAATTTATGAATGATTCAATGTACACAGATTTCAGCTTAAAGAAGAAGTTGAAAATTTTAAAGATTTAGTAATAAAAAATATCACATTTTACGGTTGAAGTAGACAACTTTTCTTACCTGCACATTAAGGAGGGATACTTGTTTTTCTAAATTCTTCTTAGCTTCTTCTTCCTCATCGAGCTGTTCTTGGAGGTTCTCCTTCTCATTTTCAAGCTGCCTCAAACGAGAATTTAGTGCAAGCTTTTGTCGTGTTTCTTCTTGAAGAAGATCTTGTGCCTCTGCTAACTGACCTTCTAAAACTGCAGCTTGCTTTGTAGCAGCAGTTGCTTTTGTGTCAAGCTCTTCTAATTGAGCTGAAACTGAATCCAATTCAGTCTAAAACACAAAAGAAACATAATTAGTTTAAAAGCATCATTAATAACCACAAACAATTAAAATCATTAATTACGTTTATTTGCGAATTATGTATAGCAATTTTATTTGTGAATTAAGTATAGCAATTTAATTTGTGAATTAAGTATAGCAATAGCTATGCACTTGAACTCATGCTTATGAAATGTTAACAAAAATTTTATTACTTAAAAGGTACAGTTTTGCCTTTTTTTTTTTTTTTTTTTTTTTTTTTTTTTTTTTTTTTTTTTTTTTTTTTTACTGATTTTCATATTTTATTCAAAGTTGTTAACACACAATCCAACCAATTTCTACAATTAAAACATATATTACAAATTAACTGAACAAAAGAGGGCTTTAGATTTAAAATCACCACACTTTCAGTTGTTTGAAAATTCAGTTGTCTTATAGGCATATAATAAATATATTCCCGACAGGTGGATAAAAAAAGTAAAGTTTATGGACTGAATTTAATATAACATGCCACACCTTTAAATTCATTTTAACAATGAGTAAAATATAAATATTTGTTACAAGAAATGGTTTTCAAAATGCATCACAAATTTTATACCAAATCTTGTATCCTTAAATTATTATTATCAGAGCAATAAAATTAAAAATTCTTCACTTCTGTGTTAATGTTATTGCAAAAATCTATTTTTGTCTCAAAGATGACAAGAACAAATACCTGAAGTTTTTGGACTTTTTCAATATTATCGGCTCTGCTTTTTTCAGCATCCGATAATTTTGCTCCCAATTCTTGTAATTGCAATTCTAACTGCTTCCTCTTTCTTTCAGAATCTTGTCTAGCAGCTGACAAAGCATTCACTTCATTTGTTAGCTCTGCCTTTTCTGCTTCCAGATGGGCTTTAGCTTTCTCAAGTGATCCTTTAGCCTGAAAATATTCACATAATTATACACTATTTATTAAATATTAAATCAATTTAAAAAATACATGAAGTTTTAAAATTCAATACTTTAATGGTACATTTACATGAATTATGTCACTACAATTAATTATACATATAATCAACATTCTCTTAGAATGCAAAATAAGGTTTTCCTCTAAAAATAATTGTTTTATATTATTCTATACAACACATATCACATATGTACATTAAATAACGTGAGGAATAAGGGTAAACAAATGCTATCTTCCCCCCCCCTCCCATAAAGAAAAACAAAATCAGGCTATTGGGCTAATTCACTATTATTTGAAGTTTATAAGACAAACACTTATAAATTAGATGCTGAATTTATATTTAGCAGATCATAACAAATTTTAAAATATATGTAATGTAAATCAGGAATAAAAATAATAAAGCAAAAAGAGCTGATCATTTTAAATAACAGTCAAAAACAATCTACATTTTAGCCAGAATTTACCTGTGTAGGTTAAATAATTCATGAATTTTGAGGAGACAAGATAGGCTGAAATCCCCCCTTCTCACAAGAAATGAATTTATAATTGAATAGTTTAAACTGAATAGTTCAACAAAGAGCAAAAAAGGATCTTATCACAAATATTCAAGCAGCCACAAATTTTCCCATAAAATTTTAAGTTAATAATTTATTATAGAATTTTCAAAACTGAATGCACGTTTCAGAAGCTTTTTACAATTAAAAAAAGGGGGGAGCCTCGGAGTTTTTGGCTTTAGAGCTTGATTTGAGTAATTTTTAAGTATGAAGAGTGATTTTATTCAAATCTATTCTGATTTAAAGAAAATAACAGAAAAAAAGTTACTTATTGTTCAACAGAAATTTTAATTTTACTTCTCAGATAAATTTAGTTTTCAAGTGATAAATTTCTATAATAGCATTCATTCTAAATGATGAATTTTAAAGAACCGAAGTTTGACTGCATGACAAAAATTTTCCTAGCAAAATACCTTTATCAGAACAGAAAAGAACTTTTATAGCAATACACACAGTGCTTAGCTATGTGCTAGAGTACAGAAACAAGCTACATAAATATACTGTATTACGCCTCTTATTTAAACAATTTAGGGAAATGAAATTTAGTTGCATAATATCAACCCCATTCATCAAGACAGTTTGTCTATCCAAAATTGTAAAGGATTTCTACAGCCATTCAAAACAATAAAACATGCAAGATTATTAAAATAAGAAACAAAAAATTTTACCTTCTTCACTATATCAAGTTGTTCATTAAGATTTTCTATTGCAAGGTTATGTTTCTGTCTTAAATCAGCAATCTGGGCTTCATGCGATTGAGTTTCCTCTTCAAGCGTCTTTTTTAGCATAGCTAATTCTTGCTCTCTCTTTGTTCTCAAATCTTCCTGTGCATGGGTATTTTCTGCAGAATCGAGAAGTTCATTTCTAAGTGCCTCCAGTTCCTACAAATAGGAAAAAAGTGTTTAAATATTTATATTTCATAATTAGTCACTTTTAGGCTGAGTAAGAATTTTTACTTAAACCTATTGTAATTAGTAAATTAAATTTAATGATTATTCTGTGAAAAACAGCTTACAAACACTTACTTCATTTAAATCTCTCTTCTGTTTCTCCACTTTCGCTCGAGTCTGTCGTTCAGAATCTAAATCTTCTTGAAGCTCAGAAAGCTGACTTTCTATTTCTCGTAAACTTTTCAGAGCTTGTGCTTTTCCTGCAGCTTCTTCATCACACCTGACAAGTAACTACAGTTTAGTTGGGGAAATGTTACAAGATATAAAACTGAAATAATCAAATATTCATGAATGCTCCATTTTCCATTTAGTTTCCCTTAGTTAATACATTTCATTTCCTTGATATTAAAATAATCTTAAAAACTGAAACTAAAGCTCTGAGGTAAGAACAGAGGTGTAATTTCAAAACAAGTGTATCTGTGTGTTATTTATATTTCCAGATAATTAATTATCAAACTATATTTTAAGTTAATGTGCTCCACTTTTTTATTATTATTGTTACCTGCATAAATTTATCCCTTAAACATTATACGCAACTTTATATTATTATCATTTGATTATATGGCAAACAAAATTTATCTTGCATGCAAAATAATAAATCTTACATAAACAAAAGTTTAGGAATTTTTAAATTAAGATTATAAATTCTACAGTTGCACAGTATGCGGAGATATTAATTAAATAATCAAGAAAAAATAAAAATGGGAGGATTAACAGTCTAACGGGAACTACATACATTAAAAACTGATACAAATTTTAAAAATTCAATAAAATAACACAATAAAAACAATATAACAAATTACTAAAATTATTTCTTTTTACCTTTTTCAAGGAGCAGCCAAAGAACTTTCAACAAAGCCACATTTCTGAATTATATTTGGATGATTATAAATTTTTAAAACAATAAAAGAAAATGCCAAATAAAAATTAATTTAATTAAATTCTGTTGAAAGCATAATGTATTTTTTTTAATTACTCATCAGGATATAATCTGCTCTGGCATGACCCTAAAACAATCGACCAGAATCAACCGAGCCTCTGTGTACAACCGGGGATACGGATAGTGCTACCGAGAGGTGGGTAAACCACTATAAAGAAGAACTAGAAAAAGACATGAAAAGCCCTATAAAAATAAAGAATTCTCAAAGTAAGAAATCAGAAAAACCATTGTGTAAATTAAAAGCAGTACACTAAATAAATTGTGACAAAAGAAAAAGCAAAACTCTTATAAAAAAGCTTTGTAAATCAAAAGGTTTTTATTGTAAATCAAAAGTAAATATATTTCAGGTCAAAATTTTTTGTACAAATAATTTTATTTTAGAGAAAATTTACTAAAAGTATCATAAGTAAGATTTTAATAATAATTTACCCAGAAAAATTTCCCAACTAAGGAAAAAACAAAAATAAATAAATAAACGGCTTATACCTTAAAATGGGGAAAAATTAAAACAAGCACTATGCCTAAAACAGACAAAAATTAAAATCGAAACTTTAACAGATAATTTTAATTAAATTAATCTTTGGTATTTCCTTTTGATTTATTTCAAGAATTTATAACCATCCAGATATAATTCAGAAACATGGTTGGTTCCACTGGGAAATTCCTCAGCTGCTCCTTGAAAAAGACAAACAATTTTCAATGATTTGTTATATTATTTTTATTATCTTATTTTATTGAAGTGTTTTGTATTTGCTTCAATTTTGATGTATGTACTTCCAGTTAGATTGTTAACCCCCTTTGTTGATTATTTCTCTCCCCCTTGATTATATACACAGTTGAACTCGCTTATAACAAGTGCAAATGGACAGTGATATTTGCTCATTATAGCCCAATGCTTGCAAAAAAAGTGTCCGTGGGGGAAAAACATAAAAATTCATACATACTCACTATATTCTATATACTTACTTTATTTATTTTTGTATTTCTATACAGTACAAAAGAATATGGTTAATTTGCTTTGCTATATTACTTTTATTTTTCTTGCGTTATTGTTCTTCAGAGGAGACTCATGGCCCGAAAAACATCGTCATTTGCACTCCTGGCTTCGAAAAAAATCTGGAGCTTTTCTGCACACTCAAAAGCCATCGAGTATGCTGGGGACAGTTTGGCCTTAAATTCTTCAAATTTATCATTATCATCGTGACTTTCATTATTTTTTCATCTGCTTCAGCTTGAATTTCAGCTATAACATCCTGGGGAGTAACCGTTTTGGAATAACTGATAGCATTGGTGTTCAACAGATACAAAATTTTCAAATTCTTCTCTACTCATTTCCAATTTTTTTAAGTTGGACTTCTTCCTCAGTGATTTGCTCCACTTCAGAAATGTCCAATCCAGCCTTATGGAAGTGAATTGGTAATGCATGTTAATGTAACGTTTTTTCATGCATTGTTCATTAAATGTATTCTTTGAGTACATTTACATTAGCATTTGAAGCTGTCCCTATTTTTTCTCTTCCACCAGGAAGCATCAAAGTGCTTGCGAAAGTTTAATTTAAAACTTCTTATCACACCTTGGTCCATAGGCTGGATAACACTTTTAGAATTCAGTGGTAAAAGTTTGTTTTAAGTCTAGTGGTTTTGGGATGCACTTTACAATTATCAACTAAAAGGAGAATTTTACATTTCTCTTTCCTCAGTTGCCTCTACCATTTTGAAAATAATTCTGTGAAAATGTCCAGTGTCATCTAGGCTTTCTTGCTGTTATCATAGAGGAAACTTTTACATGCTTAAAAACACCTTAGTGAAGAAGGTTTTTAGAACCAAGAGTTTCTTCAAGATATCCATTTCACTGGCATTATAAATGTCATCTTCTATGTATCCTTCTCTGATGACTTGCCACTTTTTACTCATCCATGTCATGACATCTGTGATGTTTGCAATCTGCTTTATCACAAATTTTTCCAAAGGTTATCTCATGTTTACCCTTGAATCAATCAAACCACGCATTTCAACATGCAAATGCAGAACAGTCAAACTGTTCAGCAAATTTTTCTGCTTAAAAAATTGGATCACTCACAGAAAAATCTGCACTACGTTGCACCTTCATCCAAATCTTCTTTAGCACATTTCTTCAAATGTTTACAGTAATTCTTATTTTGATCGAATGCAGTTATTAATTTTTCCTTGTTCTTTAATGCATTGAAACAGTACAAGATAAATGATATTTTAGGAGATTTTGGAATTTTTTATGTCCTCCTCCTGTAAAATCCTTACTTTTCCATCAACAGGAAAAATTTTATCTTTCAACACTGCAAGATAAAATTTGATGAGTGCTTCTTATGAATGCAGATCACAGAATGACCTCCCTACCAATTCTACGCAGAGTAAACTAGTAAACTAATGTGAAATCAACAACCTCTGTCGTCTCCTCAAGGTCATAGTGAGAAGTCCTCACACGTACACTCCACAAGATGAAAACGGCCACCATCAAGTGTTCGCACGATTATGACTCATTACTAACTTTTGGCTGACTTCAAAATGTTAAGGGAATTTTTCCAAGAAAGAATTAGCTGAGCTGAAAAAGTGAAAGTTAATAGAAATTTTATGAATAAAAAAAAATATTGCTTGCAATAACTGGGGTTTGCTCGTTAAAAGTGAGTTATGCTCCCAAGACTTAACATTATACCCAACCAGTATTTCCTATTTCCTCATTAAATCAGAGTTCTCGTTAAAACATGGTTTGTTATACATGAGTTGTACTGTATATATAGAAGAATACATATAAATATTTATTTAAATTGCTTTCTAGCTTGTTTTACAAATTAAACACAAAATGTATAAAAAGTGTTGGTATATGCCAAAACATGAATAAAAGTAATTTTGTATATTCATAAACTAAAACTAAATGCCTAACACCTGAATAAAAGGTTGAGTGCATCCCCACTCCTCGAAACTGTAAAATTCCTCCTTGGAGAAAATATATATAAAATCCCATAATATATATGTGTGTGCATGTAAACTATGAAAAATACGATGGATTTTCTCTGTGCGAACACGCAACCTATAATTAAGTTTCTGCAATTTCAGGATCTTCCCCTAGACCAGTACTTTCAAGAACATTCTGGCATGTGATATAACAGCTAGTATAAATACAGAGTTCGTGCCACTTTTCGTCAGACTGCTTTCTTCTACTGCTGCTACCAGATCTTTGCTGCTGCTTTTCCCATCTATCTTCCCTTTGTTAGAACAGTTATGACGTAGAAGGTTTAAATTTAATCTTACTTAGTTTAAATCACTATTGATTATGTAATTCGGAGAATTTCATCTAAAGGAAATATGACCTGTGATGAGAATTGAATAAAGATGCGAAACCTTAAAAGCTAGAGCCTTCTTTGTCGTCATTTTGCCGCCTCCTACTCATTTGTCATTCCTGTGCTTACCTACCAAAATATTATACAGTACAAAGTCCATAATCCGGACTCATCGGGACTTTGGCGATTCCGGATTAGGGGCTTTTCCGAATTATAGATCATTCAATTTAAATCTGGTAAGATGGCATGCAGAAATTATATAATTAAAAATATGATACCGTAGTTTATGAAATAAAGAGCAATTATGATCTACAGGATACCAAATTTTACAAAAATAAGCTTAATATTTATTTGTTTACTTTATTAAACATTTTTCTCAACACACGCATGCGTAAAGCATACAATACACATAGTCGAAATTAGAAAATTGCAACCAGAAAACTATTTGATGTGTATTCAGGAAATTGATTTAAATCATATCAAAGACAGAGTATATGGAGATGAAATACATTTAGTAAAGAATTATAAGCCAAATAAAATAAAAACATCTGCCCTGAAGATGACGATAGTGCTGACAGATCAACTTCCAGTTCATTGCACCGCATGGCTCACACCCCCCCTTCGCAGAGCAGCAGTGTGAAATGGATAAACTGATTTTGGAATGGTTAGAAAAACAAATCATTAAGCCAAGCTGTTCTGATTACGCAAGTAATATCCTGCTAAATAGAAAAAAAAGTGGTTCATTTATACTATGTTTGGACTTAAATGACACTTAAAACATGGTGAATCCCTTTCCAAATGTTTAATTGCCCCCATGCTCGCGTTTCTGTTGATGGTTCAGTTGATCCTTGATTATGTAATCAGTGGGATACCGGATCATAGTAGTAACAAAATTATTTTGTATGGTATAAAACTATTTCTGAATTCAAAGACAAATTAAAAATTTATGAGAAAATTCGCGTCCAGACACGAAGAATAAGGGTTATTCAAGTACTAACACACAAAATAAAGCATGCGCTATACCTAATAAGAGTAAAGAACTAAGGTGTTATGACTGTGGAAGTATAGCGCACGTAAATGTATGCGCATTCTTTAAACGCATACAAAAAAAAAAAGTTTTGCTGCCTTGAGGTCCGGATTATAGATCATTCTGGATAATGGACATCTGGATTATGGGCTTTGTATTGTACATATATGTGTGTGTGTGTGTGTGTGTGTACACCTATATAGGATTTTCTTAAATGAAAATGTAATTGTTTCTTACTTACAGATGGGGACAGGAATTGAACAGAAAATTAAACTAAGGCAATTTATGTAAAATAATTTTCATTAATTTATATTTTAATATAAAAATATTAAAACCTCAAGAGTGACTGATTTAATTCTTCCTCCTTTCTTGCTAACTGTTGATGCAATTCTTCTACTTCAATTTTCTTTTCATTTAATTGTTCTTTCACATCATTTAGTTCAGTTTCAATACGCCTTTTAACCCTTTCCAATTCTTGCCGTGCCTAGAATTATATGTACCAATATATTAATTCAAATATTTAGAATAATATACAGCAGAAAAATATCCATGAAGTTCAGGTAAATTTCAAATCTCACGTTTAGAAGATATATAAGAAAAAATCATGAAAAAAATCAACAAAACATATGGCAAATTATCAAACTTTATCAACACTGAAATTTTAATAATAATCTGAGATACTGATAAATACTAGAATAGATTACTAATCAAAAATCACAAAGCATTTAGATACTTGTGACAGAAATGGTCATAAGTAGAGTGAACTTTTACATTGCATTTTACTGTAGTCATAAAGTTTTAAAAAGTACATATATGATTTTTAGCTATACTGTATAATATCATGATAAAAAAATCTACAGCCTCCTTCAAACCCTTCCAAAATAATAATAATAAAGTCTGAAATGTTTCAGATTTTAAAGTACGTCCAAAAGGGCATTTTTTTAACATTTTGTGCGATACATTTATTTATTAAATATCATGTTCTTCGCATTTGAACCATAAAATTCAACAGCAACAACATTGCAAAATAGTTTTAAAATCTTTAGAATTTTCAACACAGAGACTCACGTGCTGGAGATAAAAATGTTTTTTTCTGTACAACGTTGCTATTGCTCGCTTTGAAATCCTTTGAGTTTGTTAATCAAAAATTCATTAAAGTTTTACAAAATAGGAAATCGTTAATACAAAATTTGGTCTTCCACATGCCCATATTCGCAGGAGGATTATGCCATTCAAAATTTGATGGCTCTATGTACCATTGTTTTGTCAAATTGCGAAAAATATACATACATTTATGCAGATTTTTCATTATTTAATATCTTTACAACACAAGGCAATAATACTTTGTGGCAACAGTTTGAAAATTGAATCGCCGTTTGTAATGAATCCACACAAAATTGCAAAATGAAAACAATAGTCCTTCAGGGACTAAGCCCCTTTGGACAAAAAAAAAAAAAGAAAGAAAAGAAAGAAAGAAAGAAAGAAAGAAAGAGAGCTATTGAGTTTTTAAAAGCTTATAGAAACTATACCTAACCAAATCTTGGTGACTAATTTCTTTGAAACAGATTTTTAAAATAACTAAATTTATTTGTATCTTATAAATGTAAATAATTACTAAATTTATTTGTATCTCCTTTTCAAGTTCATTTTATTATTTTGAGATTAATATATATTTTTTCAAACTCAAATTAAAATTATTTATACGTCTCAGGTAAAAAAAATAAGCCACTCATTACTGCACATATTTATTTTTTACTTAAAATATGCTTTTCATAATAATATTTCAATATAAAAGATCTGATTTTTAACAAAGCTTGTTTTCTCTTTTTAACAGCTTAACCAAATTTAATTTTTCTAGATAATGACTGATACTGAATATCCATTCTAAAAAAATAGTTTACTACATAACAATATTAAACATTAATCTTCAATTCACAACTGGTATTTAATTGTTGTTGATTCCAATGAAAACTAAGGTTTTACTGTTAGTAGTACAGTAATGTAAGTGAAAATGCTTTACTTAATTTTGCTTCTTATAATAGTGATTACTTAAGAGGGGGGGAATAATTGTTCTTAGAGAGCAAACATTATTAACACATTGCCTGTCATAACTCTGATGAAATTTTAATTTACTAACATAAACACATATTATAAAAAAGCATATCTGTAATAAACTCTTGGGATGTACACTTGTTATATGACATGAAACATTACCACTTGTTTTTATCAATTTAAATTTTTGCCAATAAATCACACGATATAATATTCTGTATCTGAATAGTATAGAAAGATATAGTATTTATTGAGATATCACAAAAGAAGTGAAAGCTGTATGTATGCATGTATGTTGCTTACATTGCAGAAAAACAACAACACCTACAGCCACTGAATTCTAAGAACACATAGTCCTTCACCTTAATATGCGCCCACCAAAGCCCAAATTTTGAATTTTCATTTATTTATTTCATATTTTGAATGAATTTATGAGTTTGGTTCTAAGTAACAAACTAAGTGATTTTACATAATATAGTTTTTCAGAACTGCACTCTTTAATCTGACTGAAAATGCATTTAAAATCATGAGATGGCTGAATAGAAATATTAAATTTTTTATGAAATTACACTAGATGAACTCATTAAAATCATTATCTACTTCTTCTTTTTCTTATATAATTGCTAATGTAGGCAGCTAGCCATGCAAGCAACTAGTAATGTGCATATAAAATGCAGAATTAGAAAAGTGCTATACAATATGATAACTAAGATTGCTTGATTCTACATTTTGTTAAATGTTTCAAAATTCTGAAGAATAAAAACAACTTCTAAATTATTCCACATATCATCAAAAACATGAAGCATCAGACTGTTAAAATCACAATATTGTAAAATTAACAGGGTTTCCACTGAAATTTAAAGGAATCGGACCAAATGAAATGAAGTTTTAAGATTGCATGAGTTATCAAATAATTTTATATATTTATTACAGAATACAATGCACTAAGAACATTTTTATAAAGATTTAGCTTACTCATTACTGGGAAGCAAATGAAAAAAATAGATATAAGTAATATATAATTAAAACATTAAATATTGGCAGGGTTTTTAAAAGAACTATCCAATTCTGGAAAAAATATTTATTCTCAAAAAAGAACTTGTAGCAATACACCATCTCTATTATTAAAGAATGGAAAATCTGTAGCTCACATGTAATTCTCCACTCAAACATTTGCATCTTGCAGCCAGAATTTTGAGTTTGTTCATTCATTTATAGTCTTGCACAAACTTGATGAAATTTTGATGAAAAAACTCAGTAATTTATAAAGAAAATGTTGTTACTACACAAAGTGTAAGATAGTCATACTTCAAATTTCATCAATAAACTTAACAATGATGTTTGAAAAAAAGTGTTGCCATTCAACAAAGCACAAGTTATTTAATTTTTCTTCCCTATTTAATCTGCCTGCTATTAGTTAAACCAAGTGATTAAAACGCAATAAATGCAGTTTTGCAACTTTGTTGTTACTAATTACTAGCTGGACTAGAAAAATTACAACAGCTGCACTCATTAAACCATTATGCATTCCCCCCCTTTTATTATAACCTCCAGGTGGCTGTCCAAGAGACTAGCTCGTTAATTTTAAAATCTGGAGTTTCAAAACAAATGCAGCCTAAAATTAACACTCCACTGAAAAAGGTATTTCATTAATATAGTTATTTATTGCACTATTTGCCTTTCAGGAAAAATTTAACTTCTTAAACAGACGGATTAAAAAATAGTTACATTTTTAAAGAGAAACATGAAAAATAGTTCGTGAACAAGGGAAGAAAAGAATTATAAATTTCAAAAATTACATCAGATAAGAGATCTATAAAATATTTTCTTCAATAAAATAAAGATGCAATGCAATAAAATAAGGTACTTCTTCATTTGTCTCTTTTCAGAGAGGCAATTTTTATTTAATGTACAAGGTGGCCTAAAAGTCCGTTAACATTTGAAAATTCAATAATTCACAAGATAATTTAGGTAGAGAAGTAAAAATTGACATACATCCTTGAAATGACATGGGGTTTTATTGAAAGAAAAAGGAAAAAAAAAAGGGGGGAATGCCAACATGTGGTGCTAGACTTTTCAGGATTTCCCAAGTGAATGCAAATCCTGTTAAGCTGAATGAATGAATTGTTAAAAAAAAAAAAAAAAATGGGGATACATAAAAACATTTTGCACAACAATAGTAAGAAATTACTATGTCAATACATTTAAAATTCCCGAGAAAAAAATGCAAAATTCAATGAGTCAAACAAATAATTAAATATCAATAGGCAAATTTAAAATACTTCCAAAACTACTTCTAAGATAAATCTAAAATATACTTCTTAAAATACTTTTCTGAAACTTTAAATAAATACACATACTTGCTGCTCTTTGCGATGCCTTTCTTCAAGATCTACAATAGTAGCTTCTTGTTTGGCTTTTAGTTTACTCAAATGCTTTGATTTTTCCTCCTCTTCTGCCAAAGCTTGAGAAACTTCTCCTAATCTTTCCTCCAGTGTCTTTTTCTCTTTTATGACCTTTTGATTACTGTCCTCCAAAACCGCATAATCTTCTTCAATTTTCTTAATTTTAGAATCTAAATTTACTTTTTCTAACTGCAGTTTTTGACGAGCAGCTTCTTCTTCTTCCAACCTAGCATAGGTGAGGGGGAAAGAATTTTAAAATACAGATCATTAGAATTAATAATTTTGTTCATGCAGTACTACTGAAACAAAATGCTTCTGTTTCATTCAAGAAAAGTATTTTAAAGATGATATAAACCGGAACATTCAATGAAACAATACCTATCATGTTATTAAAAAAAAAAAAAAAAACTGGTCAACTTCAACTAGTATTAGCTTACATAGCATGTGCTACTTCTGGGATATTCTGGGACATATTTCTAAATATTATATTTAGAAATATATCCCAGAATAATAAACACAAGATCTTTCGAGACAATGCCTATTTGAATACAATTTTTAATAACATATTTATATTTTAAGATGATAAAAAAGTTAAAAAGAAAATTTATAAACATTTGTGCAAAGCAACAAATTTTTCGAAGTAATTATCTGGTGACAATGACTATCTTCAGGTTCTGATGGTGATCCTCAGTCAGTCTGCTTCTACATGATACCTGCATTGCCTTCCATAAAGGAAAAGCTATATTCGTGTATGCAAAAATGGATATATTTTTTTCTGCTGAAGTCAAAAAATGATAATGTTGCAGTGCTTTCATTACGGAAAATAATCATATTTTCAGTTTATTCTGAACAGCCTTACTCAACGAGTGAGCTTTTTTCCTCTCTCCATCAAATACAGTGCTTTATAATGCAAAATCTATATTCAGATATATATATTTCCATCCAAACATAGATGGCCATGGGTCTCCAGTTGGTCACCTCTGTTATACAGTATAAATCTAATTCACAAAATTATCAGAACATTAAGTAATTTTTTTATGAAAATAACCAATAAAAAACATAAAAAGCAATATGTTTTAATGAATTTATATCTAAAAAAATTGCACATTTCTTACATTTCATAGTCAGATATATCTTCATAATGGATATGATATATCAATAATCTTCTGTTAATGCATTAGAAATAATAAAATACTGAATAATAAGCTTACTGTTCTTCTAAATCTTGAATGTTCAACTGTAATTTTTTCTTTTCGGCAGTCAGGTTTTGATTTCTTTCTTCCTCCTCTTCAATTCTTGCCTCCAAATCATGCAGAATTTCTTCTAATTCTTGTTTACGTGCAGCTAGCCTTAGTCGCATTTCTTCAGCTTCGGCACATAGTTCAGTTTCAGCCTGAAGTTGCTCAGCCAAAGTATTTTTTTCTTCAACAACCTAAGAGTAACAATAATAAATATCAATAAAAAAAATTATCTCCTTGTAAATTCCCAGATTTGATATGTGAATTTTAAAAAAAAAAAAAAAAAAAAAAAAAAAAAAACCCTTTTTTTTTTTTAATCTGCACAATGATAACAAAACAAAATGTTTAACAATATAATCAACTTGAAGATATGTAACAGTGGTTCTCAAAGCAATGGTAAAAAAAAAGTTCAGAACTCTTTTCCTTACTGCATAAAATTATATAAATTTACATGCAATATTGTATTGGAATAACTCATAATTATCTATTAAATGTTGATCTTTGCTTATTATTAGTTTTTTATTACACATTTTCTTCTGAAAATCTTCCCCTTCCCAGAGTAACTGAACATATGTGGATTGGGACATGGCTAGTACAAAAGATGGTATTAGCCAGCAAAATTTTTAGAATTTAGTGAAGTAACAAGCATCAAAATTTAGAAGTGGTAAAATTTTTTGAATTCAGGAGAGGCATTACGCAGCAAACATTTTTGGATTCAGTAAGGTGCAAGACAGCAGAATGTAAGATCTACAGAGACTGACTGCACTGAGAAGCAAAACTGCCTAGTGCCAGTCGCTGGAATGCGATGAACTACAATTACATGTACACGCAGCACACACTACAGTAAATCAGAACTAGATGCATATGGATCACAAAAAGTTTAAAAGTTCAGGAAACCTATATAACAAATATTTTCACTCCCTGTGACAACACCTCAAAAGTTATTTAGTGGAACTTATATATATTCAAAATATGCCATGAATTTCGGTCTTGACGAGTCTTCGACCTGAAGGTCTTTACTCCTCAATTATTTCCCCTACTGGGGCAGTCTTAGTACGCGTAAAAATTTTCCTTAAAGTAGGAGCTTATTAACTTCCTGATGAAGAGAGGGAAGGCGAGCGTGTCGCCATCTATTGACGATGGTATTAAATAGTGTCTTGGAGCTTAGTGAGCAGGACATCTATAATAAAGGTTTCAGCAAATTATTTGTTCAAAATATAAAATTACAGTGAACGTTTATGTAATTTAAAATTAGTTTGAAAAAATTGAAATAAAATGTATAAAAGCACAGATTTTACACAAATTAAATACCTTTTGCAATTTCTTTTCCAGGTCAACTGCTTCCTGCTCCACTTTCTCCATTTTTTCTTTCACTTGCCGCAGTTCATCTTCTTTTTCAATTAACTTTTCTTCTTGTTTAGTAACTTGCAATAATGGTTTTACCTAAGCGATCATCAGTATTCAGATTTCATGAAAACATTTACAAAAGTAATTCATATAATACAAGCTATGAATAATACAATTAACATCTGAAATTTAATAAATTTACTAAAAATACACAAAACATTACCTCTTCTCCATAAACAAAAAAATTATTTACGCATCATTACAATTATTATTTATTTTAAGAACTATTATCAAATTAAATAGTTAACTTTCTTAGATTTAAATTTAGGTTTAGATATCAAATTATTAATTTGAAGGAATGAAAAAAAAATTATTCTCAATGTGTAAATGATCACTATCAGTCTAAATGATAATATTCTTTAGATACAAAATCCAAATAACACAATATAAAAGCACAACAAATAAAATACCTTAGTATATAATCTCCACCATGGCCAGTTACGCAGTTTCAAATAAGCAGAACAATTTCTCTGAATAATACGAATAGCACTAAGTTGCTGTAACCTTTTTTGATAATTTCTGTATGGAAAATTTTAAATATTTATAAACAATTAAGTATTTTTATAATGTTACATCATTTACTTGGTAATATTCACTTTTCTTTATATATATATATATATATATATATAAAAACCACTAACCTGCGTGCAATCAAACCTCGGCAGCATGCCTGGAACTGCACGATCAATTCAGATATTTTCATGTCTCTCTCTTCCTCCAAATGTGCTAAAACACCAGCACGGAAGAAAATTTTGCTTTGGCCAATTCGATACAGGTTGGGATCCAGATCCAAAGCATTAATCTAATAAAAAAAAATTACCATTCTTTCATAAGTAAAAAAAAAAAAATACCTTTTATTATTAAAATTACCTTATTCTTTTACAAGTTAATTAAATAAATATTGTTGTGTATACAAAGCACCTATATTTATTTTTAGAGTAAACACATAACTACAATTTGCATTAGCATGATATTTAAATACATGTCTTTAATTATATGACTGAGACTGCAAGAATTCATTTACATACCATTTTTTCACAAGCTAATTTTCCATCCATAAATCCTTTAGGAATAACATTAGGTGTCAATAATTCATACCTGTAAGTAATATGAATACATTTGAAAAAAACAACAACAGTGATTCAAGATTTAAACAAAATTGATCTGCTTCACAAAATACTGAAATTATATTCATGCCCCTCTTTTTACAAAATAAATACTTTAGCATCTTTTATACAAAAAATTAGCTCATAAAGTTATCAATATATATAACTGATCAGGCAGTTTAAATTGGCAATACCTTCCACACGTGTTTAATTTTTATAGTATTTCACTTGTATAAAAATTGGCACACTTTTTTTTTTAATGATCCTTCAAGTTAATTTATAGGTCATTAAAAATACTCAAATTTCAAAGATTTTAGTGAATTTGAAGTAAAGTACAGCTGATTACCTTTTCATTTAGTATAACACTTTGCTACATCTAAATTATAAAAACAGCTTGAATCTACACTACAATCCATACAAGGCAGAAAGGTTTACTTTCCTCTTTTATTATGTAGTTTCTTTACTAGTAACTATTATTATCCTCATGCATCATCACTTAACACCACTGATCTAAAACTGGCAGCCTGCAGGCCGCATACAACCCCCAAAGCAATTTTATGTGGCAAATGAAGACATTTCAAAGCCCCCAAAAGCAATTTTATGTGGCAAAAGAAGACATTTATATCATGTATTCGTTGCAAAGACTTCAAGATCTTAGTTATTTGAAGTTCGAGTTTACATTATTTTCATTACCATTAAAAACGAACTTGAATAACGCATCAGAAATTCTACAAATCGATAATTAATTTGCAGTGTGATATAAATCTTATTCAAAATTAACTTTAATTGCTTCTACTGGAGGGAGAAAAAGACTCAATTATGAATTTTTGCTTAAAAGCACTTTCTTTGTCTGGGAATACATTTATAAGCAAACAGTTATTCCTCCCCCCAATTCAAACTTAAAAAGAAAAGAATATGATTGACAATTTATGATGAAAATTATTTCTAGCAACTTCGATCCAAAGTTATTAACTTTGTATGATTTGAAACACTATGAAGTATCCAGCTATGGCAAAAAAATAAAAAAGATTAGAATAGAAATATATGTATTTTTATTTATTCGTAAAAGAAAAATTTCATTATTTATTCTTTTGTCTCACTTGGACAATTTTCTCTGAAAACTTAGAATTTAGAAAGAATTCAGCTAGTACAACTGAAATTTAGAAAGTGTTCATAATTTGTTTATTTTTAATTTAAATTAAAGTGAGTTATTTAATACTTTATTAAACACCACAGAATTATTTGGAAGAAATGTCAGTCTAAGTATTCAATATTTAGCTGTCAATATATTATTTGGATTACAAAGTGTAACTGACAAAAATGTCTTGCAGATACCAAACTTTAGATTTCAGATAAGGAATAAAAATTTTGAATTTTCTTCTTATGCAATATTATTATTATTGTTTATGTGCATTTTATAAGCATTTAGTAAGCTTAACAAATCATTAAAATTTGTTTAAAATATTTTTATCTTGTCAATAGTTTTTTTCATTTTGTTACAATGTCAGCATCTTAATCTTATAAGCTATCAAAATCTGCCTTTTAAAATCAAAATGAGTTCGCATTTAGCACCTGTTTTTCAGGCACTCTCTATTTTTTCATTGATTACCTGTTATCCTTCACAGACTCAGCAATCAAAAACATTGGTAAGTAAGATTTTTAAGAAAGAAAGCATAAAAACAGCAGCTGACAAAATTGCAATGAAAGAGATCAGCAATTCTAAGGTACACTTAAGAAATATGATAACAATAAAATGCCTGGACAATGGTCTAAAAGTTTACATTTTATCATTTTCAGCAATCCTAATAATTTTAACTTACACTAAATAAAAAGTTAGGATAAGTAATTTTTAAATTAAATGGGCCATTTTTTGTAGAGCTTCAATTTAAGATTTATTGGATTATGGCAAAGCATATTAAGGTTATATGTCTAAGGCAAAGTATGTTCTTGTGCAGGAGATTTTAAAGGAACTTGGTTTACATTCATATTACATATGGGAAAAGCCATGAAAAAAACCTATACAGCCAACAGTAGAAGTCTAATAGTCAGGAACAGAATCTAAGCTGAACTACTAATGTTCAACAGCCTTATGTATCCAGCCACTTTGAGTTTCAAAAATTAACAAGTAAAGAAAAACACAACAAAAAAAACAAAAAAAATCCATATGTGTAGGTAAATGATTACAAATTGCAAGCATGCACCAGTTTACATAAAAGAATTGTTCGTTTTAAATATAGAAGCATACCTCTGTCTAAATTCTTGGAACAGTATGCGATTTGGAAAACCTTGTCGACATATACGGATGCCTTCCAAAACACCATTACACCTTAATTGATCTAAAACTAATGGTGCGTCTATTTTTCCAGCCTAGAATTTCAGAGATAATAATACAAATTACATAAAAAAATTATATTCATGTAAACAAAAGTATTTTACATGATGCTTTAAATCCAATATAACACAAATACATATTTAGAAAACCTGTATAAATATTACCTTCTTCTCATGGTTAGGAATAATACATCGCACAAAATTAGGATTTGTATTGCGAAGAGTCACCATCAGTTTTGATAACTGTTCTTTGTAAAGCTGACTTACAGTTCGGAACATTCCTTTCCTTGTTCTTGCACCAAATGTTGTATCTCCTAAAGTTGCAACTCCCATACCAACAATATCCGCTGTAGTAAATAAAATAAAAAAGTTTAACTATATACACAACTTGCAGGCTGTCATTAAGAAATTATATGAACAAAAATAATGCTTTAGTAAGTTACAAATAATTTCAATACAGGATATTCATTTTCATATTTATCAATAAATTCAAACTAAGCAATATTTTAAAAGTTACTAAATTCATTGCCAATAAACATACTTATATTATTAATAAAATAACAGTGGCATAAAATAAACAAAAGAGTATAAGTAAATTATGCAGCTGAAAAAACTCACCATCTTTCCAAATTTGAACTACAAATGGGTCTTGAGATGTTTGCAATAAAGATACAACATTGTCATTCAAAGGATCCATATTTTTCATGAGCCACTGCTTAGCCAAATAATTTACCTAAATTGATACAATACATCAAGGTTACAGAATAGTATAAAAATTTGCATATGTTCTTTGAATTAAAATCATTAATTACATGTTTCTGAAATGGCATATAGTTGTTTTGAATGCACTCTTTTAGGCAACTATAATTAGTAGAAAGACAACAGTGTGTTAATCAGATACATATACGTTCTGATATGACACACATTCACCTAGAGTGACACAACATGTTTTTCCTTAAAAAAAGTTCTTTTATAAATACCATTTTTTAAGTAAATTTAAAAAAAAAAAAAAAAAACTTTTATTTTTGAAACTGCTTTAATGAGCAGTACGATTCTGAGAGAAAGGGTTTATATACAAATTTCTACATAAAATAATCTAAAGCCTTAAAATATTTAAAACAAATCATATATCTGATAACTTTAGAAGAAATAAAGAAAAAACTGTATTACTTACTTTTCCAGCATAATGAATTATACTAAGATCACAATTGCCTCTGAAATCAGATTTTACAAATTTGGGATGCATTGCATGAGCAGTTTCAAGTTTATCAACAAAAGTTCTATCCGTAGCTTTCGGAAACCAGCATTCTTCATCCAGTAATGCTAAAATTCCCATAGGCTACAGGGAGGAGGAAAAGAGATAAATTTAATAACAAGAAGGGATTTATTTATTTATTATTTAAGAAGTTTTAAAAATTGCAGTTATTTACTAAATAAAAGTTGATTATGATTTTACTTATCTATAGTAATTCCCTGACTTATGTTAATTTGCAGTTATGTCAGTGTGCAAAAGTTGTAACATTCAAACAAGGACTTTAAAAAACATTTCTTCTTTCCTCAACTAGTATTTATTGCATTCAGAGAATAATTACATGATTAGTTTAGTCACTTGTTTAGCACTATTACTTTTCCTATTTTATCCTTAAAACAGATTTGAAATGAAAACTAAATGCACCAGTAACAAATGTAAAAATGAAAATCTGTAAAATAATTTGTTTGCATGAAGAAAAGAAAACTATATCAGCAATAGCTCAGGATCTAAAACAAACCAACTCCTACAATGAATATGACTATGAAGGATAAAGTTGGTATTGTTGAAAGAAAGCAAGAAAGGTATGATAATGTTAAAATGAACAAACATTATGGACACATGAGGCCTGACTAAGTTTTGAAATGTAGAAATTGCTGTTTCAATGGCTTCAGGATCTTACAGCTTGGTCTTAACATAAAAAATTGAAAAAGAAAGCTGGCATCATGGATAGAGGGAGAGCATGTAAAGCTACTGCTAGATGTAAAATTAGGCAAAGCAACAACCTTCTGGGTTTGATATATATTTTGACTAAGACTATATATCAATATCAAGGGCAAACAGGTGCAGATCCCTCATCATCAGGAGAAAAGATTTCTAGATGGTTCAAATCAACGAACTCAAAGGAGAGACAGCAAGTACAGATATGCTGCATATAAAAAGCATTATGACCATACAATATGCTCTAGACATGTTTGTGAGATACTGATAATACCATCAAGATAACATCTTAGACTACCCAGACTACCTTCAGCCTTCAACAATGGATGGTAAAAATTAACAGTAAACAGCATTTCTCTTTACTGTCATTTACCACCAGTACAAACTTTCTCACTATACATAGCTACCAGATGACATTTTTTTTATTCGAGAAATGTTACAATTCAGTTTGTTTCTATATTCTTTTATTTAATTTCCATAATTTTATATTTTGTATTTGACCACATACTGCTAAATGATGCTTAGTGCAGAAACAAACATACACATACAATAATACTAAAAATTGCAGTTTCTTATGAACTTATATTTAAGCAATTCAAAAGTCAACTTACATGACAGTTTACAAAACAAATTAATTACATAATCAAAGGATTACTGTACTTTAAATCAGATTAGGATGAAATTCATGAAAAATCTAAGAAATGTTTGGTTTTTATAATATGACTACTTCTACAGCATAAAAATATCATCTTATGAACAGAAATTTTAGCAAATCATATTTCACACATAGAAATTAAAATTCCTCTCACACTTGCATTTTTGTTTTTCAGGTTGAATACAAAGCCTCGCCAGAAACTCATACTCTCATATTTATAATCTTAAAAACTTTGGTTCCATTTCAAAAGGTTTTTTCATAACACATTTTTCAAAAGTTCTAATCTCAGCTTGAAATATATCAATACATTATTTTCTTCCAGATTCTAAATATTTTCAATAACCAAGCAAGCAATACTTCAGAAAAGCTCACTTCTCAATTCTATGCTTGATACATGTGATGGAAAACAGCATAAAATAATGAGGTTACGTAGTACTTTTTTAATACAAACAGCATAAAAGACAGTTCCGCTTCTGCAAAACAAGCTTCCATACACAATGTACACAGCTCAAAATAATTAGCATATAATGCAAATATATCATAATATCATAGTAAATGTAAGAACAATATCCTTATGAACATGTTTGACCACAGATTGATAAGCACAGTGCTGAATGTAACAAAAATAAGTATACTCCAGGTTATGCATATTATCCATCGAAATAATTCAAAAATTAAATGTTAGAGAAAATAAAATTTTAGGTGAGGAAGAGAAGACTAATACCTCAGTCAATAATAACTCAACAATGTAGTTTACATTATCCTAATGATCCTACACCTGCAGAACTATAATTAATAGTAAATTTGCCAGACTCGTGCACAATGTACAATGTACACAGCTCAAAAAAATTAGCATATAATGCAAATATATCATAATATCATAGTAAATGTAAGAACAATATCCTTATGAACATGTTTGACCACAGATTGATAAGCACAGTGCTGAATGTAACAAAAATAAGTATACTCCAGGTTATGCATATTATTCTTCAAAATAATTCAAAAATTAAATGTTAGAGAAAATAAAATTTTAGGTGAGGAAGAGAAGACTAATACCTCAGTCAATAATAACTCAACAATGTAGTTTATATTATCCTAATGATCCTACACCTGCAGAACTATAATTAATAGTAAATTTGCCAGACTCGTGCACTTTGAGCTGAAGTTGGTGCAAGCTCCTAAAACAGGGTTCCAAAAATGGAAGTTTGGTCAGCAGCAATGCAAACAATTATCTAAGAGAATGACAACTGACATTTATAACTGATGATGGAATCAAATGAGAAAATGAGAAGAAAAGTGGAGATTAAATGCAAGCCAGCAGCTAAATGAACTTTTTAAGGTTTATCTCTTACCAATGTCGCCCAAATCCAGTTCCGGCAGCCCACTAAACTGGGAATGCCCAAACTGACTTTGAGCAGGAATAATCAGGCAGGATCGGTGTTTCTCTTCTGGAAAGGCTAAAATGAGTTCATTTCCATTTATCAATATAAGTCACTGTTTTGTGAATACATGGCTACACTTGTTCAATATTTATTTGAAAGCTGGGTGGGATTAGCTCTGAAAGAAAAAAATTCTCCATTTTTCATATTATTTTCTTGAAATATACTCCACAGACTAGGGGTTCATGAGCAACATGAATAATTTGCAGTTGACTGGATCCTGTTGGCTTTTAGGTCAGCAACTATTTATTTTCCTTTAACAAATCAACACTCGTGTTTATATTGTAAAACTGCATGCCAGAATATTACAGATGGATACCAGAACATCAAACTATGAATGCTACCAATATTCCCTTTTGTTAAGAGTCGGGATTTACTTCACAATCTGATAACAAGACAGTACTATAAGAAGGCAATAAAGAAGACAGAATAGCCACACAGAACAAACTTCAATACAACAAAAGTATATTGACGACCTTTAATAACACTTCCATGAATGGATGCAGATACTTAAAAGTAAATATGAATAATACTCTGAATGCCTAATTGCATATACGAGATCCATAATCCCTCTTCACACTCTCTCTTCAACAGTGCAAAATAATTTTATAAACAGTACCAGTTGACCTCATCAAACGTAGATTTCTCTCTAAAGAGGGTATCCAATGCTATGGGGTAGCCTACATAGTAATGGAATATAAATGCCATACAATAAATATATTTGGAATATATTCGGCAGATATCTTGTGCAGTTGGAGACCATTCATTACAACCCTTCCAAAAAACATCCAGCATTCAGTCATTTTGGTTCTTAAGATGTATAATAGTATAAAATACATGCAAAATTAGATTTAACACTTATTAAAATTTAATTTCTTAATTTCAGCAACTGATTTAGTCATGAATACTTGCTTATTATTAGGCCTTGATACTTTTTTTTTTTTTTTCCTGAATGAAAATTCCTTTGTTTATTGATTGCTTAAAAAGAATAAATTTCTATGTGGTGGTGGGTATTTTTATTTCCTTTTTTGTTCTTTTTAAATAAAGCAAAATTTTATTGAAGCATTAGCCATTTCATCACTGATGAGTAACTGCTATTAATTCAGTACTAAACTTATACAAATCATCAAACAGATTAAATACTACACTAAAATACTTTTTAAAGAAAAACAGTATTTAAAATTTGCATTATCCAAACCTTTTCTATTAAATCAATAGTAGGCTGAAGGTCAAGGCCAAAATCAATGAACCTCCATTCTATTCCTTCCCTCTGGTATTCTTCTTGCTCAAGCACGAACATTGTATGGTTAAATAACTGTTGCAATTTTTCATTCGTATAATTGATACACAGTTGCTCGAAAGAGTTAAGCTACATAAAAGAAAAGGGAGTGAAAAGATGTTATTAAATGAACTATTAAAATACACATAAAAATCTTAGGAAAGATTCAATACCATAAGCTACCTATACAATTTGCACTCAATATTATTAAACAAAGTGAAATAAAAACAATAATAAAGTTTAAATTACTAATATTACAATTATTGAAACAGTAATAAACACTAAAAAATCAATATTATATATTTTATTAAAAAGTGTGCTGCTATTTGCTTCTTTTAAAATAAATTACAAAGCAAAGCAATTAACATAGCCGGTTTTGCTTATATGAGTGATTACAAATAAGATTACACTGAATATAAAAATACTGTCTAACTAAACAAAGTGTAACCCTGGATGGCACTATGACAAAATGCTTGGAGATTCTGTTGGAGTATCAACAACCCAAGTTTATATCAGAGGGGTGGTAAGAAAATACATAAGATGTTAGAAAAACATTTTCTGCTCAAATTGTATGTATTTATTCCATCACATTCTAATGTTTGCTTTCTTAAATATATGCATTTGTGTTTTTCACCCTTTATAGTAGCATGTTTAAAAAAGTGAAACAGGAATAATAAATTACAAGTGCTTTTTCTCTCTTCGTACTTGGCATGTTTAAGACACTGTAATATGATGAATGGGATACACTAACATCCATCTACTTTGAATATAAATCAGTTTAAATTGCTTATGAATTTTTGCTCAAGACTGTGCTAAAATCAGAGAATACATGTTGAAATTAAAACTTTATTAATCATGAAGACAACTTTTGCTTAATCAGCCTCTAAATCCTGTGTGGTAGGATTATGAAAAAGCTTGCTATTACCGAGTTATTTAATTAATTTAATATCCTGCGATTCACTCTAAGATTTGCTTTGTGCTGCAAAAATGTTAAAAATCTAATACAGTTACATCAGATCATATTTTGTTACTAATCTTTCTTGCTGATTTAAGCTCTTCAAATTAGGTTAACGAAAAATGGTCTAACAAAAACTTAATTATATGGTGGAATTAAATTTTAATATTTCTATATGCTGACTGATTTATAATACTTCAGCTTAAGAATGTATCCATTATTATATTATATATAAGAATTTTAATTTACAAAACTAAAAAAAAAGAGGAGTTTATCCAATCTCACAAACAAACTTAGCGGTTTAAAAGCGAGTAGTGGCAACACTGTTCTGAATAAAACAAAACATTTTCATCCCCAGTGCAGGAGACTGTTGTTGTTTGGAAAATTAATTATTTAGTTAACAAATTTCGCTATTTAAAAGCAGTGTTTTGCCACTGCTAGAAATAAATATGTTTTATCTTCCACACCCCAGCATGCTTGTCTTTCAGTAAAGCCTTTTAGTAATATTTAAATTTCAATTTTAAGAAAATATACTCAGTTGTAACAATTAAGAGAGGTGTGATTTTTCACACGAAACACAGATTTGTGAACTTATGATTATTTGCATTACCTAAGAACTTTCTCATAAGTTTTTGATACTTTAACAAATGAATTTTTAATATAAAAGGTAATCAGTTATATTCATAATCAAGCCTTTAAGAAAGTCAAACCTTAAGTCAAGAAAATTAATACAAAAACTTTTAAATTTGCACCACTTTCCAAAAATAGACTTAAGACTATTTATTGACCACGTCATTTTAAAAAGTCTTACTTTTTAATATGGACAGAGATACAATATCAACAATTAATTTTAGTCATTATTCAGTGTAAATTAAGTGAATTTTACAAAAGTTTTTGTAAATCTATTCCTTAAGTTTTGTAATAAAAAATATTGCTTCGTTAAATATCACTTTTGCTCAACATAGCCAGAGACAGTGCAACTGCCCAAGGAGGCAAAATTTAGAGACTTTAAGGAGGCACTGGGTAATAGAATCTGCGAATAGGAGAGACTGCATTGGGATGCAAAAAGCCAAGCATCGGTCTTGATGCTTATTATTACTTTTCACGGTAACTACATCATAAAAGAGAAATTTCATATAAATTCAATAAAAGTTTTTAATATTACATAAATATTTAAAAGTTACCCTGTTTTAGTTATCCCCACTTCTGGCACAGAAAATTTATTTCATTTTTAAAAAGCATTTTGTATTTTATGTGCCACTAGCATTTAGCTTACCTCAAATATTTCAAATCCAGCAATATCAAGTATGCCAATGAAGGATGCTCCTTGACGTTTTGTACGATCAAGAGACCGGTTAATGCGTGTCACCAGCCATTTGAACATTCTTTCATAACAAGCCTTACTGATTGCTTCAACTGCAAATTCAGCCTATAAATATTTAAAATCATATTATAATAATCAAAATAATTAATACAGAAGTAAACAAGCAAAATTAATTCAAAGAGTATTTTATGAGTGGTATTCAATCTCAGAGGTAGCAGAATGTGAGCAACAGCTCTTTTCAGCAGTGGGATTAAACAATGATAATGTATTTCCTCCAATTTCCACTCTACTCTGCAGTGATGTGAAGATACATAGTTCTACTTTATTATAAAAACCCAGAATCCTGATAATGTTTCCAGTGTCAAAGAAGAAAGCAATCCTTTTAGAAACTATTTAATTCTTCAATGACAAGTGAACATGTTGGGACAGAGAATCAAGTGCTTTATTCCACTCAACAAAAGCATCTCAAATTTTAATTACTTAACCTAATACATGCTAAAACAACAACAAATAAAAACCAATATGTCTGAAACCAAACAGTGTTAAAATTATTCACTATCGAACTATTTAATGGCCTCATTAAATTACTAAATTTGCTAAGACTGTAATCTATATATGTAAGATAAAAATATGTGAATCAAAATTATAATTTAAACTAATGGTAAACTCTTTAATTCTTCCTCTGTGTTCTAAAAATTGTAATAACTTCTCTGGATTGCGTCATTTCTAGATCATTCAATTTTGCTTCGCCTGTGCAACGCTGATGACATAATAATTGGGAACTGAAACTTTAAACTCAAACCAAAACCTTTCTCTTTGTGTCTTTCCATCTTGCATAACTATGCACTTCAGCTTTTGCCTCTGTGCTGCTTAGACGCCGCTTCATTCTGTTCTCTACCTATTGAAACAATATAAAAAATGTAAATGTTCTTGAATAGGCACAACTAGAGTGCCAAGTGAATTCTGGCCACAAACCTCAACTGAAAAATAAAAATAGAATTAAAACCAAACTGCCAAGTTTTTTTAGATATTATCAACTCAATATATTAGCATACTATGCAATTAGAATTCTTCCTCTTCAATATGGATCTAATATTTATTAAGCATCATCATTGCTCCATCATTTCTTGATATTATTACATATATATGTATATTGATATTATTACATATATATATATATTATACACACATATTTTCTATTGTGTGAAAGCACAGATGTTAATGGAGTGGTGACTCACAAAGACATTGAAAGTTTTTATTGCCAATTTAACTTTTTTTTTTATTTATTTATTTATATTTTCAATAAGCATGTTCTTATCATAAAATGAAATTATCTGAAAGGCCAGTGAAAAGACTAGACACCTCTAATCTCCCTTGATTTCATTGTCCAAACTAAAAATATGTAATTAAAAACATAATACGACTCATGACAGTACAAATTTTCACCATCCCTCAGATTTTGTTAAACACATTTTGTTACACCAAAAGGCATGAAATGTGTATGGGAACATAAAAAATTTGACAGCAGGCATTAAAAAAGTTAAGTTATTTAAATACTATTACTTACAACATTTGAAAGAGCAACATAATTTTAAAATTTTAAATGTTTCAGCTATTTAAGGCTTTTTAAACCAGAAATTAATATTCTACTAATTACAATTACTAAAGGTTTAATATGAAAGTAAGGTTACCTGTTCTTTAGTCTGAGCTTTAGTGACATAATCTCGGCCAACCTTCAGACGAGGTTTCAGGAAAGCTTTTGTCATTTCAGTGACATTCAAACCTAGCAAATGGCTGACTTTCTGAGCTACTGTATTATCTGGGAGAGTGGCTTGATCAGAATTTCGCTCTTGTTTGAATTTTATATTTCCAAACAATAAAACAGCCGATACAACACGAAATATTGCTAAAAAATAATAAAATAAAAACAAAATAAATAAAAAATAAAAAACACAGAAAATTTACCTTAGGCTTAAATATCTGTAAATCTTGAAAGACATTAAATGATACATTTTACCCCTTTTGCTATGGCATGTTGCTGAATTAAAAAACCTCTGCAGATGGGTGTATCATATACGCATCACTGTCAAATGCCACTAGCAGCCGGATGATGCACTGGTGCATTGCACACTGCATTGCTCTGGTGCAACACACCGTCTACAAGGTGAGTTGTGTTAAGTGGCATGCCATCTCGTATGAGAATTAGTTGCTGATGCGTATATGATACACTCATCTTGAAAGGGTTAATGAGGAAAAGGCAACCTAACCTAAATCTTCATTATAGCAGGCATGCAAAACTTAAGACAATACTCCTATATGATCTATATACAACTCCTCTAGAATCAATTCTCAGAATTCAATACTCACTGCAGCAGAATTCTGTGTTGGAAATTCTATTATTATTCATTTTCCCATTATCTAATTAGAGGTTCTGCACAGGTATGAACTATCTTCTTTCCCATCTTATGCACTGATGCTATAAATATTTAAACACAAGATTATGATTATAAATCTGCGGTTGGTTAATCCATTTGGACTCCATTCTAGTTATTATATATCAGTCAAAAGTCTTTAATCCAGACTCGTCGGGACTTCAGCGATTCCGGATTATCGTTTTTTACTGATTATAGATCATCAATTTAAATCTGGTAAGATGGCATGCAGAAATTATAAAAATATGAAACCATAATTTATGAAATAAAGAGCAATTATGATTTAAAGGGTATCAAAATTTACCAAAAAAAAAAAAAGCTCAATATTTATTTGTTTACTTTATTAAACATTTCTTTCAATGGGCGTATGCATAAAGCATACATTATGCACAGTCAAAATTAGAAAATTGCAAACAGAAAACTATTTGATGTGTATTCGTGATATTTATAATGACGAGGAATTTGATTTAAATCATATCAAAGATGAAGTACAATATATTTAAAAATAACAAAGACGGAGTACATTGAGATGAAATACTACATTTAGTGAGGAATTATAAGCCGAATAAAGTAAAAACATCTGCCCTGAAGATGAGGACAGTGCTGACAGATCAACTTCCAGTTCATTGCGTGTCGCGACACCTTACATTAGAAGAAACCCTTCAAAGATTTTTTGATGAAGAAACAGATGGTGATATTGATGATAATAACTAGATTGAAACTGATATTGTTGTTGTTCCATTAGAAATTGCAGAAGCTAGTGATGAAGAAGTAGGGAATGATAACACGTTTTGAATAACGATAATATTTTACCAAATGATACTGCTGGGGAAGTTGAATTTAATGTACGAAGTAAGTTTCAGCCTTCTAAAAACAGTGCTAGTCGTTCAAAAAAGTTTAAAAAACAGAAAACTTCAAATGGATTAAAAAAAGGAACCATCATTTAGGATTTCCTTCATTTATGATTCCTCACTTATGAACCGTCAGTTATGATTCTTCTTCTCTGTCATCTAAAAGATAAAGATTTGAGTGCTACAGAAACAACTCAAGAAAACCACAAACAAATGTGCCCACTAGAAACGGTGAAATGTGTCCATAAGAAAAACAGGATTTATTATGATTTCCAGTATGAAGAGAAAAACAAAATAATTTTTGCCCAGAGTAACGATAATTTGGTTGTAACTGTTGGTTCAACATTTTGAAATATTCAGCTCGTAAAATGTGTTTCTCATTATTCAAGAACACAAAGGAAAACAAAATTGTATCTCATCCTCATCTTACTTGAACAACACAATGCCAAAATGGGAGGAGTCAATTTATGCAAAAATTTAGTAGCCAATTACAGAATAAGAGTTCGTCGCAAAAAATGGTGATGGCCAATAATATTTGCCAATTACACTGATGTATCATCGACAAATGCACGGAAAATATCACGACTTTCTACTAATGGAAATAAAAAGTCTCTTTTAGATTTCAGGTGCAAGAGAGCATTATTTCTTTTGCAAACTTCAACTAAGAGTGTAGAATTAGTCAGAAATAGATCAGCAAAGGAAGTAAATTCAGAATTCCAAAGCCACTGCATGGAAATGGTAAACATTTTATAGTAAAGTCTGAGGATAAGAGAAGACTTCATTGTAAAGAAATGCAGTAACCAGACTCTTTATAGATGCAAAGTATATATAATGTAGCTTTACATCATGATTGTAGTCAAGCTTTTCAAGCTTGAATCTTTCAGTTGAAAAATATCTGTATTTGTAAAAGAAATATTATGTAAATTTCAATACAGTCAAAAGTCGTTAATCCGGACTTGTTGGGACTTCGGCGATTCCGGATTATCGATTTTTCCGGATTATAGATCATCAGTTTAAATCTGGTAAGATGGCATGCAGAAATTACAAAATTAAAAATATGAAACCGTAATTTATGAAATAAAGAACAATTACGATCTAAAGGGTATCAAAATTTACAAAAAGAAAAAGCTTAATATTTATTTGTTTACTTTATTAAACATTTCTTTCAATGTAATAATACTTTCTCTTTAATTCTATTAAACAGACATAATTTCTTGTTTAGTTACAAAGTTCCGCTGTTCAAGTCCTAAAATTGCTGTGTCTAGAATACCGACTAATTTGTCAATCGAAATGTTTTCGCTTTCAATAACCTCTGGGTCACTTTCTTCCCTATCCGAAGCGAATTATAATGACGAGGAACTTGATTTAAATCATCTTGATTTAAATCATGCTTGAACGCGACACATGCGCAGAAAGTTTGTAGCTTTGAGGTCCGGATTATTGATCATTCCGGATTATGGGTGTCCGAATTAACGACTTTTGACTGTATTATATTAATTAAAAGTAAAGTGATTTGTAGATTTATAAAACGTTACACAGCTAAAAAGTAATCCATTGCCCACTCAATCAAAACTTCGCACAAGTACAATCATAGTCATCACTAAACATCAGTATTCTTATTCCGCCGAAGTTGCACGAACGCAACACTAGATTTTTCCACAGGTTAGAGCATTCTTTTTATTTTCAATGTAAATGTATGCTATAAATACTTAACTTAATACTTATTATTATTTGTACCAGAAAAAAAAATCATTCTTTGTAGTTTTGGCAATTGATGGGTTAATCAAGTATAATTTCACATCCACTACTTCAGATGAAATTTTCTCCACATTCTATTCGTTTTCCATATTAAATATATGTAAAAAAGGATTTCTACAGCATTTTGTCCCAGATTCTGATTTATAACCATGTTCATAAAAAAACTACAGTATTAAAATACTTAAAAAAATAAGATTAAAGAAACATAGAAAATTCACACAGAAAATTATTACAACTGAACTATTGTATATAAGCATGTTTTTCAAACAATCTAAATATGTTTAAGATTTGGAATAATATTTACATAGCTATTACATTAAAAAACTTAGTTTAAATGACTTTGCACTTGAAACAATAATATACCATTTTTCAAATCACAAAATTATTATAACAAAATGATTAAGAATGTTAAAGCAAAAACTACTAAAAATATACATATTAATTTTTGGCTGCATGCATAAAAGTGAAAAATCATTAAATATATACTTTTATTATAATTCACGTCAATTTAAAATAATGCTCCTTTGAATTTCACATACTTATACTTTTTTATTATTATTTCATCTACATACTATTATTTCATTATACTAAATACTTTTTTATTATTATTTCATCAATACTACATTAGATTCAATAATTTTATTCATTAAAATAAAAGTTGATTTTTTTATAATATTTAAGAAATAAAATTTAATAAAGTAAATACAAACCATTCATGTCATCTTGAGACAGACCCATAATCGACATTGCATTACATGTATTTCGAAATTCTTGTACCTCATCTATGCCAGGAACTGCTATGTGACCATTAGTTAAAAATGTGTAATTCTTAGGGTCCTCTAAAAGAAATCCCTCTGGGGGGGAGAAAGAAATATTAATTATGATCAAAACAATAAATTCAAATTAGTGTTCAACATAATGTAACATTAACTTAGTGCTAATATTTATGAAACTGGACATCAACATGAGCAATCTACTAAAATCTACTAAAAAAAACTTTTACTTATAACAGATTACTTATCTAAAAAATGCAGATTCAGGAAGCATGAATACAAAAAGAATCAATATAAGAATGTAAAACTTTAAAAACGGCGGGAAATAAAACTGTCACCAGATAAATAAAAATAATTTAGATTATATATATATTATATTTCTATAACAGAACGAGAGGATAATTGCATATTAATATATAAGAACTCGTTTCTGTTGCTTTTTTAATGTAAACTCGTTTCTGTTGCTTTTTTAATGTTGTAGTGTAATTATTATTTCCTTATATACCTCTTTAAGGTAGCAATAATAACATTACATTTAGTTTTAAACAAAACATAACTTACTTCGCTGTTCTGGAGAAGCTCCTTGCAGCAGTTGATAAAATATATGAAACGATCTTTCATCTTTAGCTTGCCTAATAGCACGTGATTTTTCAAGAAGATCTTTTACTAAATTAAGAAATCTTAAAACAAAATTTACAGCAAAAACATTACTTACATGAATAGAATTTCTGTTAGCTGTAGATCAATGAAAGTTTCAGAAAAATAGGGAAAATAATTAGTAGTAATAAATGAGGAAATTGGTGGAGGATCAAGATAGATCTTAACAGCCTTATATATGATTAATTAAAAACTAATGAAATGAGAAAAACATGTTTAATCATGACATAGTTCATAAACACATGTTCTTCTTTATATACATAAATCTATAATGCAATAGAGAAGCAGATCTGCATCATTTTATATGAGACTATTCATCATTAGATAATACTACAAAGAAATACTTCCAGTGCTAACAAGAAACCAGTATTAAATACTCTTTATAGATAAGCGATGTCAAGGGCAGCACTGCACAATGAAAAGTTTGATAAGTGACAATGAATTTACTATAATTTAACATTATATTTCAATATAATAGCAGCAACATAATTAAAAACTGAAAGTCATCTTGATGAGAGATACCATGATATGTTACAGATGCTGCATAATTTACAATTACTTTTTTTACATATACAAAAATTTCATTCCTATTCATGCTTATACTTAAAGACAAACATTCTTGCTCATCTTAAACAAATAATTAGAAAAATCATAATATGAAACTAAATTTAAAGTGCTTTTTCTATTTTATCCAAAATATGACAAACCTGCTAACCTTAAACTGTGAAAATCCTGAGTAGGGAAGAAAAGCTTTTGTTCATCACTTTTAAGTGTGGTTAAAATAAAAATTAATAATTGATGCACATACTATTCAGTGGATAGGCTTAGTAATGCACCATATCGATATTAAACAAAATTAACAACATATTAATTCATCAGTGTTCCAGTCCACATTAAAAAAAAAATCTACCAATATCTATAATAGATTAGGACAATTCACAATGAATAAAATTTAATAAAAAAAATTATGCTGAAAATCACAAGAGGTGGGAAATGGAATTTGAATTCTGTAAATATCTTTAATTTGATACATTTCATGTATTGCTGGGAAACATTTTGCTTAACAAAGCTAAATTTAAAAACTGGGAGATGTGATGAAAAACCCCGAGTTCACATTTTCATAACTGAAAAGCAAAAGGATTGGCAGCTATGATGACCCCCCTCAACTGAAGGAAAGAGGGAAGAAGAGAATTTCAGAAATCTATAAAATATGTCATAGCAAATCTTTTTTAACATCAATAATTTTCTAAAGAATTCAGTTTCAAAATTGGAGCAGACACCTTTTAATCCTTTGAAGGACAGTGGTATATAATATATACAGATTGTTTGTCAATTTTTTAACCTCCGAAAAAATGCTAATTTTTATATGCCAAAAGCTATAATTGCCAAGCTATAATCATTTCAGTCAAAGCTATAATCACTTCAGTCAGAAGTGATAATTAACGAAAGATTATTTATACGACTTTAAAACCAGTATATAATATATACCAGTGCCCACACTGAGGGTACCATGCCAATAGATGGCAGCACTAGTCTTCTCCTTTCCAATTCCATGACATGACAGAATTTCTTTATATTATAACAGCTTATGATGTAATATTTTTTATGATTAATTTACAATTATTTAGGATTCAATATTATGTTTGTGAAGGGATGGGAAGTTTACTGACCCTGCGCTAGGACTGAATTCCTTTTTTATTTGAGTTTCGTCTCTTTAGTTAAATTTTTAATATCAGCACTTCACCTTTTCCAAAGAGAAAGACTCGATGATTTCAAAATTCCCATCTGGGGTCAAAATTTTGCACAACTGTAGGGGCTAAATGTGGCATGTTAGCCCCCAAAAGACACCCGTTGCTTTGTGCTTTCCAAAATCCTAGAATTCAATGAAAATGAAAAGAGGTGATTAACAACTGGTTTGTCATTTGGGAGTCAAGCCTTCTTCCCTTTGTGTGGTGTGATAAGATCACACAAAGAGAAAGCGCACTTAAAAATACAGGAAATGGAAGTGCACTCTTAGTGTAATCACAAAAACTGCTGATTTGAAAGCAAGCTTTTATTCTTATCGCCTTTGTTAATTTCAGATGAAAGACTAGGGCACGGCAAGAGAAATTTGCCCTCTGGGTTAAGATAAAAATAGGTTGCTTTTGAAATAAATTTCACAGTTTGTGAAGGAAGGGAAAATATTTCTAAGGCCCCTTTTAGATGCAAACTAAATTTATCCAAAAGGTTGAAAAAGAGCCCCTAGGAAGCCAAAGGGGTTGAAAATTGAAATAACAGCTTCGAGGTGTATCAAATAATATTGTTTGACGGCATTTCTTCCTGAACAAAAAAATATATTACAACCTATATTTACAAAAAATAAAAAGGGGTCCCTACAATCCTCGGTAATCTAAAGTGTGTGTGGTGCGTGGGGGATGATTCTTGGTATTACAGACTGAATTATGGTTTTTTTTTAATATATTATCTAAAGCATAAAATATAACTTCAAAAATGCAACATACTTTCTCATCTCAGCATTTCATTTTACAATTTTTTATTTTTTGGCTGAGTTATACCTCCTTGTAATATTATACTAGTTTATTTACAGCATGATATGATTTACGCAGTCAGTGTTATATTTGCTAATTTTTTATAAAATAATAATATTGAATTTAAATCAAAGTTCAAAAGCTTTTTACCCATATTTTAAATAAGTATGTTCAGCTGGGTTGCATCATCAAAGTGCATAAAAACATAAATTTTAAATTCCTACTAAAATTTTAAAAGTTTTTGTCTTGAGACTTACACAACTATATTCAAGCACCCATCTCTACAGATGCACATCAAAGTGCGTGGGGGAGGATTCTTGGTATTATAGACTGAACTATGGTTTTTTTTTTTTTTTTTTTTTTTTTTTTTTTTTTTTTTAATATATTATCTAAAGCATAAATATAACTTCAAAATGCAACACTATTCTCATCTCAGCATTTCATTTTACAATTTTTTTTATTTTTTTGGCTGAGTTATACCTCCTCGTAATATTATACTAGTTTATTTACAGCATGATATGATTTACGCAGTCAGTGTTATATTTGCTAACTTTTTTTATAAAATAATAATATTGAATTTAAATCAAAGTTCAAAAGCTTTTTACCCATATTTTAAATAAGTATGTTCAGCTGGGTTGCATCATCAAAGTGCATAAAAACATAAATTTTAAATTCCTACTGAAATTTTAAAAGTTTTTGTCTTGAGACTTACACAACTATATTCAAGCACCCATCTCTACAGATGCACATCAAAAGTATGCAAAATTGATTTAAAAAAACAAAAATTAACAATAGGCAGCTACCTGAAAGAAAAAAAAAGTCTTAGACGGGCACCAGTATACTGGTATATAATATACATATCGACTCTCAAAATTTAGGATTTCGCTCTAGATTTTTTTTCAGTCTCAATTTTGTGTCCTTAGGGTCTATAAGTTTTAGTTTCTTGAAAACAAAAAGAATGTAATAAATATTGTTTTTTAGATGAACTGCAAACAAATGAGCTTCAATGATTAAAATTTTAGTAGAAAACCTCCGACACATTAGATTTTATTTTAAAGGAAGAGAAAAAAAGTTCTGCCATTCAAAATTTTCATCAATCAATCCCCCCCCCCCCCCCCCCGAAATGACATGAGTTGGAAAAAAGTGAATTGTTAAAAAGAATAGTAAAGGAGTTCACGATAATAACAATAAAAAAGAAGACAGCATAACAAGTCTCTTACTACTTTTTCATTAAATCATAAACAAATTAACACAAAAAAAAAAGTTTATACATTAACAAAATGCAGTGAAAATAAATATTTGAATAAAGGATACATGTTTCAATATTAGCTCCCGCAATGAAACCAGAAGCATCAAAATTTATTCTTATGAATTTCCCCTTTAAAAAAAGATTTTTTTAACATCACAACTAAAACATTAAAATATCAGAAAAAAATGTAACACATTTAAAAAATAAATTATTAAATGTACATAGGTTTTCAAAAATGAAAGCTACAATACAATTAGATTAACATTTTGTTGCCAAAACAGGCACAATCTTGACCCCTTGCCACGAATTTTGTGGGCTTGCTCTGATTTCAGACAAGCAAGAATAGTCACAAACAAAAGATTAAAATTTACTTTTTACAAGCTTTTGCTTTAAATACAAAAAACATAAAAGAGATGAACATACAAGTATATGAACACATGGTAGAATGTCATTATAGAAGACAGCTCTTGCATGCTCCATTATATGATATGATTAATAATTAAATATCCTAACAAGTCCTTGATCAGTTTCTCAGAATACTTTCTCATTTGTCAAAATTAAAAATCACATACTTACTTTGAGCAATCTGATGCAAGCAAATCGTGAAATTCAATTTATCTGTAAGTCAATTAATAACCTTCAGTTTTTTAGCTCCTTTTGGAAGTTTTATGACTTGCAGAAACATTTTAGGTTTTATTTAAAAATATATCACTGGACAATAATATGTATATTTCAGAAAAAAGTTATAAGAATGCTTTATTTTTGAAAATTATATTTCCATAAGCAGCAACCAATGCAAGAACTGATTTTTGTGACTGGATTAAAAATGATAGATTTTCAAAATTTTAAGAAAAAAATTACATACTTTATGGATTTTACTATTGAGTATCATGATTAAAAAAGGAAGAAGGAGAAAAAATAGAAATGAAAAGTAAGGCGGGGGGGGGGAGACATGTTAAGCTGTTTCTAATGGTTTTAAATGAAATTCATATAAATGAAAGTTGAGATGCAAACTCTTTAGTTGTGTAAAATAACAATAATTGTAGAAAAGGGGGTATTAAATATCCAGTATTAAATTCCATATTAAAAAATAGTTTCACATGCATACTACTTAGCTAAAAAATTATCAGTGCTTTTATTTTCATAATATAGATTAATTAATATTATTATGTAAGGCATGCTGGGATTTTTCATTCTGCTGTGTGTGATGTTACACGAATTTTCACATAACTTACAAGCACTATTTTTAAATAATACTTGATTATAATTAAATAAAGGATTTTGCACTTATTTTTAGAGAAATGAAACAGCTGCTATTTTTAAATATATTTTTACAAAAATGTAACATCCTGGAGCAAAAACATAAAACATGGGGCTCTTTTTCACTGAGTCATATGAGTGAATAAATACACTCAACTGAATGAATGAACTCCATCCAATCTTATAAATATTTACAAAAATGAAATTGTACTTACAAATCTAGATGAGTTATCATTTTTTACAGTTTTGGCATTACCAAAAGCTTCAAGAATGGGATTAGCTTGAAGGAGTTGCTGCTCTAATTCACCCTAAAAAATATAAGAATTTTAAACATTATTAAATCAATTTTATAATGACATTGCTGATAATCTGTGATTATTATACAGCACTAATAAATCAGCATATTGGAAAATAAGTACAACACAAGTTTAATATAAAAGAACATTCACCACACACTTATTCTTCTACAAAAAGTTATTTTCTTTTCATTCACATGAAAGAGTATATAAACACATTCACATGTAGCACACATTTAGTTTATAATTTATGTATTAAATGCTATTTTTTAAGAATGTTACATTGTAAAGCCTCTGAAGTTTACTGTGCAACAACAATTTCCACTTGTTGTAACAAAAACAAAAAAAAAAAATAATAATACACAAAACAATGTTAAACATGCAAAAACATTAAAAGGGATGAAGAACATACACAGCAGAAGAGAGATTATAGTATTATCTATCTATATCTTGAACTCCCACCCTGTTCAATGAAGAACACTGTGGGGGGGAGTATGATTAAAAATTTAGACATTCAATGAAAAATTTTAAAAAAGAATACGCTATATGAGCACAAGAAGAAGCAATACTTACAATTATATTAGGTGGCACATTATACTATAAAAGAAAAAAGAAGGAAACACATATTGAGAGAAATTTTAAAATGCATGCAATTAAAAATTAACACATTATTTTACATTGAAAACCATACAGGACTAAGAGTACAGACATGTAATGAAGCAGAAAACATGCAATGAGTCATGCAACAATTACAGCTATACTATTATTTCAGTATATCAAATTAAAAAAAAAAAAAAAAAAAAAGATGACACGCATTAAAACAAGGATTTTCTCTGAGTACATACACATTACATAATGTACAATTAACACATTATCAAATTACATAGTTCTCATTGAGATTCGTTTTGCCACTACAGAAAGAACAGCTTGTTTGAAGTACTATTCAAATTTTCGTTCTAATTGCGCTCTCTTTTCCCTGCTAAAAGTGATACTTCATTAATATTTTTCTTTTAATTGAAAAAATAGATAATATTTACTTTGCAATAGTTCAAAATAACTGCATTTGACACATTTAGCTAAATTTTAACACAAAGCTTATTTTCTTTATAATAGTTATAATGAGATATGTAACTGTCATTCACCTAGATTATTATTTTTGTATCATTTTTAGCAAGAAACCTGACAGAGACGAATTCTTCAGCAAAGCGATATAAAATTTACAAAAATAGTTCATCAATGATAAAGAGCACAAGCTTTTCTCATAAAGAGCACAATACACACTCTTTTGCCAAAAAATCGAAGTGCCAAGAAAGACTTTTGTGATCGTGACGAAATTTAAGTATGCAAAAACCATCTTGATCAAACATGCAAACGATCAAAATTTCAAGGAAAATGAACAGGAATTGCATTTCTAGTGAGCAATTCACAAAGTATAAAACCAGTAACAGAGGTGGAAATTTTATCTTTTTTTTGTTGCTGCCATTGTAATTCCATAAAGAAGCAACTAAAGATGGCATTACAATGATATCGAAGACCTTACAGACAACTAAACAACTTCAAATGTGGTCGTACTGTAGGGTTGCGTGAAGCTGGGTGGTCATACCGAACAATAGGCTGCCCCTTGCAGCGTACAGACACTGCTGTCCAAAGATGTTGGCAGCAATGGTTGCTACAAGGAAATTGCCGATGAAATTAATGAAGGCTTTTGAAGGCCAAGGAGCACAAATGCGACGCAAGATAGGATGATTGTTTGCCAGGCCCAAATCGCCCCAATGGTGTCTTTGTCGACTATTCAACGCACTACAGCCACATCTATACCTCCCATGTTATCGTCCACCATATCACGCCGCTTGTCTGAGGCGGGGTTGCAGTCACAGAGGCTTTTAACCCCTTCCCGGTTTTTGTAGCTTGGGCACTGTGAAATTTTACACTTTCAATCAGTCTTTCTCGAATTATTTCACATGTGCTTTTTATGTTTTCGAATGCTTTTGTTTACTTTTCTGGCTACTATACAGTGTTTTCAGCTGCAGATTTAAAATATGAGTAAGTGTCACTTTCTGGTGAAAGTCCAAATGTCTTTGTAGTGAATCATTGAGTGCTTGCATAACTTATGTCTCGTTTTATTTTTTCAAAATGGCTTGCGCAGGATATATCGATTCTGATTACAGTGAATCCAATTCAGACGATGATTTTGGAAGTGAATACTGTTTAGATATTTCAGAATCTGATTGTTCAGATTTCGATACTTCTGAAACAGAAAGTGATTTTGATTCAGAAAGCTTGAGTGCTGTTCATCAGTGGTGTGAACTAAATACGGATACACCAAATCCTGCTCCCCCAGAATTTATACTTCAAGGAGACCCAGGACTAAATTTTTGTCCTGACAGTGACGACATTTTGCAGTTTTTTTTTTTAATATTTTTTTTTTATGATGGAACTCTGCAAATTATATGTAATGAAACAAATCGTTATGCTTCTCAGTATTTGGAAAAAAAAAAAAGAAAAAGGAATTGAAAAGGAATCAAGGGCTCAGAAATGGTATCCAACTACAAAAGATGAAATTAGGATATTATTAGTGGTTTTCACTTTACAGGGCATCGTGAAAAAGCCCGAAGATTATTGGTGTAAAAATATATATTTATATTGGTGTAAAAAAGAAATATTTCATACACCTATATTTGGGAAACTTCTTTCAAACAGAAGATACAAACCCTTGTTGCAATTTTTACATTTTGCGGACAATGAGGTTTACATTTGCGGACAATGAGGATAGAATTGCACCCTAATCCAAAATTGTGCAAAATATGGTCTTTGTTCGAACATTTGAATGGAAAATTTATAACTGCATATTCTCTAAATAAAAACATTTCTATTGATGAAAGTTTGATGTTGTATAAGGGGTGCCTTGGTTGGGTGCAATATATGCCACTCAAAAAAGCTAGGTTTGGCATAAAATTTTACATGTTATGCGAATCCGAATCTGGTTACATGTGGTCACGCATAATCTACACAGGAAAAGGAACCATTTTAAATGAACAATTCAAAAATTTGCCTGTGTCATCACAAGTCGTGATGACACTTTTGTATCCCCTTTTGAACAAAGGGCACTGTGTAACTGCTGCTTTTATACGTCCCCAGAACTGGCAGAATTGCTAATATCGTATAAAACCAATATATATGGCACAGTTCGCCTGAACAGGAAAGGTATGCCTACTGAGCTAAAAAAAAGAAGTTGAAAAAGGGATAAATTGTTGCATATCATAAGGGAAAAGTCATGGTCTTGAAATGGAAGGACAAAAAGGATGTAGCACTACTTTCCACTGGGCACAGCACAGAGATGATTGCAGTTACCGGCAGGAAGGAAGGAAACAAAAATGAAACCAAACGTGGTAGTGGATTACAATAGAACTTTGGGAGGAGTCGGCCGTGTAGACCAAAGACTAAGCAGTTACAATGTCAATAAAAGAAGAGGGAAAAAATATTACAAGATATTTAATTCAGAAGTCAAACAACAAGAAGAGTAATTTTGAGGTACTAGAGATTTCTCAGTGTCCAGAAAACTATACAGTCAAAAGTCGTTAATCCGGACTCGTCGGGACTTTGGCGATTCCGGATTATTGATTTTTTCCGGATTATAGATCATCAGTTTAAATCTGGTACGATGGCATGCAGAAATTATAAAATTAAAAATATGAAACCGTAATTCATGAAATAAAGAACAATTATGATCTAAAGGGTATCAAAATTTACAACAACAACAACAACAACAACAACAACAACAACAACAAAAAAAAAAAAAAAAAAAAAAAGCTTAATATTTATTTGTTTACTTTATTAAACATAAAGGGGGGGGGACTACTAGGATGAACACAAAGGGTAGAAATATGAAAATAAATATGGTAATTTCAAAACTTTTTTTTTTTTTTTTTTTTTTTTTTTTCCTGTTTTGTTTGATATGTTAAGACAAAGGCACAAATCTTTTCCAAAGTACTTAATATAATCTGAAATTTTATTACCTTAATTTTATATGCAGATATCACTTACAATATTCATGCTACAAAATTTCTCAGAAGATTAGCATACAATCAGATGTCTGGACCATCTTTTCAAAATACTAGAGAATACTTGAAAAGATGCTGAATTTTCAATACTCAAAATATTGAAAGGAAAGAAGCTGATGCAACCAGAAACAATTTCTAAAGGTTACTTAAATCAATGAAGTGAAATAAAAATCTAACACAGATAGAATACTTTTTCATATAAAATAAAGATTCCACCTTAATTAAATACCTTTATTACATTTTATAGTTTCAAAAGCTATTTGGTATGCTTAAAAAATTAGATGTACAGAAGCTTAAACATAACTAAGGTATTCTACATCATAAACACTATTATCACCAAGTTCTCTCAGTTTAAAAGATTAAAAAGTAGCTACTTGCATGCCAACAAATTAAAATACACGAAAAATTACAATTAATAAGTAATAAAGAATGAAACTGTTTCTAAATACGATATTTGCTTAAAGAAGTAAAGCAATATTTTAATAAGCAAATCTAATCTTATGAGATACACCAAACAAAGACACACACAATGATAAAAATTACATAAATTTTGTTATAGAAAGAGTAATTTATATAGATTCTGTTTATCATAAATAGAATTTCAAGGGCAGAAATTTCATCACAAGCATGTTTGAATCATTATTCTGTCTCCCAATATCTCAAATCAATAATATGGTAGCTTAATACTGACATGATAAGATACAGATTAAAGTTAAGTTAATTCAAAACAATAAGAAATTGGGAAAAGGGACACACACTTTACCTTCTCAAGAAAGGGAGACGAAAGAATGTGTTGAGATATATTTATTTAAGAAAGGTCTTTAAAATATGTAAATAACAGAAAAGGCTAAAAAAATAAAAGGCATTAATAAATCTTATATATGGATTAAAAAAAAGTACATGTATATCACCCTTACTGAATGAGTACTAGAAGATTTTGGCTTAGATGATGCTACATATGCTAAGTACTGAATAACTTTTTTAGTATTTTCAGTTTTGCCTGCACCTGATTCACCACTACAATAAAAGCAAAAAATTAATATATAACCAAATCATAAACATGCTATAAACATAATAATATATATAAAGTTTGGTCTAAAATGCAATAATAATTTGGAAAGAATAAAACTGTAAATTAATAAAAAAATATAAAATCTGAAGAACTGTAACAAATGTCACTACTGGATAAAAGATGTGCAATTTTTTTACTTGAAAACTACGAGGTAATCGGTATTAAAAGAAACAACATCTTATGCATTTATAAAATACAGTAAAATAGTTTATCAGTCTTTACCAAGAACAATGCATTTTTTATATTCCTGACGGAGGATAACTTTGAGATTATAATTTAGGATTGAACATCTACCCTATACTGAAAAAGGTTAATATGACTTTCTTCAGTCAGTCTACCATAAAGAAGCAAATTAATCAAAAAAACTAGATAAAATTCAATCTTAAGATAACATAAACTTTGTCCACTCTAAGAGATTCTCAGAATATCGTTCTGCATATTTTTCAGAAATTTCTTTCCTTAGAACAAAATGAAAAGATGGAAATAATAGAAGGGATGAATTAATTAATTAGCTAAGTTCAAAACATATATGCTGAGAAAAAATATACAGTACAAAATCTGAATTAAGGGTTTTTCTGGATTATAGATCATCAATTTAAATCTGGTAAGATGCCATGCAGAAATTATACAATTAAAAATATGAAACTGTAATTTATGAAATAAAGAGGAATTATGATGTAAAGGGTATCAAAACTTACAAAAAAAAAAGCTTAATATTTATTTGTTTACTTTATTAAACATTTCTTTCAATGTAAGTTGTTGAAGTTGCTTCATTTTTTATGCTAAACGCTCATGCATAAACATTAAACATGCATGCGTAAAGCATACAAAAAAAAAAAAAAAAAGGTTTGTGGCTTTGAGGTCCGCATTATAGATCATTCCAGATAATGGATGTCCGGATTACAGACTTTGTACTGTATACAGCATTCCAGAACACCTAAGGTCTACTTTTGGCTACATAATATATTTTTAAAATACTTATTGCAAAATGTGAAATAACAATATTGAACAAACTCTTTAAATTTAATTTTCACATATCAAGTTAAGATGACTTGATTACTTTACCCTAACTCTTAACTGCTACACCTTAAATAGAGAAAAGAAAATGAAAATACACATTTCTGGAGGGCATTACTGGGATTAAATTATAGATTACAATCCTATATATTAATCATTCAACAGTCTTTAATGGACAGGAAAACTTAATGGATATATACTATATTTACTCGCATCACTTCCTCCTTATCCTACTAGTTTCACTGCTTGAAAATTGGGAGAGGAATTATATGTGGCATATACTATTTTTAAAGAGAAGTCTTAAATGATGAACATAGTACATTAAAAAAATACACACAGACATACTAAGATTATTATATTATGTACTTCCTCTGACTGAGTATACTGACAATTTCAATACTATTCTTTTTACTTACATAAAATATTTACTATTTGCACACATATTTTACATGGTTACTGTTGTGACTCCTATAAGTTTAGCATTTTCCCATTTATTATTATCTAAGAGTTTGTTCTGCAATTTTGTTTGATGTATGAATCTGGCAACCAGTTTTATTTTTGAATGTAATGATAGAAAAATTCCTGTTCTAAGCAAGCAGCAGTTTAGTTAAGCTACAGAAATACTGAATGTTTTTCATCATTAGGATGTAAGGATCATTTTGATCATTATACTAAACATGTAAATAATCGCATTTATCTGTATGTGTTTGTAAAGTGAAATAAATTGGATATAAAACGAAGTCTGATTTTGAATCAAAACAAAACTGGCATCCGAAGACAAGACAGGGTAGGCATTCTGCATTTGAAGAATGCAGAATTTGAAATTATAAAAGTGTACAGATACGAATGATTTAAATTTCTGCTTGTAAGTATACGATATGTTGTTTACCATGATAAAGTGATTTAAGTTTAAGAAAGTATAAACACATTAATTTCTTCAGTATAAATAGAAATTAGGAATTTATTATGAATCATTTTAAGTAAATATTTTAACTATAGTGTACATACGTTTTAAGTAACTATAGTGTACATATAAATATGGATGCTCTGAAAATAAAACTAAAGTTGTTAAGAGCTTCACGTCTACCGTGAATAAGTTGAAGCAATATTTGGGGACGAAAGTAGACGCCAGAATGCTCAGTTACAAGATAATTATTTACATTTAGACATTTCGTCATTACTTTTAGAAAATACTAAGGCTGTTACTGAATATGAAGCTGATTTTGAGGCGGCAGAGGATTATAGAAATAATTATCTTGAGCTTAAATCAAAGATAGAAGAGCTATTAAGTAAAGATTCTGGATCTTTTTTGGAAAGTCCTGCAGAGCGTGATGGGCTAAAATTAAAATTACCTAAATTTGAATTTAAATGTTTTTGGATGATCCCAAAGACTTTTTAACATTTTAGAGTATTTTTTCAAAAATACATGACTCAGTGACTGCTTTAGACAAATTCCAGTATTTATTCCAGTCTATGGTGCCTGATTTGAGGGCTGCTATATTAATATCCAGTTTTCCAATAAAAGCTGAAAATTATCCAAAGGGCCATCCAACAGCTGAAATTAAGATTTGGCCGGGAGGATCTCTTAGTGCAAATATATGTCCGCAACCTCCTTTCACTGATTCTGAAAAATGTTACGGCCGGGAAGAATGCCCCTGATTTAGCCACCCTCTACGATATGCTAGAGACAAAATTAAGAGCATTGGAAAGTTTAGGGCACACAAAAGAAAAATTTCCAGACTTTTTAGAGCCATTGGTGGAGTCATGTTTGCCACAAAATGTTCTGCGAGCGTGGGAAAGGAGTAGAATTTCAGAAAATATTGACGAAGCAGAAGCTACAAGTCAGAGATCCCTGGAAAAACTGATGTGCATTTTACACCATGAAGTCGAATCGGAAGAGATGATAAATTTGGTTTGATCCGGTTTTGGAACTCAAGATTAAAAGGAAAATTGATACTACAAGAAATAACATCCCTTCTGCTTCAGCTCTTATTTCATCCATGCAGGAAAAGGCTAAATGTATTTTTTGTGATCATCCACACTTTAGTAGAGACTGTAAGAAAGCTCCTAAGGTCACTCTAGGTGAGAAGAAATTTCAAGTTATATGCAAAAGATGCTGCCTTGTTTGCCTTAAGCCTGGGTGAAACTCTTAGGGCCTTGTGATAACAAGATTACAGAAAATATAAAGGTAACTCGAAGCGGTCGTCAAGTCAAGTAGTGCATGTTAAACGAATGGACTTTTGAATTGCTAGTGACTTTTTTTTCCGACACTTAGATAATTGTAATGTCCATTTGTGTGTTTATTGCTCTTTGATGTTATATTCACACGTTTATAGTTCTTAGTTCAGTTTCATGTCATGTGTTTAAATTTATGTTTATTATATATGTATACATTTTCACTACTTCATTTTGCATTGCTTTAAGGAAAACATGCCTGCAATGCAAAGGAGGGAAGGATGTTGTGATTCCTATTAAGTTTAGCATTTTCCCGTTTATTATTATTTAAGAGTTTGTTTTGCAATTTTGTTTGATGTACGAATCTGGCAACCAGTTTTATTTTTGAATGTAATGATAGGAAAATTCGTGCAAGCAGCAGTTAAGCTACTGAAATACTGAATGTTTTCCCTCATTAAGATGTACGGATCATTTGATCATATTCTAAGCAGTTATGTTACCTTACTACTGAGATACTGAATGTTTTTCATCATTAAGATATGATCATTATACTAAACATGTAAATAATCGCATTTACCTGTATGTGTTCCTCAAGTGAAATAAATTGGATATAAAACGAAGTCTGATTTCGAATCAAAACAGTTACCATGAATCTAAAGTTTCTACACCATGAGCTGAAAAACTGGGGGGGGGGAATATGTAAAGGGCAAAACATGCGAGTAAATACTGTAATTCCCCTACAAGTTTTTCCCATAAATTTAACAGCGAAGTCAAAATAATGCTTAATATAATAGGGATTAACATTGATTAGCAATAGAAATAATCATTGTAAGAAGCTTTGATTACAACAAGGCTGATTTTGCAACAAATAATTTCTATATTAATTACTTGGTATTCTTTTATAACCAAATAATAATAATTTCACATAAAATTTATAATTTCTATATTGCAAAATACATTAAAAAATTATCTTGTTAACAGCAATTTCTACTACAAAATAAAGAAATTTATATTAAAAATGCTTTTCTTGCTATAAATTTAGCAGTAGTTGTATTTCATACAGATATAGATAAGGAAATTGTTAACATTTGTGGGGAATGAAAAATAATTAAAATTAAATCTACATTTAAATTAAAAAATTTAGATTGCATTTTCCAGCCAAGTAATGACCAGATCATATAGAGACCGATTAGCACATAAGAAACATAAAAATACAATTAATTATACTTAAATATAGCATGAATCAAATAAAACAATGCTTGCACTAAAAAACATTCATTTTGCACTTAACAATTTTTAAAATACAATTTTCTAAAGCTTTAAAATGACAGTAATGCATTCCCCTTCCTTGTACAAAGTAAAGGAAATATTGTTCAAGAAAAATTTCTAGTGTCACATTTCCATGAAAATATCGATTTTGATTGCTCCTGAATACATTTGCAACACTCCCCCCCCCCCATGAAATCTGTACACACAGACAGAATTAAGGACGCCCTTTAATAAAAATGGATGGTGCTACTTTGGTAGACGGTTGCACGGATTTTTGGCGATTAACTTTGCCGCGATTGTTGGCGCGGTTTTTACAATCGTCAGCCATCTTGAAAAACCCCGTTTTTGCATTATTTTCCACATAGTAAAGTATTTGAAACTTTAAAAAAATAAATATCGTTAAAAAATGGATTAATTTTTTGTTGAAAACGTTTTTTAAGATGGCAGGCAAATGTAAATAAATACATTTACTACGAGTATAAAATACTAAAGAAAGGTTAAATTATTACTTTCATATAGCACAGAAATAGAATAAAAATACCGCTATAAAAACATTGCGCCAACATTTAATTGGATTAAAATATTACATAAATTGCTACTTTGGTAGACGGTTGCACGGATTTTTGGCGATTAACTTTGGCACAATTGTTGGCGCGGTTTTTACAATCGTCAGCCATCTTGAAAAACCCCGTTTTTGCGTTATTTTCCACATAGTAAAGTATTCGAAACTTTAAAAAAATAAATATCATTAAAAAAATGGATTAATTTTTTGTTGAAAACGTTGTTTTTTAAGATGGCAGGCAAATGTAAATAAATACATTTACTACGAGTATAAAATACTAAAGAAAGGTTAAATTATTGCTTTCATATAGCACACAAATAGAATAAAAATACCACTATAAAAACATTGTGCCAACGTTTAATTGGATTAAAATATTACATAAATTGAATATCGAATTAAAAACCATCATACCAACGTTTAAAAGAATTAAAATATTACTTAAATATTTTAAAATACGTAAATAAGAACGCTTTGTACACTAGAGCTAAAATAACAGCAATTAATTTATTGTCGGTAAAAAAGGAGGAATGTCTAATACTTTTCTTACATTTACAGCGATTATTTCTTCCAACATGACCACAATACCATATACGGCCGTCCTCAGAACCGGCTCTTCTAATGATCTTCATCTGTGATCTACATTTTCGCACTTCATTGAAGAAGCAATTAGGGAGGTTTCCTTCAAAAACTTAAAATAAATTTCCTCTGACCCTTGTAAGAATTTATAAATAAATCTTTGATTAGGAAAGCCAGGCTGGCCAAAATAAGGTCTCAAAGGACAATTTTTTGATTATGATACCAATAATTCTTGGTACATACCAATAACATTCATCTTTGAAAGAGACATTTTTAAAGGAATTCGAAGATATGAATTAAATTTTAAATGGCGCGGTAATGCACAAATATTCTATAACCAATCAGAGAGCTGATTACATCACGCCTACAATTAAAATTATTTAAGGTACTATTCCGTTTTGAGGACTGTAAAAAATTACAGCGAAAATGTATGCGCAAAATCGCCAAATCTAGCAAACGCGTCCATTTAACAGCGCGCCAAATCTAGCTGATAACAGCGCTGATTTCAGATCGCGTAAGTTTATATAGTTTTATATTTCTTAAGACGCCATTGAAATACTAGTTTAATTTTTAAATCCTTTTTTTGATTTTAAATCCTTTAATATCCTATGGATTTAACAATTTGGGAATTGCCCATGACGAAAAGTCAGCAATAGAATTTTGGGTAAAGTTCAGAAACATCCGCTGTGACGCGTTTTTAAAAATTGCACATACTCGCTATCCATGTGCGCATCGACCTATTTTCACTTAAAAAAAAATCCCAGAATTGCACAAAAATGGCACTGCGCACACCCTTGGCTTTATCTATGTACACATCGACCTATTTTCACTTAAAAAGTAAAAGAAAATTGACAAAAATCCAATAGTTTTTACCCTTGTAAAAAGCGGCAAACAAATAAGTGGGCGATTTTGCACTTTACCGAGAATATTTTCAAATATTTTCATTCATTATAGAAAATTACGTTTGAACAACCAACGAGATGAAATAATGCTTTAGCGATAAGTCGGTAGCGAAATAGCGATGCAGGTATCCATTCACTTATATTTAGCAATTTTTATATAAATTATAACAATGATCTGAAATAGTTATTTACTATTACGCTTTCATTCAGTCATGTTTAGCCTTTTTCATATAAATTATAATAAAAAAAATTTATTATATGAAATTAACCTTTCATCTAGATTAAAATATCATTCTTAGATAGTTATTTACTATTACACTTCCTTTCTTGCGTTAAGGTTGCCGCAATTATTTTTGGCAGCATTGGCATCAACAATAGTTTGGCGATTTTTTACGGCCCTCGAAACCGAATAGTACCTTATTTAAATAATCATACATAATAAAACCATTTTTAAAAAATGCAAAATTAAATTGTATTTTAATATTCAACAGCCATAAATAATGTTTAAAACATTAGATTAAATTTATAGATATTAAAGCCAATTACTTTTAAAGTAAGGTGACGTCATTGATTTGGTTTAGTAAGCTTACAAATTGTGAATCACTGTTAGCCGTAATAGATGAATCTTCTAGCGACTGCTAAGAATAAATTAGATATTGTAATTAGAAGTGGATTAGAGGCAGCTTGTGGTTTCTTCCAGGTCCCGGTGACTGCTACATTTGCTCTGTAGCATTCTGTATTCTGTTTAATGCTCACAAATAGTGAGGTAGAATATCTTGAAACTACCTCCGTTTGCTTGAAGAAGTTTAGTTAATCAAGTGGTGAAATCTTACTCACGGTGTATGTGTAACACCTTATTAGATTTGCAAATAAGCTAACTGAGTTAAGCTGATCCTTCGACATGTGTTACAAGATAAATTAATTGTATATTAGAAATTGCTTTTTTCATATTATTTTGGAAAATAGGAACTTTTTGTGAGAGATTTTTCTACAATGTATTTTGTATTTAGTGACGCATCAGGATATCGTAAAACATTCATAATATTCATTTTAAAATCAAAGTTCCTTCCAACATGAAACTACCCTTCCTTCTTAACCCTAAATAAATAACAAAATTAAAATTACATTAGAAAAAGCTGGACACGAGTTGGGAAAATAGATTTAGGTCTTGATTTTATAATTTTTACCCTGTTTATTTAATGGAACATGTCATTAAATTGATAATATACAATGCATGTTTGAAAAATATATTAAGTTTTGTTAGTCCAAAGGAGCTTTGTCCTGAAGGACTATTGTTTTTGTTTTGCGATTTTGCGTTGAATCACTATAAATGTCCGTTTCACTTTTCAAACTGTTGCCACCAAATGTTAGAGTCCTGCATTATATTTGAAGAAATTAAATAATGAATGATTTGTATAAATGTATGTTTATTTCTCGCATTGTGATAAAACAACGGTACACAGAGCCATCCAATTTTGAATGACGTAATCTTCCTACGAATATGGGCATGTGGAAGACCAAATTTGAAATATGGAACTTGTTTTATTATCTATTTCATATTTTGTAAAACTTTAACGAACTTTTGATTAAAACCTCAAGGATTTCAAAGCGAGCAATGGCAAAACTCTAATGGGAAAAAAAGTTTTATCTCCAGCGCGCGGAATTGTGTATCAGAAATTCTAAAGATATGCTCATTTTAAAATTATTTTGCGACATTGCTATTGAACTGAATTTTAGGTGTCCGCCGATAACATCGCGGCAAAAACATCGCGGACGAAAACGTCGCGGAGAAAACAACGCAAGGCGAAAACGTCGTGCTACAAAACATCGTTGGAGAAAACATCGCGTCATCCACAGCATAAAATTTCATAAAATATCAGAAAAAATAAAATTTTTCATAATAAAACGCATTATTTTTTAAATAAAATGACAAACAAAGTATCGGTTACCATAAATAACTTATTCAGCAATGGGTTTACCATAAGTCGTATTACTTGCCAAAAGAAAAATCGCCAAAAAGTCACCAAAATCCGTGCAATTGTCTACCAAAGTAGCACCAAATGGATTTAAAATTGATTTAAACGGGACTTGTTCTGGTTATGGCCTGTACATAATAATATATATATGCATCTTGCATAACTCAAGAGCAATCATCCACAGAATGCTGAAATTTTGTATATGGGACTGCTCGGCGTAAACGTCTATACCTGGCCTTTATTTCTGCAGTTGTTGGTCATAGTTATATACTTCCAAGTACAGAAGTGTTTTAAATGACAAAAATATTCATGTTTGGGCAATGTCAAACTTGAAAATAATAATTTTTGACAACTAACATAATTTTAATAGTATCTCCGAGTTCCCATACTTATATTTGGGAAAATTTTACACTAATTATATACAACAAAAACTAACCGGAATATTTAATTTCAAAATTTGCAGTTTTTTATGTCATTTTCAACTTGCCTGGAGGGATCAGTTAATTAAGTAAGAATAATTCAGAGAAATAAGTTTAAATGAAGTGCAAGAAATAAATGAAAAAATATTCATGTTTTGCCAATATCAAATTTTAAAAAACTTTAATTTTCGACAAATAATGAAATCTAGCTTTTAATGCAGTGTCACAATTTCTATAATTATATATCTGAGAAAATTTTTATACTCATTACGAAAAAACAAAAATGCAAGAAGTTTTTTGACTTCCATACAACAAAAATGACTGGGATATTTAATGTCAAAATTTGCAATTTTTGATTTTATTTTCAACTTTCCTTGAGGGACCAGCTAATTAAGATAGGATAATTCAAGATAATAAGTTTAAATGAAGTACAGAAAAAAATGTGTATAATTAATAGGCCATACAAGGAAGTTGTGGTGTCCACGACAGACTTTTTTATAAAATGAAAAGGGGATGAAAACACTCACGTGCACAAAATGGATTGGTCCTCACGATCTGCAATTAAAAAATAAATAAATAAATCTTTACATAACTGCATATCAAGCACAGTATTAACTGCAAAAATTAAACATACAAAAACAAAAATATAAAATAATATTTATCAATTGAAATTTAAACATAAATGTGATATCATTCAGCATATTATAATTAATTTAAAAAGTAATTTACACAGTCATTATAAATTTCAACAAATTAGTATAAAATATACTGTTTAAACAACGATCATTCTCCACTTTTTTTGCATTTCTGTGATATATTTTAAAATTATGAACTTATTTGAAATTAAATAAGCCATAGTCCCAGGGTTAATTTCTAAAATTAGAAGTGCCAGAGCCCAATGTAAGACCATCAAGAAAGAGGAACAACAGTAAATAAATAAAATGGCCATTAAAATCATTAATAATATAAAAATTAAATTCAGATTAATTAATAATTATTAAATATTAATAATCAGTATTTTTATTGTTAATTAATAATTATTATTCATTAAAATAATTATATACTAAAGCAATTAAATTATTACAATTAAATAAAATGTACAAAGATAAATTAAAATTTAAAAAGTGATTTTTAATATAATTTTATTACTAAAAATAAAATTTTCGAGACCAGATTTCTACTGAAATTATTGTTCAATTACATAGAAGTGCCAGTGCCTTCTTATTTAGGGCTCCGGCGCAATTTAAGCTCTGCATAGAACCATGATATCAAGTTCATAGATAGACATAAGCCTAATTGAAATTAAAATAGTGACACAAATGTATAAAATGAGCTGAAGAAGCACCATAATACTATTCTTAATTAAACAGATACAGCTAATAGAAAGCAGCTCCATTAAGACTGACTAAATATCGCTAACCGAATAAAGCAAAGCAGAAGTATATTCCGAAAGCTAAGGATGCCTCCATGATGGATTTTCTAGGGAAAGACCCATATTCACACTATACATCTTGAAAATCATGAACACCGATGCAACCAACCCTTTTACAGGAATTTGAACACGGGTCAAACTTCAGCAGTCTTATCCATTCGACCACCACAGGCAACTTCTCTGAGAAAGGATTACAGACTTTTAGTGGTGAAAAATAACACAATAAAAATGCAAAATTTAAAAAATACTAATAATAATAATTTTAAAAAAAAGAGAGAGATCATACTGAAAATATAATAGTATATCAAAAACACCGAAGGCGCATAAAATGCAAAAAGTCAAGTGAAATACAGCAACGACAATTAATATCAAAATCAAACAAATTTAAAATTTTGCTTTAAAAACTTGCATCCTTTTTTTTAATTACCATAATTAATATTAGATAATAAACACATAATTTTTTCCAAACCAAATTTGACCAGTCATTCCTTTTGTTTAAATATACAAATCTTTTAATTGTTCTCATTAAGATAATATCTATTTATTTATAAAATAAACCTTAGCCTAAAATAAAAAATATCCACAATTATTTTAACAACAGGAATAAACCTCTGTTTGATGCTAATTTCAAACAAAAAAAAAATTCATGCATTTTGAGTAAAATTTTCAGAAGTAAATTATTTCACTCATGAATATAATATTATTTAATAAGCAAAAAGGAGACAGAAGGCAAATTGAAAGCTTGAATTAAATTCATTAATTAAAATTAATAAAAAATAAAAGCTTCCAGAAAAATCTAATACTTGAATATTTTACCAATCTAAGCAGAATATAAAAAATCTAAACACCTTTTCTTCCTCCAACTGTACATTTGCTAAAATCACTATTCTTCTCCTCTCTCTCATGGGGTAAAGGAAGGGGGGAAAAAAAGCCCCCTTCCAATTTTAGGTTTAATAAGATTACTATCGCTTCCTCCCCCCCCCCAAAAAAAGAGAGTAAAAAAAAGAATTTGAAATGGTGAACTAAATTTTCTTGATGTTTTTCCTCATCCATTCAAAGTCCTTCAATTTTAGTTAAATGACTTCAAATTTGGATCTTTAGAACAGATACATATTTTTACACACCATCTCCTCTAACATTTTTTAAGTTCAATTTTGTTTCACAGATGGCGCTACAAGACAAATGCAAAGAATATGTATAAAGACTTTCTTTGGACAAATGTGCATGCGCGGAAAAACTTCTTTGTTAAGAGAAGATGATGGTTTTCGCTTATCGAAATGTGAAAGCTTTTAATTTGCAATCTGCTACTGTGACATTTCTCTTGTCCGATACTAACTTTAAAACAAGTGCATGCAGCAAAGAATTACATTTATGGTATCAAAACTCCTTAAGATCGACACTGACTACGTCCGGCACGGCATAGTACAGATAATGGCATAGGTTCCACACTATTCATCGGCACACGATCGACACGACTAAAGAGAAATTTCTATACTGATATAACAATACGCGAAAGTATTAACGCATATCCTTCACCTTCACAGAGCTGTCACAGGCCTACGATCGTCGCTGCGCAGGGTCGACATTGGCCTAGCAACGAGACTGTCATGCAATGAATAATAACCCAAGGCAACGTCACAATTCAATAACGAACCCAAGGGTTACAATTAGCAACAGTACATATTCAAGACGATTAATCGATTTTTGCCTGTATGAACTTTAGAGGCGTTTTGATAGGATGCTGCGAACCAACGCACTGCGAGCCATTGTTTCCGGAAGTTCGGAGTAGAATTTAATTATTCCTTACGGGTACCTGCATAAAATGGACACCGAAACAGGATCAGGCATTGGATCGAAACCGAATTTTGAGCTGTCCTGTTGATCTGTGCCGAAATATGCTGCAGTGTCAGCTCCGTGTTGCATTCATGTCGCCATGTATAGATTCATAAGACATCCAAGACATCTACAGATTTCGAACCTGGGCCCAATGACACAGCAACCACCATTGCTAACCACACACCGCACATAGCGGCCATTTGCAATTTAAGGTTTAACTTTTGTAAGCTTGTAATGAATCTATCTCACTCTGTTTACTTGCTTAAAATAAACCTATTTATATCCAAACCAGAATTCAGCGTCGTAATCAAAATATATTAAAACTTTAATTAAAAAATAACTCGTTAATAAAATAATTAAGAAGATGAAACCGATAGTTATGACACTTGAAAAAACAAGCTTTATTTTCTAACCTGAATACAGCAATTTACAGTAAAAATAGCTTGAAAATCTTTAGCTGTAAGTAAAGATTAATTAATATATTCATAATACTGTTATAACTGTTCTAATTTAGGTCACTTCCGATTAAGGTCACAGAGGTTTATGCCAGCTTTTAGCTATCCAATTTATTAATTTAAAATATTTCATTACGGAAAGAAACGTATGATCATGAACCAGAGCTTCACAGAAATCTAATTATGGTTTGCTAATAGTTGATTAATTAACTAGTAAAAAGCAGATGCAAGTTATATGAGCAGGATGTCTTTGTCAACGAACTAACGGGGAATGGACTCGTATTTACAAGATAACCAAAAAAAAAAAAAAAGAAAAGAAAAATTTATCGTCGTTCATAATTATCAAAAACAGTGAGACATGCAGTGCAAAATATACATCAAAACGCCTTGAAATAATCATCAGCATCCAGCACTATTTGCCAAATTCCTGCAGCAGTGCAATGCCCTGGCTGTAAAACTCCGAGTTCTTGGGCGCAAAAGAATCTGTAGCTGCGTGCCGCAAATCTTCGTTATTGTGGAAGAGTTTTCCGTTGTGGTGTCATCCAGGGAATGCAGCATGTGGTAATATGTGTGCATGTGGTAATATGTTCGGTAAGCACGTCTCCAAGCCAAGTCGCCGAATGGCGTCCCTGCTACACAAAGATTCGCACTGTCGTAGAAAGTTTGCGATTAAACAGCGACGGCCTTTAATTTTTTCCTGCAATGCATACTACTTCCGTAGCAACTGTTGCGAATACAAATCCTTTGGAATGATGCGTCCTGGTGGTATTACTTACTAATGCACCACTAGGCGACTAGTCCACTAGACACAGAGCAAGATCTATAAGTACAGAGGTGGACTGAGATATGAGGCACAAAAGGTCACATAGTAACAATATTTGGTACGCTTAGTGTCATACTGGACCCACTTTTCAAACTCGCGAGCACTCGTCCAAATATGAGCGTGCTGCGATCTCGAGATAGCAACAATAAATAAGGCTGTCATTCGTTGTTTATTGTTGACTGCCAACAATGTTTTGAATGAATTTGTACGCCTATTTCCTTGAAAACCTGGAAGCATTCGAAAAGTTCACTACGTTTCATTGCTAGTCTCCTCTACAGTTGCTTTAAGGGTTCGTCGTCCAACTGCTATGGTCCCCCACAGCGGTGTTCATCACAAAGACTCTACTCTCCCGATCTGAACTTTTGGAAACAATGGCTCGAGGCGAGTTCGTTCACAGCATCCTCTCCAAATGCCTCTAAAAATCATACAGGAAAAAATCGCAAACGAGCTGCTTCGATACCTCTATTTCTCTTGGAACTGGACGATCTACGATTGCTGTGTGCTCAAAGTGCTTGTATTAGTGCAGGTCAATGGTTATTCTAACCAGCTACCGCTTTTCCGACGCGTGAGTAATTCTCTGCGAGTACTTCATCAAATAGGAAGTCAGAATAGGCAAGAATGTTTTATGGCTACTTTTGTACGTTACAAATGAAGAAAATTCCAAGTAGCCAGCTTAACTAAGCAGCCAAAAAATGAATTTACGATAAATTCTCAAGCTGCACGTTTTTAGCAACTAAGCTCATTAATGGTTGAATTTGTAAGCCACTAAGTTAATCTAGCTCGCGGTAGATCGTTTCCTATTGCCACTACAGCATTACAATGTTGAATTAAATAGTACATTTAATTAATAGTACGTACATAGAGATTGAATGGTGCTCGTCGAGCAGGGCTGAAATGCCCAGTACTCTCGAATGGTCCTGAATTCACATTGCATCATTATCAATAAGATTTCAGAACGGAACATGTATCTGAAATTCAAGAAAATGCCTATGTAGACAGCCTGCTCGCT